GATTGAGAAGAAAAACCCATTAAATTGATAAATTCGTCAAGAAATTGACTAAAACACACACTACATATTTATCGTGTATGTAGTTTGGAGAATTATCAAAGAAAATGTACATTTATTTAGGAGCACCGAATAAATCAAATCTACATTTTTGTACAACTATCTTTTGAGGAAAAACTGGCAGTAGTGATTTTCTGATTTGCGGGATGAATCTGCAAAATTTCCAAAAATCTATATTCACAAATTGAACGCATTACCTTATTTGTTTCTTGCGATGATCCGATTGCATTCAACATTTCCTCATCTCCAACCCGTTCTGGCATCACATTAAATATTATTTGCAGGAATTTTGTAGTATCCTCTGAATATTTAGAATTATTCACCAGTTTCGAATACGATGTTGAATTGTGTGCAATTATTAAATGAACATCATTGTATACAGGGTGTCATTTAAGTTCCCGCACAAAAGTTAGACGCCATGAAAAGCTTGGCTGTCGCACTTTTCGTGCACCAATACAATTTATTTTTGTTAAATAAGGTGTATTTTACTTACATTTCAAGTTTCACTTCATTCGGATGTGTTTCCGAGAAATGGCGAAGGCTAACATCCATTGCGCATCCATTATCGAACTTCATAAGCGAAATGAGCGCCCGACAGAGATCATTCAACGCCTCGGTGTGCCTCGTAGAACGGTTTAAGACACCAACAAACGTTTCAAGGAGCTAAATACGACCAGTGACCTTCCCAGACAAGGAAGACTCGTCTCAGTAACCACTCCTCAGAAGATCAACGCCGTCAAAACGAGGATCAGGCGAAAACCGCACAGGAGCATAAGAAAGATGGCGTCAGACATGGGAATGAGCATCTTCGCTATGGAACAAATGGTCAAAACGAAGCTTGGACTGACCCCATATCGCGTCCAAAAAGCGGCAATTCTATCGGCCGTCAACTAGCAGAGACGCTTCGAAAAAGCAAAACGACTTTTTGCTCGCACGCGGTCTGGAGAACACCTCGCCACTGTCTTCTCCGACGAGAAACTGTTCACTGTGGAGGCGGCATTCAACTCACAAAACCATCGAGTACTTGCCCAGACATCCCAGCAAGCTTCTGAGAAAAGCAGAACAATACATCGAGCCTCACATCCTGCCAGTATGATGGTTTTCGGTGCCATCTGCTCAACCGGGAAGCGCCCCTGGTTTTTGCAGATCAGGGGATGAAAATGAACAAAGAAGTCTACGTTCGGGACTTTTTAGAGGAGCATGTGATGCCCTGGACCCAAACGCATTTCGTTGGGCAGAAATGGGTCTTTCAACAGGACGGAGCACCCGCCCACACTGCCAAAACTACTCAGGAGTGGTGCCAGACCCATTTTCCCGACTTCATCAAGTCATCCGAATGGCCTGATTGGTCCCCAGACCTGAACCCGCTTGACTTCTCCGTGTGGGGTCTTGCAGGAGAAGGTCAACGCAAAACCCCACTCAAGTGTAGAGACTCTGAAGAAGACATTACTGGCGGAATGGCACAATCTTTCCATCGAATACCTGCGTACCACAGTCACATCCTACCCGAAGCGTCTCCGCGAAGTCATAGCTGCGAAAAGAGGCCGAATCGAAAAGAGTTAATAGATAATTATTTGTTGTACTATAGATAAAAAATATTTCGAGTCTCGTTTGATTTGGACTTTTAGTTTCAGAAATATATGCCTTCAAAGTTGTGCGGGAACTTAAATGACACCCTGTAGTAGTCGGCAATCGAAAACACTACACTTTTCTCATCTTTGAGAATTCTCAACCCGAATTGATTGGAACCATAAAAAGAGGCTCATTCGAACAAAATGTTCACATGAAATTCTTCTGCAGATGTTTGATTTGAACGCTCTTTAAGTTCGCATTTTTGGGTGCAAAATTCAGTTTTTTGGCGACGATAAGATAAAGGATAATGGGGGCAAAATTGAATAAGTGTGAAATTGTTTCGTTCGATAAGATTGAGAAGAAAAACCCATTAAATTGATAAATTCGTCAAGAAATTGACAAAAACACACACTACATATTTATCGTGTATGTAGTTTGGAGAATTATCAAAGAAAATGTACATTTATTTAGGAGCACCGAATAAATCAAATCTACATTTTTGTACAACTATCTTTTGAGGAAAAACTGGCAGTAGTGATTTTCTGATTTGCGGGATGAATCTGCAAAATTTCCAAAAATCTATATTCACAAATTGAACGCATTACCTTATTTGTTTCTTGCGATGATCCGATTGCATTCAACATTTCCTCATCTCCAACCCGTTCTGGCATCACATTAAATATTATTTGCAGGAATTTTGTAGTATCCTCTGAATATTTAGAATTATTCACCAGTTTCGAATACGAATTTTTACCGTTGACACTCTCCGAAAATTTCTGATATGCTTTCGTCGAAGGCAGCGATTTTTCCCAGACAAAAATTGTGAAAATAATGAGACCTCCGAGAAGGATTCCGAGACCAACTCCCGACGATTGAATGTCATCGATTATGCTGATCACGACCATTGCAGAGCATACCAAGAAGAATAAAATTGGCATTATAATTGGAAGGCTAATACGATCAGGATGAAGTGGACGATTCCTGAAAAATACAACTATTTTGCGAATCAAAATGTGACACTTCCGCATATTAAAGCAACCACTTTTTTTGAGTTTGGTTTAATGATTAATCCAAAAATTAAGAAAAATTGAAAAAAAAAACCGTACCTAAATTTAATCCAAAGTAGTGCTGACATAGTGAATGCTCTTTGGGACCATTGAGCAAATGCCACATAATTGATAAGATTATAGGGATCTCCCAAAAACGACACCACAATTGCAATGAAAATCTGCAAGCTCAATAGACAATTTGTTGCTCGTTTATCATATTGATTTACATGAACTAATAATGCAACCCTCGGCGAATCGCAATGTGGTGTGATTCCAGAAATCGCCGTCGGAATGTGTCCCTGACGAGCAACGGCTTGAAGATAACGACTAGCTGAGAACATCGTGCTGTTCAAGGAGCCAATTAGGAGGATTGCAACCATAATTGGCATTATGAAATCGGCAGTTCCGAGCGTTTTCTTTGCGAAATCCTTCAAAAGAGTTGGTGATAATTAAAAAATAAGCAAATGAATTTACAATAGCAACAGCATCGGAAGCCATCAATTCAGGAACTGACAACACAATACTGTAGGAGATGTTAACGGCGACGTAAATAATCCCAATGCACGTCATTCCGATGATAATTGCGAGTGGCATTGTTCTAGAATATTTTTCGATTTGATTCACTCTCTCAGCCTTCGATTTACCGTTTTGGGTTTTCAATTTCCTCGGCGCCGAAATTCAAAATATCCCAACCATCGTATGAGAACAAACCGGCAAACAGAGCATTTACCACTGGTCCCGGCATGTAGTCCGTTCCGGCAAACGGATTTTTCAAGTTTTGAGTCCATCCGCGGAAGATGAGAAAATAGAAGCCGGTTCCGATAATGAGCAGAGTTGCGGCCATTTTTGCGATTGAAGCGAGAATCGAAAATCTTTGAACAAATGTTTTCAAAGAGAAGAAGTTCATGAACATTAGAAGAGCTGCAATTAGTGAGATTCATATTGAAATAAAAACGAGTGTCTTGCGCCGATTTACGGTGAGTTAGGTCCACAATTATGCAAGGCGCTGTTTTTTTTTGCGATGGTAGTAATTAAAATGTAGTGTTAAATTTATAATGATGAAGGATTTTTTAATATGTATGTATATAGTCTGCGAAGACCATAGTGAAAAAGGGAGAACCGAGATACTCACAGACACATTAGTAGCCGACTATATTTAATTTTCCCTCAAAAATTAAATGTATTTTCTTAATATTGATAACTGTATTGGCGGTCATCAAACTTCTAATCCTTCATTTCACGATAACGTTCTCATGATAAACAAGGGGCTACAATGCGGAAATTTTCAATATAGAATATCTTACTAATCAATGAGAAACCAAGCAATTTTTCTGCCCAAAACCGAGAAGTCGGATCTAATTTGATATTGAGTCCCTGCAGAATGTAGATATATCAACAATATGTGTATTTGAAACCTCTAGAACGTATCTTGAAAATGTCTGAGCCTGCACGGCCAATGTGGCCGGGTAGTTAATAGTGCATCCAATGCACATGAATGCAAACGCAACCGGGTACCTGCGAGAATTCACGTTTCAGAAAAAAAATTGAAATTAATTTTAAAATACCATTTCATGAAACAGAGATAGGCGAAGTCTCCTCCACTCAACCGAATCGACGTTCCCAATTCGACATAGCAAAATGATCCGAGCATCGCAATAAGTGCTGAGGTTATCCAAATAACCAAAGAAAATCCCGCCTAGTTTATTAGAAAAATATTTTCAATAATTATTGTTTAGACAAACCGAATTAACATTTCTGATAATACTCGTTGGGGTAATGAAAAGCCCAGAGCCGACAATGTTTCCAACAATATAGGAAATGGCTCCGAGGAGACCCATTTTTTGAGATCTTGACCCTTCCTCCATTATCTAAAAAAAAGCGAACAATTTGAGAAAACTTCTCCTATTATATTTTATTGAACTATTTTAGAAATGACGGCCGACGAACAAAATGATAATGAAATTCCCATGTACGTACAAGACGAAGCACATGTCGACATGAATGAGAACTCATTTTTTTTCATACGTGTTTCGCGATAAGACTCCGCTAAAAGGCGATAGCAGAATTAGAATATTGCAATTAAAAAAAAGGTATGGACCAATTAAAATGACCGATACGTTCCGTTTTCCGAGTTTTGTTTGAACAGCGATTAACAAACTGAAGCCTGCTTACATTGAATCGAAAAATACACATTGTTTTCATGTTTTGATTTGAGAAATCGAGTCGCAAGACTATCACATTGACGTCGTTTTCCGAAAAAAAATGTTGGAATAATGCGAATTTTTTTAAAGAAAATATTTTTATTCAACAAAAAAAAAAGAATTAATTTGGACAGCAATATGCGAAATGGAGGCCGGTGTGGCAATGGTATCCGGCTGGGCATTGCAAAACGTCGCATGATTTGGCGACGACTCGCATATCATGAGCGTACCATGGAAGAGCAGGATCAGTGTATCTCAATTTCAGACCATTCGGGCATTCGGCGAGCATATCATTGGAATAGGCATCTGAAAATGAAAATGAATGTCGAATGAATTTTTGCTTTCCTACCCAATTGAGCAGTGTCACAACATAATCCATAAGTGTATCCTGGAAGACATGTCGAAGTGTCAGAATCGCATTTCTTCTGAAATATTCAAAATGTCTAAAAATGATGAGAAAGGATTTAAATACATTTGGGACACTTCCTTCGCAGTGTCCATCCACTTCTCCATCAAGATTCGGATGGACTGTGATTCCAGCGGGGCACACATGGCGACCTTCTGAAAATCGTAATTGAGATCGCGACTGTCTGATTCATTGAAGATCACCGTCAAGTTCAGCTCTTTCGCATGAAATGATGTCATTGTAGCTATTGGCTGGAGTGAAGTTCTTGTTATACAGGGTGTCATTTAAGTTCCCGCACAACTTTGAAGACGTATATTTCTGAAACTAAAAGTCCAAATCAAACGAGACTTGAAATATTTTTTATCTATAGTATAACAAATAATTATCTAGTAACTCTTTTCGATTCGGCCTCCTTTCGCCGCTATGACTTCACGGAGACGCTTCGGGTAGGAGGCGACGGTGGTACGCAGGTATTCGATGGAAAGATTGTCCCATTCCGCCAGCAATGTCTTCTTCAGAGCCTCTTCACTTGAGTGGGGTTTTGCGTTGACCTTCTCCTGCAAGAGCCCATCACGGAAAAGTCAAGCGGGTTCAGGTCTGGGGAGCAATCAGGCCATTCGGATGACTTGATGAAGTCGGGAAAATGGGTCTGGCACCACTCCTGAGTAGTTTTGGCAGTGTGCGCGGGTGCTCCGTCCTGTTGAAAGACCCATTTCTGCCCACCGAAATGCGTTTGGGTCCAGGGCATCACATGCTTCTCCAAAATGTCCCGAACGTAGACTTCTTTGTTCACTTTCACCCCCTGATCCACGAAAACCAGGGGGCACTTTCCGGTTGAGCAGATGGCACCGAAAACCATCACACTGGCAGGATGTGAGGCTCGATGAATTGTTCTGCCTTTCTCAGAAGCTTGCTGGGATGTCTGGGCAAGTACTCGATGATTTTGTGGATTGAATGCCGCCTCCACAGTGAACAGCTTCTCGTCGGAGAAGACAGTGACGAGGTGTTCTCCAGACCGCGTGCGAGCAAGAAGTCGTTTTGCTTTTTCGTAGCGTCTCTGCTTGTTGACGGCCGATAGAATTGCCGCTTTTTGGACACGATATTCCCGTGATGGGGTCTTGCAGGAGAAGGTCAACGCAAAACCCCATTCAAGTGTAGAGGCTCTGAAGAAGACATTACTGGCGGAATGGGACAATCATTCCATCGAATACCTGCGTACCACAGTCGCATCCTACCCGAAGCGTTTCCGTGAAGTCATAGCTGCAAAAGGAGGCCGAATCAAAAAGAGTTAATAGATAAATATTTGCAAGACCCCATCACGGGCACACAAAAATGATCTGCGGCGGATTACACAGCGAATCGAAAAAAATCGTTTAAAATGCTAATTTTAGTGGGACAAAAAAGTTGTGAAGGTCAAAAATTACAAATCGCGACTGGTTTTCAAACCCGTGGAATTTTTCAAATTTTCAGAGAATTGAAGAAGGAATTTCAAGTTTAAAGTAAAAAATTTTTTTTATAAATACGAGCCAATGAAAACCATTGGAACCAAACAAAATTTTAATTATCAAATTATATAAAAATGTTAAACTATAGAAAAATTCAAGATTTTTTGCAAAAGTAATTTGAAAACCAAAAAATGTCAAAAATTTGATTAGAAAACTTTAAAAAAAACGAGTGGAAAAGATTGAAGAATAATAATCTAAATAAGACTAGTAAACAAAAAAAGTTTTCGATTGTTGGAAGGATCAAAACTGTATAGACAAACCAACAAATACAACGCTGCAAAAACTTTTTCTTCTTCTTTTCCATCGTGTCGTATTGGAATGAGGAGGGCCGGGTGCGCAGCGCGGCGGCGCGGCCCAACGCAAAATTCCTCACCGAAATTCCTTTCGACGCCTCGTTTTGGTGTCTCTCGACGCGCAAACTGTATGCCGCCGCACACTCGCAACCCTCTCATACCGATTCGACACAAGAAAAAAGATGGAAGAGGAGAATGAGGTGGATGACAACGAGGATGGGGGGTAGTTGTTAAACTAATCTAATATTTGCTAATATTTGACGAGTTGTTCTATATGTTTTTTGGAGCTTCTTCGTTTCGACATCCACCTCAATTCATTCGTTGAAACCTTGTGCGAATGTCTCTTTATTCGCTATCCAATATGGAATATTCCCTGTTTTGCAAATGCTACGCCGAGTTCCTCGGCGTTTTCATTTTCATTTTTTGCGGCACGATGCAGGCAAATGTCTACGATATTATGCAGCCTGACGGTCTTACCCATTCTGCATTAACGCACGGTTTTGCGACGATTGTGATCATTTTCACACTCGGCCATATTAGCGGCGGACATTTCAACCCAGTTGTTTCCTGGGCGGCTACCCTCATTGGAAAACTTCCGATATGGCACCTGCCATTCTACATGCTATCCCAATTTTCTGCTGGATTCTGTGCTTGCCTTCTATCAGCTGTAAGTGGCTACCAAATTTTGCTAGAAAATCCCTGTATACCTGTCAAGTGTCTCCAACGACAAAGAGATTTTATTGTTTGGACTCCAATTGGCGATATTGAGAATGCTGTGGCGAGTTCGAGTATTCGTGCCGGATATAATAGAAGGAATAACTCGACATGGCAGAAGTCGATAATGCTGACAACGCAATTAGCTGCGACGTCGTCGGGAGCTACTTTATTAAACCTTTCGAATGACTGGTGGGAGGTGAGAAGCTCTGATTTTCAAGATTGTACAATAAAAGTAAAACAATCTTAAAATATTTTTCATTTTTCTGACGGTCACGTCAACAATTCAAATATTTATTTAAAATACTATAATCGGTGTCCGGCGACTGCTGTACGCGGGTAGATTTACGGGATGCTTCTTTCTCTGGGTCTCGCACGGACTAACAAGTCATTTCAAATTTTATGGACCTGTTCGATAATTTTAATCGAATGATGTTTCAAGGAAATGCGAAAATCGTCAAGAAAAAACTAACCGTTCAGACGTGACGAGACCTTTTCAAGGTGCATGCGCGTAAATCTACCCGCGTACAGCAGTGGTTGGACGCCGACAATACATGTTCATTATAAATGAATAATTTTTTTATAACCATTTCAAAGTGAGAACATAAAAGTGGTAATTTCAGGGAATAATCAGCGAAAGCATCACGACTTACTTTTTCGTCACTGTAATTCTTTTAGTTGCAATGGATCAAGAAAAACCGGTAAATATAGCCAGCCACTTTCTCAAAAAGAAATTTTTTTTCGAATCCTGCGGCTCCATTCATTATTGGGATGATGGCAATGGTTGATATATTTGCAACGTATATCTAATTATATACAAATTGAATCAAACCCAATGGTTGTTCAGCGCTTCGATAACCGGCACCGCAATGAATCCAGTTCGAGCACTTTCTCCGAATATTGTCGCCGAAATCGTGCTTTCTTCAAAAACAATCCCAAACAACTTTTGGACATTTCATTACATTTATTGGGTTGGTCCTTACATTGGGTCGAGTGTTGCTGTGATAACATACAAGTGAGATATCTCACAGATATTCGAATTTATGTCATGTTTTAAGATTCTTTTTGTCAAGAAATGGAAGATTCGTCAATTGAATTTTCTTATTCGACGAACACGCAATCAAATTGTTTCAATTTCTTGACGACGTTGATGTTGTAATATTTAATATTTGACTTCGTTTGATCCGGAACATCTGGATAAGTGGTGTAGAATAATATGGAATCATACTGATAATAACCAATGGATCCAAACAAGGGAATGCAGATAAGGCGATCACCGCAAAATAATTGTTTAGTCTAAAAAATCGCAATTAATTTTTAATACATTGTTTTTCAATTATAAGACCTTCCAACATATGGGCAGATACCAAGCACAAACGCAAGGAAGGAAACTGATGCAAATTGGAATCGATGTCTGCACAATCAACACTTTCAGCAGCTGTCTGTGCACCTTCTTATTATTTTTGCTGATTTTCATATTAATTTTCAAATTCTTCATTATCTGAATTCGCGAATATTCCCTATTTGTTTCTCTTGTTCATTTCTTACTCTTATTCCAATTACTACGTACATAATTAAAAAAGACAATGATATGAATGTTGCAATAAATATACAAATCCAACTACGAATAATAAAAGTCGTGTCGAAACCCTTTAAAGTATTTCATTTCAAATTTAAAAAAATAAAGAATTTTCGTCATATAAATCACCTTATAAGTAACCGCAAATAGAGGCGTAATAAACGAATCACAATTATAATATTCCATCATAACATTATAGAAGAATTTGCGAACGGCGAACGTGTCGCTGAGCAGAAATTGGCAAATCTTCAAACGAGGCGTGATTGCCGATTTCATAGTCTGTTTCCCAAAAGAAGCGGCTATCGTATTCTATGTCGCCGGACGCGTTGCGGTTCGCGTGCGCTCCTGTTTCTTTAAATAAACGTGAACCGCAACACGTGTGAACGACAAGGTCTTGCAGCGAAAAATTCTGGTAGCCGCTTTTTTTTTAGGAAACGCTAAGGATTAGAATACTCACTGAAAACCAAGCAACACCGTGAAGTATGAAAAATATAAATACTACAGTAATACCAAGAGGGCTGAAGAATAATGTAATGATTTTGGTACCGTAACATTGGTTTTATTTTATGATAGAATTTGAAGAAGTCTAACTGGAACAATGCCAAATATCGGTAGAGAAAATGAATTGAGAGAATTCCATAACTTAATGATATAAAACAGGAGCGAAAGGAAATTGCGATTTTGCCCAAATATAGATCCTCAAAAATTACTAATTAAGATAACAACTTTTTTTCCAATAAATTACGTCAAGAAATGGTCCATCACTCAAGAATACGACCATTGCATTACCAGTACCATGAATTGCCTGAATTATTTTTAAGAATTTGCTAAAACATAACTCCTGATCGCTTCCAGGAATATTCTTAAATTTGTTGAATTTTTACTGGACTTACAAATGGAATGATGGTTTCGACCGCTGAATACGACATATCGAAACATGCAAAAAATACAAGGAGATATTTGTAGGTTCCCATAATTGGTTTCGATGCCGTGATAACCAAATAAATAAATAATGGATTGAAAATAAAAGATAAAATTGCGAACATTTTTGGAAGAAAAAAATGCGGCCAATGGATATAAATCATTTTTGTTGATTTATTTTTCGAAATTTAGTAACTGAAAAAAAGATGTTTGAATTATGACTGAAATAAATTTCAATTGAGAAGATGCGATTGCTTCTGAGAATTGCTTATGTATTTGAAGCATGATTGAGTGTCATTGACGTGTAGTACATAGTATGATCGAAAGAACAAAAGAGACTCTAGTGGTGATAATAGAAATACAAAAAATTAGCACAGTTTTATGTACATCCAGGTTTATTTTAACTATACTAACAAATTGAGAATAGATGAAGAATTGGGCATGAATAAAAGGGCATGGGAAAGAAGTACAAAAATGGGAAATCGTAGGAAAAAAAAGCGATACAAAAAATATTATGCTACCTAATACACCAACTAATTTGAAAAAAAAAATTGATGCGAACCGAAAAAAATTTAACATAAAAAAATATAATTGAATTCACACAACACTATGGAATTCTTTTTAGGATTATCTTCTTATTTCTGATATTTTAACGCAAAAATTTCTTTAATTAAAGCTCTCAGCAAGCAATATATGTCTTCTAGAAAACGTTTAATATAGTTAAACTTATTATTTGAACGAGCTAAAAGTAACTTCGGTATAAAAATGAAATTTCTGATTTTGAATATTCACCAAATTACTGGTCAAGTCTCTGTCTTTTTTCCGAATAATACTTGCGAAATCCATTTCAAACTCATGTTATCGAATAAATTTGAAGATACCCGTTGAATTAATAATTCAAAAGTAGTACGCCATCGAAAATTCAGTGCATTTCCTTAGGTGCATTTTTTGAAAATCCATTCATTCTGCTTATGGTATTGTCAAATTTTGAGTTCATCGAGAAATGAAATTCATTTCCAATCTGAGTATAAGAAATATAAAGCTTTTTGTAACCCGAGAGTCTCTTAATAACGATTCAAATATCTATAGTTCCGGACTGGCTCTGTGCAGACATAAATGGTCACCAAAAAAAGGAAATTGTATTCATTTAAATATCCAACTACTATTATATGCATGACGGACCAAATTAATCGTTTAGTTTCGTGAACACTGATCGAAATGTATCAAATATTCTCTTGATTTTTCTCTTTCCCATTCAACCTTATTTCTATTATTATTATTATTATTATTATTATTATTAGAATCAGAATGATTAACTATGTATGCATGGTTTTCTGAATAACACATGTATATGTGTATATTATTAAAGGATATTCCGCATTCCATTATTGTGTGGTAAATACACGTAACTATTAGTAAATAGAGATCATAAATCAGCTCCCCATTTTTGTTAACTTAGCTATAAAATTTTTATTAAAAATGTATAGCTTCAAAAAAATCGGCTAGCTGATCACGACTGGATAGATTTTTTAATTTACTAGAAAATTAAAAGCATTTTGGTCTTGACACTGTAATAAAATATTCGCAGAGTGGAAACAGATACTTCAAACATTTTTGCCATGTGTGGCTGGAAATCGGTTACTCTGAACATTTTGAAGAAGTTTTGAAGTCCTCTTTCAGGTTTCCACTTAAAATGTGGAAAACTTTGGTCCGGATTTCGATTTATTATTTATCATTTCCCTTTCTAAACATCCATCAATTTTTCCCATACTTGGCTGAAATACTTTTGCGGTTTTACATTTAAAAGTGGAGTTCACAGATGAGCGAGAATCTAGCTTTTCTAGGGATAAAAATGAGAAGATGCCTTTGCTTGTGTTTCCAGTATTACTGCTTGCTCCAGATTTTTTGTTTCACGCTTCACCAATTCCTTTTCGATACATCTCGGCGAACTACCAAACATGTTTGAAAATTGTTGTCAAAGTTCGACAATGACGTGTAATGCTCATCGAAAATTCCATTTTTCTCAAGATGGTGAACATCGAAAGCTTCATCGTCGTCTTCGTCTTCCATTTTCGAATCGTAATATCAAAAGTGATGTTTTCAATTCAATTCGATTCGACCCGCAGTTTGCAAAATCCCATTTCGTAAAGAGCATCACTCAATGATGACACCAACCCGGAGAAGAAAACGATCATCCATCCCATTTTCTTCGTTTTTGTAATGAAGAATCCAATTAGTGGCGCACAACGCCAGATTTCATTGAAATGGCAGCGGCTCATTCTTAAGATAGTTTACGAATCCCAATTAATGAGCAACCGTGCTCGGAGCCATCAATTATTCTGAAGAGAAGGCGGTCTTCGGAGACAGCGAAAAAAACACACCCATCCAACTGAATGGGGTGGGGTCGCTCCGATTCATACGCATCTGTGCGCTCGCACTTTTATTAGGCTCATTTTTTCTGTCTCGTGTGAGCTCTGATTTCCTGACAATTTGTTAGCTGACAATTAGTGAGTTGGGCCATTTCCATAAACCGAAGCCTATAATTTGGACGGCGCCATTTTCCTGTGCGAGTTTGTCTTGACTAATTTGGGGTTTCTCGAGTTTCACCCCACCTTCATTTATATTTTATCAATCTCGTGCCACATTCAACGTTCTTTCTTCGCAATCCTTCACAATACTATTCTCATAGTCTTTTTTGTTCAGAGTTCTCTTCAAAACCTCAAAGGAACATGTCGCTTGGAATCCGCACACTTGTCGTCGTCTTCTGCCTCGTCGTCGTGTGCTTCGCGTTCGGCCGCCTCGAACTACAGTAATCCATGAGTATGTTTTGAGACCTTTCGAATTAATGTTTTCAGAGACCATATGCAATTCTCTCGTTTCCATGAGCCTGTCAGCAGCAACGGAGGATCATCTGGAAATGCTGCAGAGTAAGTACCGAAGAAGTCTGTCATCGGAATGAATGCCTGATTTCAGTGATGCCTACATCCGCTATCTTTCGGAATACTTCGGCCGTCCAGCGCAACGTCGTGCGTCCGCCCCCTAATTCCGAATTGATAATTATTTGATGGAGATGATGATAACAATAAATCGATTTTGTTTGTGCTTTGAAAAACAAACAAATTTATTTACAAATACAATCGTGTAAATACAAATATGAGACGAACTGAGGAGAACCAGTAGAAGTCAACCCATGTGTTTTTGTTTGCGCTTATTATTCACTGCGTTCCGTTTAATTGCCATAGATGAGACGAATATCGTACACGATATTCTTGTTGAAAATCAGAAATGCGAAGATGAATGGCGTCAAATAGAGAATGATGGAAGGCCGCAGAAATGATTGAGGACATGCCGCGCCGTTTGGCAACGATTCGTCGAGCGATTCTGAAATTAAAAATAGAAATAAACGTACAAATGAAAGAAGCGCGAGAATGACGTCAAAGCGACATACATATTTGGAATTATTTGAAAATAATAGATCATTTGCGAGAGGGTGCATCACCGGCTTGGGTCAATTTACGGTAATGTGCCTTTAAACGGCTCTCATCGAATATCTAGTTATATTGAAACTTACTGGTCTTTTTTTGAAAAAAAAACGACAGATTCCGAAAATTTATTACAGGAAATTTTGTGAAAAGTGTCTTGCCAATCAAATGATTTTTTTGATTTCCGAGAATAGAAAATAGTACTGGAGTGTTGCTTTTTGCGTCACACAATTCTTGTATTGCTCGTTTTGTTTTGTGAAACACTTCCAAGTTCCGTGTAAAGATAAATTATTAACTAAAATAAGCTATTTTTGTGCAGAAATCGCATTTTTCGTATTTGGAAAGTGTAGTTTCTTTCAAGTATTTTTTCGCGAAAATTCTTGTTGAAAAAATGCACGAATCTCGGTAAACGTTAATTATATATCAGAGAATATTTAAAATTCCGGACATAAGACCTGTCAAGAATACCGATGGGTGCGGTCTACTGTAGAGTTGGGTCTCGCAACATCTGTGTCTCTCTGTGTCATCTGTGTCATCTGTGTCATCTGTGTTACGCCCAGTCGTTAAGTGGTGTATTGTCCGTGCGGAGTACACAACGAGCGTCTCGAGACAATTTTTCGGAGGTGCGCGATATTCTATGAATATTTGCCAGCTATTGATTGGCTAAATTTACGGTGTTGATTTTCTACAGACAAACTGCTCAATTTGCAATTGTTCCTCTTCGTCACGCGATATCGCCTAGACGCAAACTTGTGCGCCTTTAATCCATATCACAGAAATACTACTATCTGTGTTGAGATTGCAATGATGTTGTGTGACTTTCAAGAGAACTATCAATTCAGGTTATGATTGTATTATTTGAAAAACCTGTTCGTGATAGGAACAAACATAATTTGCATATTGACTTTTAACCAATTGGAACAAAAAATGGAAAAAATTTTCATAGAGAAATCACATGGCAAGTATAGAATTTCAATAATATTTTTTTAATTAATGAATCTACAATTGCTAAGGTCAAGATTTTCAAAAAAAAATTATTTATCTACTAGCTTCAGTTGTCGGCTTACTAAATTTTTTTATAATATATAACTAGCTTAATCAATTAAACCGAATATGTGCAATTTATTCTTAGAGGGGATCAGAAACGTCATAACGAAAACCGTCAAATGATAATCGGCAGCTCAACAATTGTGCAAATAATAATGGTTGCACGAAATCGGTTGCTCATTTTTGGAAGGAAAAAATAAACTCACCAAATTGTTCGCAAAATGTAGAATGAATGGATATTACAACGAAAATCAGCATCGATGATGTGCGCATCTGAAAAATCGACACACCGAAATGACGCATCGGAAGTAAATTCGCGAACAAACACAATTCAACTGGTAAACAAACAAATAGGAAAACATAACAAACATGTGAGGTCAGGAAAACCGTGTCTGGGAACATTTCCAAAAATGGCTATCCTCATGGGAAGAGATCGACGTGCGCGGGCGACAGGAGAACCGAGACAAAACAGCGATAGTCGTCGGAAAAGAGAAAAAGAGAACCCAAGTCGAGGTCAGCGGGTAGCGGATGTAATAACAAATCAATGTTAGTCTTTGGCGAGATCCGCGAACAAAAAACAAATTCAGGATGTTGACTTTTTAATTATTTATTTGTTTCATACTATCTAACATCAATTTCAGAAATTGATTCAAAAAAATAATAAAAAATAAAAAACACCGAAAAAAAAAACTTTTTTTGTCTGACAAACTAAAAAGTTTGAGGAATGACTTTGCGTTTTATAGTCATCGGCTGTTTTGCTATCAAAATTGAATAGACTAGAACTGATAAGGGTTCAAAATGAGTGTTTTCGGTATAATGGTTCAAATTGCGAATGAAACGAATAGGAATGAATTCACAAAAATTTGTATGTACAGGGTGTCATTTAAGTTCCCGCACAAAAGTTTGACGCCATGAAGAGCTTGGCTGTCGCACTTTTCGTGCACCAATAAAATTTATTTTTGTTAAATAAGGTATATTTTACTTACTTTCCAAGTTTCACCTCATTCGGATGTGTTTCCGAGAAATGGCGAAGGCTAACATCCATTGCGCTTCCATTATCGAACTTCATAAGCAAAATGTGAGCTCGAGAGACATCATTCAACGGGTCGGTGTGCCTCGTAGAACGGTTTGCGACACCATCAAACGTTTCAAGGAGCTAAATACGACCAGTCACCGTCCCAGACAAGGAAGACTCGTCTCAGTAACCACTCCTCAGAAGATCAACGCCGTCAAATCGAGGATCAGGCGAAACCCCCACAGGAGCATGAGAAAGATGGCGTTAGACATGGGAATGAGCATCTTCGCTATGGAACAAATTGTCAAAACGAAGCTTGGACTGACCCCATATCGTGTCCAAAAAGCGGCAATTCTATCGGCCGTCAGCAAGCAGAGACGCTTCGAAAAAGCAAAACGACTTCTTGCTCGCACGCGGTCTGGACAACACCTCGTCACTGTCTTCTCCGACGAGAAGCTGTTCACTGTGGAGACGGCATTCAACTCACAAAACCATTGAGTACTTGCCCAGACATCCCAGCAAGCTTCTGAGAAAAGAAGAACATATCATCCAGCCTCACATCCTGCCAGCATGATGGTTTTCGTTGCCATCTGCTCAACCGGGAAGTGCCCCCTGGTTTTCGCGGATCAGGGGGTGAAAGTGAACAAAGAAGTCTACGTTCGGGACATTTTGGAGAAGCATGTGATGCCCTGGACCCAAACGCATTTCGGTGGGCAGAAATGGGTCTTTCAACATGACGGAGCAGCCGCCCACACTGCCAAAACTACTCAGGAGTGGTGCCAGACCCATTTTCCCGACTTCATCAAGTCATCCGAATGGCCTGATTGCTCCCCAGACCTGAACCCGCTTTCTCAAAATGATGAGTCTGGATCCATTTGGCATTTGCCACAATAATTCCGGTTGATTAGTTTCTGTCTTTTCAATTACCAATGATTATCAACATCGATACCGTCAAACTAGAAGCAAAAACTTCTATTATAATTTGCCGGCCAGACTCATCATTTTGAGAAATAAAAATCGCTCATTGACATTTTTATAGCACAAAAAAGCGGACATCCAAATTTCCAGTTTTCGCAAATTGTATTCGCCTCATCTACTTCGTGTATCTCATTCAAACATTCTCCGCGCCATCCAATTCTTCCTATTTCTTTTTGCCAATGTATACAGGGTGTCATTAAAGTTCACGCACAACTTTGAAGACGTATATTTCTGAAACTAAAAGTCCAAATCAAACGAGACTCAAAATATTTTTTATCTATAGTATAACAAATATTTATCTATTAACTCTTTTTGATTCGGCCTCCTTTCGCAGCTATGACTTCACGGAAACGCTTCGGGTAGGATGCGACTGTGGTACGCAGGTATTCGATGGAAAGATTGTCCCATTCCGCCAGTAATGTCTTCTTCAGAGCCTCTACACTTGAATGGGGTTTTGCGTTGACCTTCTCCTGCAAGACCCCATCACGGGAAAGTCAAGCGGGTTCAGGTCTGGGGAGCAATCAGGCCATTCGGATGACTTGATGAAGTCGGGAAAATGGGTCTGGCACCACTCCTGAGTAGTTTTGGCAGTGTGGGCGGCTGCTCCGTCATGTTGAAAGACCCATTTCTGCCCACCGAAATGCGTTTGGGTCCAGGGCATCACATGCTTCTCCAAAATGTCCCGAACGTAGACTTCTTTGTTCACTTTCACCCCCTGATCCGCGAAAACCAGGGGGCACTTCCCGGTTGAGCAGATGGCAACGAAAACCATCATGCTGGCAGGATGTGAGGCTGGATGATATGTTCTTCTTTTCTCAGAAGCTTGCTGGGATGTCTGGGCAAGTACTCAATGGTTTTGTGAGTTGAATGCCGTCTCCACAGTGAACAGCTTCTCGTCGGAGAAGACAGTGACGAGGTGTTGTCCAGACCGCGTGCGAGCAAGAAGTCGTTTTGCTTTTTCGAAGCGTCTCTGCTTGCTGACGGCCGATAGAATTGCCGCTTTTTGGACACGATATGGGGTCAGTCCAAGCTTCGTTTTGACAATTTGTTCCATAGCGAAGATGCTCATTCCCATGTCTAACGCCATCTTTCTCATGCTCCTGTGGGGGTTTCGCCTGATCCTCGATTTGACGGCGTTGATCTTCTGAGGAGTGGTTACTGAGACGAGTCTTCCTTGTCTGGGACGGTGACTGGTCGTATTTAGCTCCTTGAAACGTTTGATGGTGTCGCAAACCGTTCTACGAGGCACACCGACCCGTTGAATGATGTCTCTCGAGCTCACATTTTGCTTATGAAGTTCGATAATGGAAGCGCAATGGATGTTAGCCTTCGCCATTTCTCGGAAACACATCCGAATGAGGTGAAACTTGGAAAGTAAGTAAAATATACCTTATTTAACAAAAATAAATTGTATTGGTGCACGAAAAGTGCGACAGCCAAGCTCTTCATGGCGTCAAACTTTTGTGCGGGAACTTAAATGACACCCTGTATGTTCGATACTATTATTGGATGATTTTGTAGAAAATCTTCTGCATCCGCTCACATTGTACTACGCGTTTTTTTCGGTTTTTATTGGTGATCCAACATGTCGAATAATACGTAGTTATTAGAGAAGTTTTCCATTCATAATTTCTCCGGAAAATTTAAATTTACAATTTTGGCATTTTTGTGGTCTCAGATAAAAAATCTTCAAACTTTGAAAAAAAATTTCAAAAGTATTCATTTTCACAATGAAAATTACCCTGAAAAATCAATATCGGATAATGAATTTGTATTTGAAATCATTTTAGCATTTCCTGAAACTTCTAGAAGTAATTTTATAAAGAATAGAAAGAGCTTGAATGAAAATAATTCTAGTATCTCTGCTGCATTTCCACCTGTATGTACTTCGTATGATATCCATATATCCATAATAAAATTCAAAGATATGAAATAGAATTCAAAGAAACCTCTGCGTTAAACCCTTTAAGAAAACATGGCAAAAACTTTTTAATGGGGTCGACTACTATTAGTTTTCGATAAAACGCCATCTTGAACATCGGTCTGAAATCACAAACACTACTCGAGGAATGACAATTGGAAATGTAGAAACTGAAAAATCGTTGTAGTACTATGCATAATGGGCAAAAAAAAAACTAGTTGTAACCAGTTTTTTTTTTGAGTCTCATCTTGAATCTTCATACCATCATTATATTTTAAATAATTTCTATTATATTTTTTTCGGTATTTTCTCTATAGAAATTATTATTGAAAAATAAAACCACGAAAGCCCGCCGAATTAAATCGTGACAGATGCCCTAAAATCAGCCGGCGTTCTTAAAAGGAGTTATAGTAATTGTAATGAATTTATTGAAATTATGCTGAATTGTGTGCAATTATTAAATGAACATCATTGTATATTCTTTTTTACAGATGCCCTAAAATCAGCCGGCGTTCTTAAAAGGAGTTATAGTAATTGTAATGAATTTATTGAAATTATGCTGAATTGTGTGCAATTATTAAATGAACATCATTGAATATTCTTTTTTACAGATGCCCTAAAATCAGCCGGCGTTCTTAAAAGGAGTTATAGTAATTGTAATGAATTTATTGAAATTATGCTGAATTGTGTGCAATTATTAAATGAACATCATTGTATATTCTTTTTTACAGATGCCCTAAAATCAGCCGGCGTTCTTAAAAGGAGTTATAGTAATTGTAATGAATTTATTGAAATTATGTTGAATTGTGTGCAATTATTAAATGAACATCATTGAATATTCTTTTTTACAGATGCCCTAAAATCAGGGTTCTTAAAAGGAGTTATAGTAATTGTAATGAATTTATTGAAATTATGCTGAATTGTGTCAATTATTAAATGAACATCATTTATATTCTTTTTACAGATGCCCTAAAATCAGCCGGCTCTTAAAAGGAGTTATAGTAATTGTAATGAATTTATTGAAATTATGTGAATTGTGTGCAATTATTAAATGAACATCATTGATATTCTTTTTTACAGATGCCTAAAATCAGGCGTTCTTAAAAGGAGTTATAGTAATTGTAATGAATTTATTGAAATTATGCTGAATTGTGTGCAATTATTAAATGAACATCATTGTATATTCTTTTTACAGATGCCCTAAAATCAGCCGGCGTTCTTAAAAGGAGTTATAGTAATTGTAATGAATTTATTGAAATTATGCTGAATTGTGTGCAATTATTAAATGAACATCATTGTATATTCTTTTTTACAGATGCCCTAAAATCAGCCGGCGTTCTTAAAAGGAGTTATAGTAATTGTAATGAATTTATTGAAATTATGCTGAATTGTGTGCAATTATTAAATGAACATCATTGTATATTCTTTTTTACAGATGCCCTAAAATCAGCCGGCGTTCTTAAAAGGAGTTATAGTAATTGTAATGAATTTATTGAAATTATGCTGAATTGTGTGCAATTATTAAATGAACATCATTGTATATTCTTTTTTAAATGGACTTTGTTCAATATCACGATGACCGAAGCCCTTGAGAAGGCAGGATAATATAATAATAATAGTAGTCGGCAATCGAAAACACTACACTTTTCTCATCTTTGAGAATTCTCAACCCGAATTGATTGGAACCATAAAAAGAGGCTCATTCGAACAAAATGTTCACATGAAATTCTTCTGCATATGTTTGATTTGAACGCTCTTTAAGTTCGCATTTTTGGGTGCAAAATTCAGTTTTTTGGCGACGATAAGATAAAGGATAATGGGGGCAAAATTGAATAAGTGTGAAATTGTTTCGTTCGATAAGATTGAGAAGAAAAACCCATTAAATTGATAAATTCGTCAAGAAATTGACTAAAACACACACTACATATTTATCGTGTATGTAGTTTGGAGAATTATCAAAGAAAATGTACATTTATTTAGGAGCACCGAATAAATCAAATCTACATTTTTGTACAACTATCTTTTGAGGAAAAACTGGCAGTAGTGATTTTCTGATTTGCGGGATGAATCTGCAAAATTTCCAAAAATCTATATTCACAAATTGAACGCATTACCTTATTTGTTTCTTGCGATGATCCGATTGCATTCAACATTTCCTCATCTCCAACCCGTTCTGGCATCACATTAAATATTATTTGCAGGAATTTTGTAGTATCCTCTGAATATTTAGAATTATTCACCAGTTTCGAATACGAATTTTTACCGTTGACACTCTCCGAAAATTTCTGATATGCTTTCGTCGAAGGCAGCGATTTTTCCCAGACAAAAATTGTGAAAATAATGAGACCTCCGAGAAGGATTCCGAGACCAACTCCCGACGATTGAATGTCATCGATTATGCTGATCACGACCATTGCAGAGCATACCAAGAAGAATAAAATTGGCATTATAATTGGAAGGCTAATACGATCAGGATGAAGTGGACGATTCCTGAAAAATACAACTATTTTGCGAATCAAAATGTGACACTTCCGCATATTAAAGCAACCACTTTTTTTGAGTTTGGTTTAATGATTAATCCAAAAATTAAGAAAAATTGACAAAAAAAACCGTACCTAAATTTAATCCAAAGTAGTGCTGACATAGTGAAAGCTCTTTGGGACCATTGAGCAAATGCCACATAATTGATAAGATTATCGGGATCTCCCAAAAACGACACCACAATTGCAATGAAAATCTGCAAGCTCAATAGACAATTTGTTGCTCGTTTATCATATTGATTTACATGAACTAATAATGCAACCCTCGGCGAATCGCAATGTGGTGTGATTCCAGAAATCGCCGTCGGAATGTGTCCCTGACGAGCAACGGCTTGAAGATAACGACTAGCTGAGAACATCGTGCTGTTCAAGGAGCCAATTAGGAGGATTGCAACCATAATTGGCATTATGAAATCGGCAGTTCCGAGCGTTTTCTTTGCGAAATCCTTCAAAAGAGTTGGTGATAATTAAAAAATAAGCAAATGAATTTACAATAGCAACAGCATCGGAAGCCATCAATTCAGGAACTGACAACACAATACTGTAGGAGATGTTAACGGCGACGTAAATAATCCCAATGCACGTCATTCCGATGATAATTGCGAGTGGCATTGTTCTAGAATATTTTTCGATTTGATTCACTCTCTCAGCCTTCGATTTACCGTTTTGGGTTTTCAATTTCCTCGGCGCCGAAATTCAAAATATCCCAACCATCGTATGAGAACAAACCGGCAAACAGAGCATTTACCACTGGTCCCGGCATGTAGTCCGTTCCGGCAAACGGATTTTTCAAGTTTTGAGTCCATCCGCGGAAGATGAGAAAATAGAAGCCGGTTCCGATAATGAGCAGAGTTGCGGCCATTTTTGCGATTGAAGCGAGAATCGAAAATCTTTGAACAAATGTTTTCAAAGAGAAGAAGTTCATGAACATTAGAAGAGCTGCAATTAGTGAGATTCATATTGAAATAAAAACGAGTGTCTTGCGCCGATTTACGGTGAGTTAGGTCCACAATTATGCAAGGCGCTGTTTTTTTTTTTGCGATGGTAGTAATTAAAATGTAGTGTTAAATTTATAATGATGAAGGATTTTTTAATATGTATGTATATAGTCTGCGAAGACCATAGTGAAAAAGGGAGAACCGAGATACTCACAGACACATTAGTAGCCGACTATATTTAATTTTCCCTCAAAAATTAAATGTATTTTCTTAATATTGATAACTGTATTGGCGGTCATCAAACTTCTAATCCTTCATTTCACGATAACGTTCTCATGATAAACAAGGGGCTACAATGCGGAAATTTTCAATATAGAATATCTTACTAATCAATGAGAAACCAAGCAATTTTTCTGCCCAAAACCGAGAAGTCGGATCTAATTTGATATTGAGTCCCTGCAGAATGTAGATATATCAACAATATGTGTATTTGAAACCTCTAGAACGTATCTTGAAAATGTCTGAGCCTGCACGGCCAATGTGGCCGGGTAGTTAATAGTGCATCCAATGCACATGAATGCAAACGCAACCGGGTACCTGCGAGAATTCACGTTTCAGAAAAAAAAATTGAAATTAATTTTAAAATACCATTTCATGAAACAGTGATAGGCGAAGTCTCCTCCACTCAACCGAATCGACGTTCCCAATTCGACATAGCAAAATGATCCGAGCATCGCAATAAGTGCTGAGGTTATCCAAATAACCAAAGAAAATCCCGCCTAGTTTATTAGAAAAATATTTTCAATAATTATTGTTTAGACAAACCGAATTAACATTTCTGATAATACTCGTTGGGGTAATGAAAAGCCCAGAGCCGACAATGTTTCCAACAATATAGGAAATGGCTCCGAGGAGACCCATTTTTTGAGATCTTGACCCTTCCTCCATTATCTGAAAAAAAGCGAACAATTTGAGAAAACTTCTCCTATTATATTTTATTGAACTATTTTAGAAATGACGGCCGACGAACAAAATGATAATGAAATTCCCATGTACGTACAAGACGAAGCACATGTCGACATGAATGAGAACTCATTTTTTTCATACGTGTTTCGCGATAAGACTCCGCTAAAAGGCGATAGCAGAATTAGAATATTGCAATTAAAAAAAAGGTATGGACCAATTAAAATGACCGATACGTTCCGTTTTCCGAGTTTTGTTTGAACAGCGATTAACAAACTGAAGCCTGCTTACATTGAATCGAAAAATACACATTGTTTTCATGTTTTGATTTGAGAAATCGAGTCGCAAGACTATCACATTGACGTCGTTTTCCGAAAAAAAATGTTGGAATAATGCGAATTTTTTTAAAGAAAATATTTTTATTCAACAAAAAAAAAGAATTAATTTGGACAGCAATATGCGAAATGGAGGCCGGTGTGGCAATGGTATCCGGCTGGGCATTGCAAAACGTCGCATGATTTGGCGACGACTCGCATATCATGAGCGTACCATGGAAGAGCAGGATCAGTGTATCTCAATTTCAGACCATTCGGGCATTCGGCGAGCATATCATTGGAATAGGCATCTGAAAATGAAAATGAATGTCGAATGAATTTTTGCTTTCCTACCCAATTGAGCAGTGTCACAACATAATCCATAAGTGTATCCTGGAAGACATGTCGAAGTGTCAGAATCGCATTTCTTCTGAAATATTCAAAATGTCTAAAAATGATAAGGAAGGTTTCGAATACATTTGGTACACTTCCTTCGCAGTGTCCATTCGCTTCTCCATCAAGATTCGGATGGACTGTGATTCCAGCGGGGCACACATGGCGACCTTCTGAAAAATCGTAATTGACCTGTCTAGTTCATTGAAGATCACCGTCAAGTTCAGCTCTTTCGCATGAAATGATGTCATTGTAGCTATTGGCTGGAGTGAAGTTCTTGTTATAGAAGAAGCATTCGTTGTCTTCGTAGGAGTAGGCGAACTTGAACATGGGTGGTCCTGATTGAGCAGCCACGGAGCACACGAAAGTTAACGCAATTGCAAACTTCATCATTCGATGCGTTTTTGAGAACATGTGGAGCCTTTATATAACACTCTTAGCTGAACATTTTCCCACAAACACAATGATACATTCATATTCAAAAAGTTTTGGCTTTATTCTATTGAAAGAAAACAAATTCTAAAATAGGAATCGTCTGAATTTTGTCTGGATGAATAGCGAAAATTAAAAGATTCCGAGAAATATGAGGTCAGAACGATTGATTACAACATTCATCGAAACGCGTTCCGCAAAAATTCTTATGAGTCAGCCCATTTATAACAAAAACGTTCAGTTTAAAACATTCGCGTTTTCTTGAAAATAAAAAATGAACCATCGTCCGAAAAATACTAATAACAGGCTGTTCGGTGGTTCGTTCTGTGTGTTTTTTTTTACTTCGTTCAAGCTGTCATACGATTCGATTTGGGTACGTTGTGTCCCCAATGGCAGAAGATAGACGCGGCCACGTCGCGCACGCCACGAACGACGTTGGGTGGTTCAAACAGCGCGTGCCCGTCTGGTTAGTATGCCCTTCCCTTGTTACCGCCTGGATGTTTGCTATCCTTTCGGTTTTCGTCGGAAGCACAAGAATCTCTTCAAATATAGTCCCAATGCTTTAATAACCTGACGGTAACTCCGCTGCGGCTTCTAAATCGAGCACGTGTCAAAAATGTTGAATACCGATTATAAGGTTTGGGTTTGGTTGGGCTTTCGCCGTCAGTGTCTATGTTTGTGTCTCAATTTGTTGGAGACCGTGAAACGTCAGCAGCATAGTGTACGCTTGAACATGGTAAGTTTCCGTGTCTGACTGAAGCATCCGCGTGTGTTGCCTGACCGTGAAAGTTTGGACCTGATGGAACGCGTTAGTCTCCGTAATGTTCGTCGTTTCGATTATAGGAAGATTAAGCTCTACCGCTAATGTTTCGTGGATTATGGAATGTTGCGGCGAAGGACACGCGCGTGCATAGTGTGAAGATTCAAAACAATTAAGGCACCTGTTGTTCGCCAAGCAGCGCAAACTCTTATTGTGGCATTAAGCATAGGACAAATGCAAAAAAATCTTTATTCAACAAAAAAAGGAATTAATTTGGGCAGCAATAGGCGAAATGGAGGCCGGTGTGGCAATGGTATCCGGCTGGGCATTGCAAAACGTCGCAGGATTTGGCAACGACTCGCATATCATGAGCGTACCATGGAAGAGCAGGATCAGTGTATCTCAATTTCAGACCATTCGGGCATTCGGCGAGCATATCGTTGGAATAGGCATCTGAAAATGAAAATGAGTGTCGAATGAATTTTTGCTTTCCTACCCAATTGAGCAGTGTCACAACATAATCCATAAGTGTATCCTGGAAGACATGTCGAAGTGTCAGAATCGCATTTCTTCTGAAATATTCAAAATGTCTAAAAATGATGAGAAAGGATTTAAATACATTTGGGACACTTCCTTCGCAGTGTCCATCCACTTCTCCATCAAGATTCGGATGGACTGTGATTCCAGCGGGGCACACATGGCGACCTTCTGAAAAATCGTAATTGAGATCGCGACTGTCTGATTCATTGAAGATCACCGTCAAGTTCAGCTCTTTCGCATGAAATGATGTCATTGTAGCTATTGGCTGGAGTGAAGTTCTTGTTATAGAAGTAGCATTCGTTGTCTTCGTAGGAGTAGGCGAACTTGAACGTGGGTGGTCCAGATTGAGCAGCCACGGAGCACACGAAAGTTAACGCAATTGCAAACTTCATCATTCGATGCGTTTTTGAGAACTTGTAAAGCCTTTATATAGCACTTAGCTGAACTTTTTCCCACAGACACAATGATACATTCATATTTATTCAAAAATTCAACCAACGATTTTTTAATCTCTTCTGTTTCTTTATCTGTAAATAAAAAATGGTTTTTTGTTGTATGAAAAGTATACAAACAAAATTAAAAAAAAAACTTGTGATCTTTATTCTGTTTAAACATACCTTCGAACAGTCTAGACATTTTTTGTGTCAATATTTTCTTGAAATTATTTTTCTGTGGAAATACTGATCGGTCAGTGTTGCGTGCGGCGGCGTTGGCTTAAATAAAGAACGTATACGATCCCATACGATTAGCATTAACGTATTTTTTTTTTAATTTTATCTTATACGATGAGGAAATGCTGCTGTTTCTTTGCGTTTTTGTCGGAAAACGCAATTTTCGGATAATAAAACAAATTTTGTTTAATGACTCAGTAAGTGTAAATCTAATATGGGATAATAAAAACAACCCTATTTAGCCATTTTTTAACAATACAATCGATTTTTGAAAGTTGGTGATAATGTCATTTTTGAAAAAAATATGGGTGAGGTTAAATTTTTGTGGAGAAGTGTATATTCGAACGTGACATGAGTATTTTCTATATTTCTAAATAAAAATTATTAATGAGTCGCCAGCAGTCAGTTTTCAATTATTCCCGTTGCAATAACAGCTAACGCCAATAAAAGGTATTTATACTTATTCGTGCTTCTGTGTTCTTGTCTCTCCGCCACTGGGCCCCGATCGAAACATGGCGCATCTACCAAATGGTTGGCACAAATCTTGTGAGAGCAGAAAACTGATTGATCACCGGGAACATTGCCGTAGTCACCTACTATCCACACCAATGCTAGTTAAACAACGCTAAACAAAAAACCAATCCAAGACATTAGCGGTACTGCTTAACATCACCGACGACGAAAGCCCAACCAAACCGAAACCTTTTAATCGGTATTCAACATTTTTTGACACTTGCTCGGTTTAGAGGAAATAAAGAAGCCACCGTCACTTTATTAAAGCATTAGGAGTATAAAAAAATCCAGGTGGTAGCAAGAGAGGGGCATACTAACAAGACGTGCAAGCACTATTTGAATCTCCCCAACGTCGTTCCATGAAAAAAGTGTTATACATATAAAGGCAATTTCTCAAAAACGCATCGAATGATGAAGTTTGCAATTGCGTTAACCTTCGTGTGCTCCGTGGCTGCTCAATCAGGACCACCCATGTTCATGTTCGCCTACTCCTACGAAGACAACGAATGCTTCTTCTATAACATGAACTTCACTCCAGCCAATAGCTACAATGACATCATTTCATGCGAAAGAGCTGAAGTTGATAGTGATTATCAATTAATCAGACCGTCGTGATTCAAATACGATTTTTCAGAAGGTCGTCATGTCTGCCCCGCTGGAGTCAAAGTCCATCCGAATCTTGATGGAGATGCGGATGGACACTGTGATAGTTTTCCAGATGTATTCAAATCCTTCCTTATCATTTTTAGACATTTTGAATATTTCAGAAAAAATGCGATTCTGACACTTCGACATGTCTTCCAGGATACACTTATGGATTATGTTGCGACACACTTCAATTGGGTAGGAAAGCAGAAATTCATTCAATTTTCATTTTCATTTGCAGAGGCCTATAACAACGATATGCTCGCCGAATGCCCAAACGGTCGGAAATTGAGATACACTGATCTTGCTCTTCCATGGTATGCTCATGATATGCGAGTCGTTGCCAAATCATGCGACGTTTTGCAATGCCCAACCGGATATTATTGCCACACCGGCCTCGATTTCGCCTATTGCTGCCCAAATGAATTCGATACGTAGTTATAAACTATCATTAATCAGTTATTATTGAGTTTATTTCGTATTCGTTCGTACAATACCAAATTATGCAATTTTTACAAAGAAATCACGGTGTTGGCAAATGAAAAGAGAAGTTAGAAACCTGTGGGTGGCAAACATGAAAAGATTGAGCAAATTATGTCGTCTACCCTAGACACAAAAATAATAATGAAAAAAAAACAAAATATGAAGAAATTCGTCTAAATAAGGCAAGGAGCACAAAACTCATCTAGTCATACGCGCAAACACTATGAGACATACATGGATGGCATGACTGATCTAATAATAATCTAACCTCACAAAAATAAAAAATAAAATAAAAACAACGATGAATTAAATGAATGAGTCACTGAGAAGTAGAAAACCGCGTTTTGTTCATTGTAGTTGGTCATTATTATGAATGTCTGTGATTTTATCAGAGATGAAAAATTGCTTCAATTGACCAGCTGCTGCTGATGTTGCTGCGGCTGGTGTTGTGATTGTTGGAGGTTCGGCTGCTGATATGGTGGAGGTGGTGGTAAGTGGATGTTTCTAAAAAAAACCCGAAATGAAATAATCGACTGAAAGCGAAAAGACAACTAACCCTTCGATAGTCTGCGCTCTGACAAACGTCGGTTTTGCCAAATTGAGCGGGAGTTGCTGTTGTTGCTGCTGCTGATACGTGAGTCCGTTGCCGTTCTGCTGAATGGGTGCAGAATCAAAAAAATAGTCGGCACGATGAATCGGTGTAATCATCTGCTGGCATCCGCTCAAATCGATGCATGATGATGGACGTCGTTGGTGAGAGAACGTCGTCGTCGGCGATGGCATCGAAGAGATATAGTTGGACGGCATCGGCGCCAATCGTTGTTCTTTGAGTAACTTCAGAAGAAGTGGATATTTCTGCATCTTTTCCGTCGAGAATCCCTCGTCATACACCAATTGTTGTGGAGTTGCTGACGCCGGCGGGAAGCTCGGCTGTCCTCCCGCGGTCTCGGCGGGTAGCGGACCACCATTCATGGTTGGATGCTCGTATGGGGGCGGATTTCGCATTCTGTGGTTCGTCATTGGCACATTCAATGATTGCGCATGAGTCAAACTGGTCGGACCATGATGATGATGATGTTGCTGCTGATTGTATGCATCTTCGTAGGTGTTGATCATCGACTGCTGAGTGGGACGGTAGTAGCCATACATGTGATAATGGGAAGGCATTGAATGCACACGATTGATAGCGTTCGTCGTGCGACTACCGGCAGAATTCTTCTTGACGAATCTTCCGCAATTGCTTGAAGCCGCTGTCGAAGCATCGAGAAGCATATTCCTGCTCCACATTTGGGAATTGTCAATTCTTGTGTCAGATCGTGTCAACGCTTTGTCCGATGGATCACTCCATTGGGGCATCTGCGAATTGGTGTTGAATGCCGCAGAATGGGACGTCTGCGATCGAAGATCATGAATACTCATTGATTGGAACGAATGACGAGTATCGAGATCGGATGACAAAAAGCCCGATGAACCCCCGACGGGACGATCGGGTTTGCTATTGAAATTGACGTCGACAATACTTTTCTGACTGCCAGACTCGATCGTCTGAGAAGCGTTGTCGATGGAATTCGGGCGTCTATAAATCGGAAATAATCGAACATTGAAATGAGCATATGTTTTCTTACGTTGTTGCATCAATTGATGTCACCGTTTGAGTGGAAGTTGTTGCGCCAGATGATTCATTTGCAGGATGGTACTTAAATTTTGACAACAGCTAATTATTGAATTTATTATTTTTGGCGATTACCGTATGATGTTTAAGATCGTTTCGAGACCGTTCACTCTCATCGCTGGCTTTACTTGATTGCGAGGCGGCTCGTTCTTGTCGAATGTCTAACAAATTTGGCATTTTCAGAATATAAGCTACTTATGTAATTGATTACTTTCAAGTTCCATTTTCTCAATTTTCACATCGAGATTCGAATCCATTTTGATTCGCATTCTCATTTTCGATGAAATCGATCCATGACATCTCTCTCCTCCAGCGCTACTCAAAGAATCCGAGTCCTTATCGTGATCTCCGCTACCAATACCACTTGTTGATGACGTACTTGTTCCATCCACCGACATTTCCTGGTAGGGTTTGGGTGGCGGAGCCATTCGCGCATACAGATGAGACATTACAAGAAGTGTTTGATGAACAGCTCGGCACAATTCCAGCAGATATTTCGCTTTGCTCTCGGTGTGAGCATACAATGACATTTTGGTCCCATCTGCTCCGATAATCGTCAATTTTTTTCTGTCGAATGACAATCGAGTCACTTTATTCCATTGAAGAGAACGCAGTGGAATTCGATCGCCATATTCGCCAATATCGCACATCTCAATGCCCCTGAATCAGCAATTCTAGTTTCGAATTGTACCATGAAATGTTTACTTGGCATTTATTCCAAGCACTGCATTATCTGTCGCGTCCATTTTATGCCTTCTCAAACCATACAAATGACAGTTTAATGCGAATGGCGACCTTCCAGCTTCAATCATAAACTTTTCCATCGCTTTCTCCTTTCCTTCGTTGATGATGTCCTCACAAGCGGCGCGCAAATTATTCCGAATATACTCCAATCCACGCTCGTTTATAACCCATAATGGGAAATAATGTTCCGCACGAAAATAGCTGAACAAAAACCATTGTTTCAGGGAATTTAGAGAAAAACTGAAAGAAGCCAAACAAATTTGATCTCAGCTTCACGTTAGAAATTTCCACAGCTACATTTTTTTTCGGAAGACCGTCGTGAAAATCTCATCATTGATCAAAGGATTCCGCAAAACACGCGGAGAGTGCACGGGGGAATCGAAACAGCGGTCCCCCGCACACCGCAACGCGCACTCTAACACTCCTCTAGAAACGCACCCGAGGTATTCTGTGCCTTTGTCGGTTATAAGAGCGAGCGCAGCCATGTACCAACATCTCTCCTCCGACACACTATTTCGCCCAGCCCAATGATCTAAGAAATTGTCTTTGAGTTGCAGATAATAATGTTCTCGAGCTTTTGGACATCTGAAATTAGATTATTTGGGTTAATTATTTTGTAAAAAATGATAAAAAGAACTCACGTTAGTAATCCGACTTGATCAATGTAGACTCGAACTCGAAAATAAAGCACCAATATGGCGCGGTTTTCAGTTGATTTATTATGCTGCAAAAATATTTTTTTTCAGCAAATATCTTTCTTTAATTTTCCACATACCCAGTTTGAAAATCGAGGTTGTTTGTGTGCATACTTCATGATTTTAGCAGAAGGATCGAGAAAATAGTATTCGTGCCGCGGCTGATCTCCACCGATACCTTCAGTCGGCTGCCGAAAAGCAAGACCGAACAGTTTGTCTTCGCTCAGAGATAGAATCTCACCACATTTCCACAATACATCATGCACTTTGGTTTTTGCCTGGAATAATTCCAAATTGAAAGACAACATTGGAAATGGATTCTATATCTTCTTATTCTTATTCAAAATAAATAATCGTGAACCGCAACACGTCTAAACTACAAGGTCTTGCAGCGAAAAATATTTGTAATCGTGTTTTTTTTTTCGAAACCGCTCAATAAATTAATAGGATTTCGTAGGTAATTGAAAATCTCAAAAATCTGTTCGGCGAACGTCAGATTCTTCTCATCATATCAGTTGTATTGCCGATTGAGAGACGTACTACATGAATAATGAAAAATGTGGTAGCGATCACAAATCACTTCTCTCAAATCGGATAATGATAACAACGATATGACAGAATATAAAAACGAAGATAAATTAGGCGATGATTTGCGAATCGTTTAAACAATAAAGGAAATGCCTAGAAGATTGTAGCGATTTCTCGAATTTCTTACATTCACTGCAATGTGGAACGTTTCTTTGGTGAGTGTCTGAACTGAAACGAATTGCTGCCCGGGTTTGATGTGTTGCGTCGAGGTGAAAACTTCGGGGTCTACAATATTCATCGTCAAATACAATATGAACAATTCGAGAAGAATTCACCCGCGAAACTCGACGATGAAGGCTGCTGTAGGTGGATGGGCAGACGAGACGACGATGATGTCGTCGTCGTCGTCGTCGTCGAGCAGATATCTCGCAGCGACCCCGGCGAGTCCATGATTGGAATCAGTGATCGCGCATTCAGACACGTCGTCACACTCTCTAAGCGCTGCTGGAAATTCGATGGTCCAACTCAACTAACGATGTGCTGCTGAAAAAAAGTTTGATAATTGTTGAGAGGGCTATTCTATTTTTTTTTTCAAACGGTGTAAATTTGATAAGGTGAAACCACACACGCAATTTTTTTGGAGAATGTGCGGCAAACGAGGGAGAAACAGAAAGAAAATAAATGGATGGATAATACAAGGAGGAAGCGAGGCGAAACGAAGACGACGCCGACCGCCGAATTGTCAAGGAATTTACACCGACAAAAATTCGCCGCCGTCGTCGAATTGTTGGTTTTCTCGATCGCGGCGAGACAACAATGTTTTGTTTTTCGAATCACTTTCGTCTTTATTCGAGTTAACACACTGTCTCTTTTTTTTGGTTTGCAGGAAACCGTTTATCGATCGTTTTGGTGTTTGGCAAACGGTTGATATCATTCTAGTGATACACACATACACACCAACAATAACAAGATTTCGTTGGGATTCAGATTGGCATGGTCAGAGTGTGTAGTAGCAGCAGCGGTGGAAGCCAAAACGATAAGAGAGAGAGAGAGAAAGAGAGAGCAGAGTAGAAAAGAAATGCAACTTTTGATCGCATTTAATCGAATTTACTTTGAGAACTCTTATCAGGCTAGAATCAACATTCAATTTGGCCGAAGTAACGCATTTCAGACATTTTTGGACTTACTCATGAAATGGATTTTTTTTGCAAAAAAAAATGTAAAAATTACATTAAATGTGCATTTTTTATAACCCCGCCATGAAAAGTGACAATATTTTAAAATTTTCATTGTATGAAAAGATCAAATTGCAAATCTTCAAAACAACAAATATCAAAGTTTGTATAGGGGGTTATTTCAAAAAATGAACCACAACTCAGCAAAAAAACCAATAATCCCCCTTGAAGCTGAAAAGAAAAATTCGATATTTGGTCATAATATAGGAAAATCGCGGAATTTAACTTAATACATTGACTCATTTAACCTTCAGACAATCAGACCATTTCCGCAGTCTTTTCTTATCGAATTATAAGCCGTATGCTGAAAATTTAGCTGTTTGCATGTTATTTTAGATACTTCAACGCATTCCTGACCATTCTACACATCATACGCCTAATGATATCATTTAACCTTGAACGCAAAAAAGAAAACAATTCAGGATGAATTCAACGAATCAAAGTTTGTCGGGAAACGAGAACACGTCGCGAATTGTTTCCGGACAACCCCATGCATCAACTGGTGTGAAAATGTCTGATGATGCGTGAAAAAATTCGACATAACCGCAACGATGAGATAAGACAAATATTTAATAATGTCATGTGCCTTTTAGAAGATGAAAAAATTTTTGATATGGTAGAGACGAGAAAAAGAATTCGAAGATGAGATTGCAACAAGTTGAGTGGGTGGGTGAAGGAGGAGGAGGAGGAGGAGGAGGTGGTGGTGATGGTGGAGGAAGAAGAGGAGGGGGAGGAGGAGGAGATGTCACATGATAACAAGGGAATTCAATAAACACATACATAATCATAATAATAAACAATCAAAAATCTAATATTCGACATAAGTGTGAATATGAACCAAATGTGATTCAAGTCTCATGATCACAATCACGCCAATGTCAGGATTACAAGAATGTGGAAATTATGAAATATTGTAAAAGGTGAAAATCGATTGAATTGAGAACATGAATATCAATGTGATTTTTGAAAAAAAAAAGTTGTATGATATCAATACTCTTGGGTCGAATATAGACATTATTTGTAAATTTTTGATAATGCGAAATGATGGGAATGTTTATCGATAAGCGCACAGAAAATGGCAGCCGAATGGCTTAGAAAAATAAGCAGAACGAACCATTGCGATTATAAATTAATCATCAGGCATTCGATTTTCGATTTTTCAGATTGCGCTCCTCCGTCATCTCGCATCAAAAAAAAATGTAAATTTTACGACGCTGATTATAGTCAGTTGAATAATAATAACGGCCGTAAAATTGCGTCCGGAATGTAAAGTTTAAAGTTTTTTCGCATTATCAAACAATGTGTCGCAGGTTTCGCAGACACTCGCACCAGTCGGCTTCTATACACGTGCACGTAGAATCACATAAAAGACACTCGAAGAAAAAATTTTAAAAAAATTGAAATGAAAATATTTAGTGAATCACAATGTTGGAATGCAATGCAAAAACCTACACGACAACACTCTGTTTGACAATACTTGAAGAACAAAAAAATTGGTTATCTCTTGTCAACTATAATCGATTTGTAGAAATCTTGCAAATTTAAAAAATTCGAACAAAAAAAAAGCGGAGACGTCAAAATGTCTTGAAATAAATGAGGAAGTCAAGGTCGGCGAAATACCAAAACCGAAAAATTTTAGATCGCTATCCATCAAGATTATTAACGTAAAAGTTTAGTGTGAAACGGGCACACAAAAATGATCTGCGGCGGATTACACAGCGAATCGAAAAAAATCGTTTAAAATGCTAATTTTAGTGGGACAAAAAAGTTGTGAAGGTCAAAAATTACAAATCGCGACTGGTTTTCAAACCCGTGGAATTTTTCAAATTTTCAGAGAATTGAAGAAGGAATTTCAAGTTTAAAGTAAAAAATTTTTTTTATAAATACGAGCCAATGAAAACCATTGGAACCAAACAAAATTTTAATTATCAAATTATATAAAAATGTTAAACTATAGAAAAATTCAAGATTTTTTGCAAAAGTAATTTGAAAACCAAAAAATGTCAAAAATTTGATTAGAAAACTTTAAAAAAAAACGAGTGGAAAAGATTGAAGAATAATAATCTAAATAAGACTAGTAAACAAAAAAAGTTTTCGATTGTTGGAAGGATCAAAACTGTATAGACAAACCAACAAATACAACGCTGCAAAAACTTTTTCTTCTTCTTTTCCATCGTGTCGTATTGGAATGAGGAGGGCCGGGTGCGCAGCGCGGCGGCGCGGCCCAACGCAAAATTCCTCACCGAAATTCCTTTCGACGCCTCGTTTTGGTGTCTCTCGACGCGCAAACTGTATGCCGCCGCACACTCGCAACCCTCTCATACCGATTCGACACAAGAAAAGAGATGGAAGAGGAGAATGAGGTGGATGACAACGAGGATGGGGGGTAGTTGTTAAACTAATCCTTTTCGTGATCAATCAAATCAAAATCAGCCCCCATGTGTAAAGAGAAATATTTGGGAGAGGAACCGACTCGACTCCTCCAACAAACTATACACATATTACTATCTTCGTCTGACTTAATGTAAGTCTTCAGTATGTTAATTGGGTGCCAAGGACAAAGAAGAATATGTAGGAGATTATTTGATCATAGCAATTTTTTAGTTTCAACAAAAAAATCTCAATGACAGGTTTGAAAATTTCTCCTTCAGAATAAATATTTTCAAAAAGCGATTCTGCGAAGCATTTGTTTTAAAATATATCGAGTTTAAAAGTATTTTATAAGTCGCCAGATGAGAATATAAACAAACAAGTGGATGTGTTTGCCTAAATTTCTGCTGACTCATCATCATTCTCAGATTTTTGTGAGATAGAAATTCTCCAAACTTCCTGTCTAACAAGTTCCGTCGATTTCAGAAAATCTATGCTTTATTATGTTGTGTTGTTCGCACTGGTTCCACGTAAGGACTTTGAGTACACCAAATGGCAAAAAGGCGTGTTTTTTTTTTTGAAAATGATTCACGCCATGAGATTTTGATAATTGTTGTCGCCAAAACGATGTGACGATAAATCATATCGACGGCCGATAAAGAAATTTTTGAAAAGTGATATAGCTGGTTTCTCGTGATACGCTTTCACGACACCAGATTATTCAAATGATTTCATTAATTTAATCGAGGAGACCGTGAAAATAGTGGCTTGAATTGTACTGTGGAAAAAATAAAAAATCGTAAAAATTTTACAAAATAATCTGGAATAATTAATTGTTTTCATTACATATAAATGTTTTTTGAACAACAATATTTTTCGATCTGAATTAACGACAGCGGCGATGTTATTGAAAATCTTGTGAAATTGTTCCGCAAAATGATTAGTCGCGAATTTGGAGAAATTCTTGTCGAAACAATTAATGACAAAAAATAAATACGTATTGTCAAAGTCAGGTATTGTCAGCGTCAAACGACTGAATGGAGGCGGGGCCTTCAAATTCGCGAAATTTTTGTAGATTTAAATTTATTGTAGACTGAAAATTTAACGCGCGTAGGCTATAATGCAATGTACGCAATCTCGCTGCCTCGAGACGCATTGGCACATAGGCAATCATTTTTTAAATTTCGTCAAGTCGTTTGACTCCGACAAGAGAACTGTCAGAAATTTAACAATTTTAGTTGAATTTTTGGCGCGAAATCAACAAAACGCCAACGCGCAAGTTTTTGCAAACGCCTTGTTGAAATTTTTAAGCGCGTCCTCAGACGAAAATCGTCTAATCGATTATTACAAAATGACAATGAGAAAATCTACTGCCGGTAGCAGTTTCTTCCGTACGTTAAAGTTTACGCGAACAAAAACAACGCGCCTCGATTCATTGTTTTGATTACATTTTTTGTCCAATATTTATAGCTCAAATGATTTGTTTCCAATGATGATCGACGAAAAAAGTTTGGGTTTTTTGTAAAAATTTACAAATATGAGGAGATTTGTAACGAGGGTAAAGAAATGACGTACGTCGACGCGTTGCCCCGAAAATGTTTCGAATTATCACAAAGGGATATCAATAACGATAAAAATCGAGTGAAAGAATGAAGAAACCCGCGCGGGTGCTTAGTGGAAGGCTGGTTTCGGATTGGAAGATTCATTTTTGGCAGGCGAGACGAATTTCAATATCAATCCCAAATTTCGGCGATACAATGTGTGGCTCATTTCGCCAAGTTCAAATGTGCATCGAATCGAATTAGCGCGCGAGCAACCGAAAAAAAAACGAATAACAAGCCTGTATTGTTTGCACAGCTCGTGATTTATTTGTGGACGCGGGTGATGAGCAAAATGCTCAGCCGACTTTTACATTTGACCTTATTGAAAGGCGGCGGAAAGGAAGTTGTTCTCAAGTGTCTCAAACGTCTTTATATCTCCAGCGATGTATTTGACATGCAATTATGAGATCAATCACCCACATTGCAATTGACACCTTACTGATAATATTTTTCTGCAAATAGTACTCAGATTGTTTTGCTATTTATCTAAAAAAAAAACAGTTTGACTAACTTTCGTTGAATCTTAAAGGGTACACGTAAACATAGCCCACCATCTATAGATTAATTATATAAAAAATAAGGCTGTCTTACGTGATTGATGAAAGTAATCGTGGACCATTTCACATTTAGATTATCGTACTTTACAGTTCGACCAGAACAAGAATAATACGTCATTTTTCACTCACACATATTATCACACTTGTTTCATTTACTGATTAAAAATAAATACAAACATTGTCTGAAAATTTCACCGACAACAAAAAATACTGGCCGCCATTGTATTTGGTCGCAAATGATGTTCGAACACACGTGTGTAATGTACTTTCCCTTTTTTTCATATTCGAAGTTTAACAAATGTTTTTTCAAAAACAGAGAAATATCGTTTTCGGATACACACGGCGAAATATACATAATTTCTTGATTGGGTTGGCGTCGTCACAGATTTGTGATAGTAGAAATCTTATATGGGAATTGCTATATCAAAAATTATGGAAACGGATGTAGAAATATGGCCAAATAAAAATCCGAGAATTACTGTAAGAATTCATGGTCTGCGGTTCACACAGCTCAAATATTGCACAAATTTCAAAGCTCTCGGCTATTTGCCACCGTGTATATTTTCACAATATTCAAATGTTCATCTTAAAATGCATTTCAAATTGCATGTTATTTATATACTTAACTTTAAAATTACCGTTTTCATGATTCAATATTAATTAAAATGATCTAAGATGGAAGCGTTGAAATGAAGAATATGAGGCGATTGCCCAGATTCAAACTTCCTGACACTAATCGCCGTTCACTATCGAGTCTATTTACAATCGGACATAGGATGGAATCGAACCCGAAAAAAGAACGGCCGAGAAAAAACATGGGACGAATGAAAAGAAGCAAAATTCACTGTAGCTGGCGACGGAGACCTCCATCCGATGACGTTGAGGTGTTCATTCCGTCGGGGTCTTTGCCTGCTAATCAGTGTGATGATCGACCTTTTTCTCGCCGTGAAGGTCATTTCCGAATCGCCGACACACTAATTCATCGGGGGCCCTCGACGACTCGCCCCAACGGTGTCCCGAAATTGGCGTGAAAAGTAATTATGGCAAAAATGTTTGGTGTTTGATTGCGATATATTCGTCTGCAAGTCTCTCCGTTCATCATTCTCTATAAATTAGAGATATGATCAAACCGTAATATCAAAGAAATTGAAGAAAATGTGTCCATGCGGGATTGATTAGGGCATTTTTAGAACAGAATAGCATTTTAAACATACTATGCAAAATGAAGCAAAAAACAACAAAGAAAAATCGACAAGGAATGGTTTTTTACATTGAGAGTTCACACGCAGGTTCCTACAACATTTAAAGAAAATCTTTAATTATAAACTTGAAAAAATGAAATAAATCATTAGATTTTTGGATGTTAAATTTTATCTCAATTTCTAACGTAAATAACATCAAAAAAGACCTAAATATTCTGAGAAATTTCGGTGTATCTTCTTTCAACATTCCCGATAGATTGCGAAGATATCGATGGTTATCGCGTCGGAATTCCTCGAATTCTTTTTTTTAAGAACTTGACATCAAAAACCACGCAATAAACTAAAGGATGGCAAAAGTAATTCGGAGCAAAAATTAAAAAGTGAAACAATCCAAAGAAATTGGGCGGCTTGTTTGTAGGGCTCGCATGTTTTGCGAAGATTCACATATCACGGTTGGTAAATAGCGCAAATGAATATACGAGCCCGTCGACGCCGCGGTAGCGGCAGCGAAAAGGATAACACTAACACTTTTGTACATAAATTTCTACGTTTTAAGGAATAACTGTTGAAGTATGGAAAAAACGAGAAAAATCGAATGAACAGAAAAGTGCAATCCAACATATTGTTTCATGGCTCACAAGGGCTTGTCAGTAATAACAATTTCGAAAAAAGCGAGTACCTTCGATATTGAAATTTATAAAGGTCTATGAGTTCAATTCGCAGGTTATCCGTATATTATGACAAACGAACCCCCACAGTTTAAATAAATTTTTTAATTATTGCGCAAAAATTATTTGCAAACAAGCAGGGTACTCATTTTATGGCTTTGTTTTCAGTTGGTAATTCAGTTTTCCAAAACAAATGTAGATCTACGAATTTGAAATTTTAGCCGCTTATTAAACACATAATGAATGCTGAAATTCAAGCACACACAAGTTTCTCTGATTCGAGACACAGGCTCGTAGCCATAATTTTTTAATGTTCAATCATTTGTTTGAAAGCGGAAAAATGTGGATTATACGCATTCCACATTCAGCAGATGCGCTCCCGTTCATTTTTACTATTTCGTAATGAAATTCTTTTTTTTGGAACTATAGAGCAAAATTGTCATTTTCACCCAATGAAAACACGCAAAATTTGTCAAATTTGATAATAAAACCGACTATTTCGACAATTTTGCAGGTATAAGTCCATAATATATTATGGTTATTTCCTATGCTTGATGCATGACACTGAATATATTCTGAAGGAACAGGAAATATCGTCTGTTGCATTAGATATTACAACATTTACAGGAATTGTTAAACTATAAAAAATAAGGTTTGAAAAAATCATATCATGAAAAATAAATAAAAGTAAACATGCCCGCACGCGAACCGCGATGCGAATGAACTACATGACATAATTCAGAATTTTTTGGGAAACGAACTGTATTCTCGGGAAATTTGTGCACAGTTTTAAACGAGCAAAAATATTTAAATGACTCAGTTCTTTATACTATAATATATATAGAGATTATTGGATAAATTCAATATAATACTATTCACAACACATTTTCATTGAACCTAGATAAAGTGTACAATACGACTAGAATAAATTTTTACAAATTTTGTCGAATATTAAAAGGTAATTGTGCTAAATTCGGGATCGTACAATCCTCCGGAATGTCTTTCATTAAGCTTCGCGAAACTTTCGACTAGAGCTGAAGTTGATTGTTCAACGGTCAACGGACCATGAGGCCCTCCCATATCGGTCTGAACCCATCCTGGATGGAAGCTCGCTGTCAAGATGCCGTCGTTTTTTAAATCAATAGAAATTGTTTTGACGAATTGATGAATTGCAGCCTAAATTTTTCAAAAAAAAATGAACTGAATAAATAAAAATATTACCTTACTGACACCATAAACAAGCGATTTGAGATTAGAAGATCCTCGTTTGTTTTGTGAAATTGACCCAAGTTCTGGAAAAAATAATAAGAAAACTAATGATAGTGTTTTTTACGAGAGCCAATCACAATAACAGCAGCTCGGTCGATAGACATTTTTTCAGGCCCTGCACCGTTTTTAATTGCTGCTTGAGTAATAAGTGGGAGCAAATGTTGTGTCAAGATAATCACGCTGGTTACGTTCGTGTCCAGCTGTTTCGCTACTAAGCTTCGATCGGGAGTCTGTAAAAGATTTATTAGAAATAATTTTTTTCCTATTAATACCTGTTTCGGTTCGTATGGTGTAAATATCCCTGCGTTATTTACTAATAAGTTAAGTCCTTTATCGCCGACAACATTTTTCACGTTGTCGACGAACTTTACGATCGACTTGTCACAATCGACATCAAGTGGTAACAGATGAAGTCGTTTGTCATTTATCGATCGCAGCTCCTGCAAATCTTGAATTTAATTTCTATAATGCAAACTACAATACGTTCGCTTTATCCGGATTTCTTGCTGTTGCTATAATGTGGTTTATTTGGGAATCTTTGAGAAACTGACGCACAAGTCCGAGGCCAATTCCTCGATTGGCGCCAGTTACAACAACTGAACCAGGCGGCATCTAACAGCTGAAACAGCAAAATCTAGCAATCAATAGGTAAGAGAATTCGAGAAGAAGAAAACGTGAAAAGCAATGCGACTGTTATCTGTGATATTTATTGAAAAATAGAAATTAATTTCGACAGGATAAAAATAACAAAAAATCTTCAAAGTTTCCCTTAAAAACCCAAAACATTTATGATAAACCCCAGTCTATAAAAATGATATCAGTCGCCAATTCACAGATTTTTCTGAAACAGGGAAGAAATTGCAAGAAATAATTGAAAATGGAGATGCGCAGACGCTTCAAATTTTGCGCCAACACAAATGCACTGGCGCAATAATTGTGTTGGCGTTATAGTGACAATTCAAATTTTTTTATTTCTTTTTTCAGTGTTTCGTTTAAAAACCTTATGTTTCGAGTATTTTTGAATAGGTCCATTAGAAATTATATGAATTATAAAAACGATTATTTTTTTAAAAAAGAGAACGAATTTTCACATTTGCAGTTTTTCCAATGTCTCAACCAACAAAAAATGGCTCTCAACGACGACCCGAAGTGTGAGTGGTTTATTTAAACACTAAATCCTTATATTTTGCAGACGAAAAGTTGACTTCTTATTACGGCCGAAATTTACAAACAACTTGCCGGATATACCATTTGAAGGAAAATTCATGAACTGCCCATTTGTCCCATTGTCGAGATTTTGTGAATATAAAGAGTCCACGGTTGAGAAGGAGTACAAACACAGTGTCATTTGTGACGATGACGTGGGATTGAACATTGATCTAATTGATTTAGGAAAATACGATCAAGATGAAAAGGAAATGGTTAGTTAAAGGTTTTTTTCTTTTTTACTATGAGAATATATATTTAAGCCATTCGATGAAAAAGATCAATATCTCCTAGACGATGAAAGTAATAGCAAAATTAATATGAAAAGGTCTGCACAACATTCACGACTGGTCCCCTGGATGAGAAAGACTGAGTACATTTCCACAGAGTATAATCGCCAAGGCGTTTCATCGGACAGGTAACATTTTCAATAAAATCCCACAAAAAATTAAATTTATAGACAAGAAACAAAGCTTGGTTATAATTTGAAGAAGAATCAGCAAGTTGATGACATGTACCGAGATCGACAAAGTCAAATTGATGCCATCAATAAAACCTTTGAGGACGCGAGGAAGCCTGTCACTGCACATTATAGTAAAAAGGGAGTGCACGCCGTCGAGGAGTCATTCATATTTCCCGATTTCGAGAACTGGAAGAATGCTTATGCTTATGTTCAGTTTGACGGTGAAACGGTTAATCGGGATATTCCAGAAGGTCTAAGGAAGACCGCTGCCGAACTAAGCTTAATCCGGTAATTGTTACTATATTTTTTATTTATTAAATCCTTATTTTTAGGGGAATGAAGTTTGAAGATGAGCAGTTTGCTGCTCTGTTCACACCAACTGTTGAAAATATGCAAAAGCAGATGGAAGATTTAGAAGCGGGTAGAAATTTCGAAGAAGATGAACGGTAAAGAAAAATACCAATGATCGGGTAAAATTAAAGTTTAAGATATGATTACACCCTCAATCGTGAATATATTTGGAAACTTGAATCATCCATATTACAAGGAGATCATGTATGAAATGTTTCAAATTTGTTTTTAAACAATACTTTATGTAGGATAACTATGTGTTCCACTGGAAAAATGGAGAAGCAAAGTACGATGAAGTTGAAAGCATGGTGAAGATGACAAGGCGGAGGAAAATGTATCTGAGCAAGGTATATTACTGAAGATTAACAGAAAAAAAAACAACTGTTTTTGTGATTGTTAAAAGCTTGACAAACTTATTTCCTAGTCACGTCATTTTTATCAAAAAATGTGTTTTTTTTTTACAGAAGTCTAAGCTTTTTGTGCATTTCCGCGATTATGATGAGCAGGAGCTGGAGCAAATGCAAACTAAGTTTGAGAATTTGTTCAAGCCGCCGAAGAAACAACAAGTGATTCAGGAAGAGCCTGAGGAAGATGAGGAAGAAGATGGTGAACTACTTGTTGTTATGAATACTTTTGATTTACGATGGAACTTTTTTTTCAGATAGCGAGGAGGATGAAGAAAAGAAGGACAAGAGTTCGGGATCAGAAAGCGATGATGACGATGATGAGGAGGAGGAGGATAGTGATGCGAAGAACAAGAAAAAACCAGCTGCGGAGAGCAGTGAAAGTGGCAGTGGTAGCGATGAGTCGGACTCTGACGCGGAGCAAAAGGTTAGACCATAGAAAATATATACAATAATGCACCAGACATAGAAAGTTGGAATTTGAATTTTTAAAATTTTCGACAATATCAAAAATTCATGAAGAAAAATCTTTGCATCATTCAAATATTTAATTATTCTTTCGAATTATTCATATTTTCAGAAAAAGACCAAAGAATCAAGTGATGAAGAAAGTGATTGAAATTTTGTTAGCTGATATTTTCTATTATTTTTATTTATTGTTGTTTTTCATTTTTTTTTCGAGCATAAACCTACATTAAACTTGGTTGTATTTTTCTGAAATCTCCCCCTTGTTTGTACTGGATGTCGAAGTTGGCTCAAGCATTCGCAGGTGCATCTAGACACCTATACAAACACGCATTTTTTATGTACAAACGAGAGTGCGTCTAGTTTATGCCGAAATGTGTGGTTGTCTATGCGCTCATCACGTACGGAAGGCAGCACGTACGTGAAAAAGGTGCCGACATCGCGATGCACTTTTGAGCCTGATACTAAAAGGATGGCTGCAAATAAACATCTGTCTGGTTAGGTTTCTCGTTCGCGTTCGAAACGCGCCTCCATTCGACGAGATTAATTGTGGACAATGTCGATGGAATCAGCAAGATGATGAAAAAAAATGAATTGAATCAAGATCCCCATTTAAAATTACCGTAATCGGCGATGAGCGAATTTCAGGAAAGATAAAAATTAACGAATGTCTTACGTGTTGTTATCAATTTTGATGTATTTAAGCAGTTTATAAAAGTTTTTTTTTTCTAATTCTGAATTCCATACAGTATGAACATTAATTAAATAATTCATTTCAACGATTGAAATATGCTAAATAAAATCGAAATATCATTTTATGGAACTACAAATAAATATAGATATTTCAGAAATATTTGTTATATTAAACTATTGTCGGTAAGGTTCGATGCGGGAAATTGGCTAAATTCCAAAAAACAATTGCCAGTGGTCTTGGCGCAAAACTAAAAGTGTTTTTTGACGGGCCTATGCACAAGAACAGTTTAAAGGCGCACTAAGACATCTTCTTAATATTTTCAAAATTTTAATAATTTGAGCCATGGTTAGGGGGGGGGTTGATTTTTGAATCTTAAACAGAAAAAGTTTATTTTAAACCTCTTCCGGCATGCACCACAAGCGCCCCTCAGTTTTTTGTGTGGAATTATTGTTGGCGGCAATTCAAACAAGGACTCGACTTTGAGCCCTATATGTGCCCTATATGGCCAGGGCCTTAATTTTTTTTGGAAAAAGACTAACTCACTTTTATAGAATCATGCAATTGAATCCAGTTTAGAGTTTTTGAAAAATGAAAAACGTTTTGAAACGTTTTTTTAAGGTTTTATTGAAATTTCGATTTCCTCCTTTTTCTTAGACTTTGCAAAATGATATGTTGAGGACAATCACAATTATTCAAATACAAACAGACGATTTTCAATTTTCTAACTGCGGAAAAAATATGTAATAAAAAATGATATAATAAATAATATATAATAATATAATAATAATAATATTATAAATAAATAAATAAATAAATATATTTATATATTTAGTCATGAAGTTAATAAATTCAACAGTTATATAAACTAGGAGATTTTAAATTTTTAAATATGTATTTAAATCCCAAATAATAAAATCACGTTTTGTTTTCGATGCGCACCTTTCAAATTCATTATTACCGGTGTTTGCTTAATAAAATGTTCCATTTCAATGAATAACCGCTTCGTTGCAATTCGGTTCGTGGGTTTTTGTGTAATTCAGGTTTTTTTGTGCGTGAGTGTTTCGTTACCAAAAACTCCTGCAGGTTTGCCGATCGACTTGTCCGCCGTTGGCACACTATGCGTCAGCCTCATCCATTGATAATTGTGCACAGAAAAAAACGGGAAACGAACGCGCGTTAAAAAAATGAATGGAGAGCAGCGAAGAAAAAGTAGCACCGACGGCAGTGTGTGTGCTCTGCTGCGCAACTTTTTGCACGCACAGGTATTTGAATGTGTGTGTGTGTGTGCGTGCTTAAGGTCGACAAATTTCAAGACAATTAATTATTGTTCTCGAAACGACGGTTTAAGACATCAAGCATTGTTGAACTAAATGTGTATCCAGTTTTAGTTTACACTAGAAATTGATAGTCATCGATGATGCCGATCGAGAATTCCTTCGCGGTCTCATTCTCGTCCATTTAAACTGTAAAATACGTTTAATGAATCGCAGGACAGTGTGCGTTTTGAAGAAACACGAAAAATGTAACATTAGGGCGGCGTGTATAAATTGAAATCAAGCATTCGCAAAATTAACGTGTCACAATTACAAGGTGGACACTCTCGTTACTGTAATTTATGTAATGTCTGTGAGTTTGATGTGCAGGTTTAACGTAGTACGCTACTCGAATTCCCGCTGTTTAAATCGAAATTTAAATTACCGCGCCGGAGATATCATTTGATGGTCCGCAAAAAAACAGAAAGCTCGATTTTTTGCGATGATAATGCTCGACAAGAATTAAATAAATATCTGGGTGAATTATCTAAACATCTGACGATGTTTTTAAAAATTCTATAACAGAATTAATAAATCTCACGTATAAAGTATTACTATCGCGAAAAAAACGAGCATCTTGAATAATTGTGGACCATTGCACTTTTTCGAGGCGGCAATTCAAATTTGAATTGAAACTGTGGGGAATTCGGGACTACGGATAACCTGCAAACTCCGTAAATCGACAAATTGTGCTCGTTTTATAAACGATTGTAATATTAGCTTTAAATTGGACGAAATTTGTCGAATTTCTCAACTTTGTACATTTATTTCTATAAAACTTTCAATACTCGTTTGAATCGGCAATTTAGCATTCAGTTTTTTTAAACGAAAAGTTCATGACTGTCTGTCACCCAGAAAACCTATACAAAGCGTAGGAGACTCCGCCTACACCACGTTAACTAGTCTACAATAATCCGGTGTTCATTTCTTCATTTCGCCGATGTCAACCAATCCAACTACAGTAACACTACCCGCATGCGTTTGGCAGGTTCTGTGCGCCGCCGCCGCCGCCGGCAAAAGCTGACTGTTTTGTCGGCGTCTCATCGAATCGCACACTATTTCAAGGTTTTTGTGTACTTGTTGCGCGCGGCAAACGGCATTTACGTGAAATTTGTGTGTGGGAGAAAAGGTGAGAGAACCAACACCCCCCCCTCTCGATTCCAACCCACTCGTAGGCATTTTTGTTACCTTTCCCTCTTGACGTACAGCCCCCCCTCTCCCTCCTTCACCCCTTATTGCCTCCCCCCTTCATACCATCATCATTCTCACTTTTTTGCAATCGACCCGAGTCTTTTGTAGTGCTTCCTACCATAATGAAAATTGCAATGCTTTATGTGATTTATACGTATCTATTGTCTGGCATAATTTTGTGGTGTGATCACAAAGAGGGAGAGAGAGAGACTGACTGACACAGAGGTAATGACCGGTTTCAATAAGAACAACCCCATTTTGGTTCCGAATCGTCTTTGAAATAGCTCAGCTCTTTGTTTTCAATCTTGAATTCATCACGTTCTTTTTAGTAAAAAAAAACTCCGAATTACAGAGTTTGAAAAAAAGTTTTGTTTCGAATATCTTCAAATTATGTTCATCAACATTTTTGTTGGGGGAAGAATTTAAAAACTTATCAATTCAAATTTGAATTTTTTCTGAATTAGCTCAATTTTTTAAATATTATATATTTGAGCTCAATGAGAAAAAAAATACTGCAAAAATGTGCATTACTCATAGGTCCCACTTTAAAAGCAAAATTAAACCATTCTTTTGAAAATTTGAAAAAAAAAACATTTTATTCATTATCGACTTGAATTATTATTTCAATATTCAACGAAAAAATCTTGTTATTTCAATTTTATGTTATTTAAAATTATTTAATTTTGTATTGATTGATTAGAAGATAGCTTGGCTTAAAATACTTCCTCGTTCGTTTCTCTTTTTTTCATTTTTTTAAAATTATATTTGGCATTTCCTTAGTCATTGTCATTTTGATGATCTGAAAAAAAAACCTAAATTATAGAAATTATTTTAAATGTTTCAGCACGAATATTCAAGTTTGAATTAGTTACAGATAAATTAATTCAAGAATTATATCGAATTTAAAATAACATTTTCTCAAACCAGATTTTTTCTTATCTTCTCATTGCGAGTAGTAGGACTACAGTAAATCCTCAATGCCAAATTTTCTCATCACTTCTTTAATTTCATTTTTTCTTCTCTCAAAGTTGAAAATATTTTTTTTTGCTTTCGACGTCATTTTTAACCCTCATTCATTTCATATAGAATTCTGTATGCAAGCTTAATGGCGGTCACATTGCTGGCGATATGTTTTTTTTTTTTTTTTCGAACATCTCATATCTTTATCTTACTCGAAAAAAGTGTTAACTCGATTACTACTAGCTTTCCTATTTTATTGTATGTATAAATTGTCAGTAGCCGAACACATGACTTTTTCGAGAGAATTCGATTTAACCTTGAGAATTCCCTTCGAAAATGTGATTCGCTCGAGAGTTTTGTTGTGGTAAATATTTGTTTCTTTTCTTCTTATCGTTGTTTTTCTAAATTATTCAAATCGCGGAATGTTTTTTTTTCAATCCGAACATGTGTTTCGGTGTAAAACAAAGAAAAATTGAACAGTTCGAATGTAAACATTAGATCTACTAATCAAATAATGATGTCATCGCAACTTTTGGCACTTCATATATGATTTCTGAGATTTGTTGAAATATTTTTTTTAGAAAGAATGGGTCAGGATTTTAAGATTTTTATAAAATTCATAAAAAAATTTGCAAATTTAAACAGAGTCCCATACTCGGGATTTCTTTCGAATGCACAAATTGAATATCTTGAAAATTGTGAAAAAGAAATAATGAAGTGAATCTTATGATTCTTATTATTTTAAAGAAATTTTCAAACATTTCTGAAAGCATGATCCTAATTTACAATATAATTTTTTAATTAAATCGAAGTTTAAATTGCTATTTTATTTTTCTTTTTTGCTTTTATGCTGGTGTTGAATAATCGCGTGTATTATGAAAAGCCGAATCATCGCTGACGTTCTTCAGAAATATTCAAAAAAACATAAAAAATTAATTTCTATTTCCTGCCGATTAGTACCGAAGGATGAGCTAATCTCTCACATTTCGAATAATAACTTCAATTTCTTTTCCAAGGCCTAAAATCGCCTTGTTTTTGCCTAAAATTCACACTGCCACTTTCTCTCCCATAAAAGGTCAAAAGAGTGAAAACCCGCTTGTCTATCGTAAACCGCGCAACGCGCATCATGATTAAACGTTTCTCCACTGTCGAAATAAAAAAAAATGAAAAGGGTGGAGAATGGAAAGCAACGATGCGCAACATTAGTGATGCCATTATGTGTGATCAAATCGGAAATTGCTAGTCAAACTTTACAATCAATTTCAATGTCTTTTTCAATGAATTGATTGGTCACGCTACGCCTTTTACGGTGTTTAAAGAGAAACGGTAGATGGAAAAGCATGTCTGATCGGCTTCTGAAGGCAACGAAACCGTCGTAATGTTTGAATTTTGGACTTTATTGTGGAAATATGATAAGAAAGTCAATCACATTTTGAAAGAAAAAAATTTAAATTGATGCGAGCAGGATTTGAGAATTTTGCAGGCATTTCGGATTCCAGCCGATTACAAAAAATATTTTCGATGAATATGTTTTCATTTTATTTTTAAGCCCTTTTACAAGAATTGAGATTCAATGCAGATTTTCAAAATGCATGTCATGCGAGATTCCACAACAAAAGGCAATTACAGTATATGATCATAATCAGATAATCGCATCCGCTTCAGAATTATTTATCATTTTGGTTTTCGATTTTTCGCTCCTCCCATTCAATTTCTGAAACTTTTGATTGTAACAAAAATGATACGCATATATTTGTCGGTTTTGAAGTGGATATACATTATATGAATAACATATTCATATCATAGTAAGATGATAAATTCTCTTGAGTTTGTTTACGTCTAGCTATCACTTCTTCTTCTTCTTCTTTTCACGTGACAATTAATTAATTTTTCCGCTATTTTTCTCATATATCAGTTTGCAGAGTATTTAAACATTTTGTGAGGTGCGCCCCCTCTTATGGATAAACACTTTGAGTTCGGGAGCCTCAGCTCCAGTAACACCTTATTCGACTCAGGACTCTCATCAGTGTTGACCGGCTCAGCGAGCAATAGGTAAAAAAACGAGAGAGGTCGCCAAAAAAAGAATTGAAAATTTTTAGCATAACGTCGGGTTCTCCGCCATTGGCTTTCTCCTCCAACTATATAGAACGGCCTGATTCGCTTTTCTCGGTGAGTATTTTGTGGAAATTCCCCAGGGTCCCGCAAATGAGCATGTCATCGATGGTAGTGTTGAGGGTTGTAATTGTTGTTGACAATTTTATAAATAAGAATATAACTATGCATTATATGTAATATCTATATAGCAATATTCTCCATTTCATATTACTCATCCGAAATGTTTAATAATGCGTTATGAGCGTCCTTTTAAGGAAGTGAAAGTGCCGAAAAGAAAAGCCTCTTCTTTCACCACCTTCTCATACTCGTACCTTTCCTTTAATTGTAAGGTGGTAACTACCCGCTATTGAAACAACTCGATTGACATGCCTACCGTAACCTATGATGCAAAACAAGGTGATTGTTCGCTTCGGCAACAATTCAACAACAATAACAACAACAACAACAACACACAATTGACATTTGAAAAATACGCTGCGTCACTATCAGAATCAAGAGGAGATCAAACAATTCATAATCTGATTTCTGAAAAAAATTTTTTCGAGATTATTAGGGCAAATGATTGCATTGAAGCATTGCAAAATTATTTTTTTTAATCGAAAATTCACCAGTTTTCTAGGAACCCTTATTTTTTTTCTCTTTCTTTTTTGAATTTCCCTTTCGCTTTTTGTCAATCATCCCTTTCATTCACAAGCGATTTCAGACCGTCGATCCCCATTGTGTCCTGTTGTTTTGTTGTTTTTTTTCCAACGTCACTGCCATTCCGCAACCCCTCTTTTTCCTTTCTCTCTTCACCGACTGACTGACAAACGACTATTATATACGAATTTCACATCTGGTTGCGAATTAGTATATAATGTGTTACACACTAGCGGACCCCGAACCCGCTCGCTGGTCTCCAATATCCGGAAAAGGTCACTAGTCAAGCGTGTAACACAGAATTTCGCGCAGTGTTTCCCGTCAACTTCTGGTTGATTCATTTAGTCCCCATGATCTTACGAACTTCACGCTCTTCGACGCAGAATTTGTCTTGCGTAATCGGAAGGGGTCGGGTCGCGAGGTAGAGCGCGAAAAAAAAAATGGAAAAGTCAATATTTGCGCGCTGATCCCAAAATTCAAACTAGGAAAATAGCGATGAAGAGCGAGAGACGCAGACGAGCCGAATTGGTAAACGTGCTCCAAATCGGAGTCTGTTGATTTTCCTCCGATGGCAATTTATAAATAAAACTATTACCATCGCAAAAATACGAACCTTTGGTGTTTGCGGACCGATTTTTTTTTTCGTGGCACTAATTCAAATTTTGGATGAAACAATGGGAATCAGTGTGCCATAATACGGATAATCAGCGAATTAAACTAACAGACCTTTATAAGTTTCAATAACGAGGGTAACTCGCTTTTTTCGAAATTGTAATAGTTTAGCATTTCTCTTTTCTGGAGGTCAAAAAAATCATCTTCTCTGCGTCTCTACCGCACAGACCATCGCTGTCTGGCTTTTGATGCTTGTTCAATGCTATGGGCACGCATTGGACAAGTGCTTTTCGCTGTCCGGTATTCTCTTCCGGACGGCAAAACAACGCATCGTATTGCGCATCCTCATTGATATTTCACTAATTGCAATTTTTTGCAACAATCATTCATCATTTTGGGCCTTGTCTGGTTGCTTAAAGAAACCCAACCTACCCTCCAACTGGTTCTCATCAATGATGAGATTTCTGTACCAACGATTCATAAACCCCTTTGTGCTGTTTCGAATTTATTATTGAAATCGATTGTCCCTCATTAATTTCCAACACTCTCATCCTTTGTTCCAGCCCTTACAGCTGATTTTCAATCTCAAGGTTGTCTGCTGTTGCCTTCGTCGTCGTTGAATGTCTCTTTTTTTTTGGAAAACGCTTACAAATGAGACTTGTCACATCAAGGTCAAACCCTATGGGATTACAGAATGTCATTGACGAGGCGTTGTGACCATTCTTGAAATATTTTGAGAATGTCTTGTTTCGTGCAGATGAGAATAGGCAAAAATGAATCATACAACATTTTACTGCAGTAATGATGATTCATTTCACCTTTTGGAAAAAAAGAGAAAGTGTGTAATTAGACATTATCTGAAAAACTCGCCATTCTAATCAATTATAAGAGTTGGCGGTCTCAAGGTCGAATCAAACAATTTAGAAATGTAGCTTTCCTATTTTGGAATGGTTTGAATTTAGGATGTCAAGAAACTGATTGATAATTTTAATTTGAGAAAAAAATCAAAATTTTTTGAATATTTCATTGTCTGACGTAAAAAAATATTTCATTGATTAGTTTGTTGATCTTTGACGTGCTATCAGGGTACCAAATGTAAGCTAGCAGTCATTCTTCGCGTTGAACTGTTGGTAAGATCGCCACATATAACCTTCTTGATGATCGATTCGATTAACTTTCACCGTTATCTTGAGTATCAATTGTATGGTAGGGGGTTTTTGCAAAACTTTCGAGTAGAAACCTTGAAAGAAGCACTCGAAAGTCGTCTGGTATTTGGTCTCGGCCATCCTAACCAACCATCCAACCAACCATCTAAAAAAAACACAGAAATTTCCTCTCCATTTCTCGCCACTCTCGACTTTCGATCATTACAGTTTTGAGAGGCGAAAAAGAGAAATAATGTGCGGCGTCTCTCGACGCGAAACACTTCCTCGGTTCACGCGACCAGCTGTTCGGCGCACGCGTCTCGCGACGAGAATCGCTCCTCTCGTCTGCAATCTCATCGACGTTTTGCCATCGGCGCATAGTATCTCAGCGGCAGCGGAAAAATGGGGCGTGAACTGTAGAAAAAGCATATGATGAGAGTGAGTGTGTCTATGTGTATTTGACTTGAAAGTTCTGTTTCGTTTGCCTCTCTGAACACTCCGTCGAATCAGTCGGACCCATTTCACTGTTTCGCTTTCTCTCTCTTCTTCCCGGGTCGGTACTCGCCGTCATATTTTTTTTTTGTCTCGTTCCCGCCAATCGTCATCGGTCCTACTGAAAATCGTGGGCATCATCAACGACGAATGCTTGAATTGCTGTTATTACTCTAGCAGCCGAAATGTCATTAGAAAATTATCATCAGTCGTTTCTCAAGGTAAGACCCTACTTTTGATAGTCTATGTTTCACTCTGTCAAATGTTTTCGTATTTTGGATGATAACACAAGCCAATTTCGAACATTCATCATCATAACACAAACAAGAACGAACATATAAACAAAAAATTTTTTTTCGTAAACGAGGTCTTTTCGGTTGTTGGTCCTTAATTTTGGGTTGTGTAATCGATGTTCGATCTTTGCGTTTCCGAAGGTAACTCGTAAATTTGTATAATCTGCAAATCGGATTAGATCTTGATTAAACTTGATCGAGTGAATCAAGTTCTCTTTCATTTTTCGTGCATGCCGAACTGCAAAAAATCGAAAGCCTTCTCTCCCTCGTCCATCGTCAATCGTTGAAAGTGAAGTTGCCCTTCCTCCCTTCCTTTTGTAGTCTCATTAGCGATTAGTGTATGCATTTCTATGTCTCGACGCGCGGCGCGCGGCGCGCGCGCGACCGAAAAAAAAACGCGAAATAATCGAGCAATGAAGAGGCGAAAGGAAAACGATGGCATCTCGCCAACCGGTTCTGCTGAACGGTTGCGCAATAGACGAAAATGAAAAAAGAGAATGAGTGCGACGAAGAAGACGACGACAAAATATTGATACTATCGTGCCTCGAAAGGGCCAAAAGGCTCGAACCAGTTGTCTCTCGACCTTTACCATCTATGTCCATCACTTTCACTTTCGTCGTTTTTTCGGACGAAGGAGAAACTTTCAGATAATGCGAATCGTAAAACTCGACAGTTCACTTGACAATGTTGAAAATTTATATGAGGGAATTCTGAAAAAAATAGGAAATTATATTTTATAAGGCACGATCGAATGTGCATTTCGCGTAAATAGAAACCAACTACCGAAGAATTCAGAACATTTCCGCTTGGTTTGACAATTGGAAAAAAAAACATTCCAGCTTCATAAAATAAAGTTATAAAGTTATACATATATATATATGCACATTTCGGAATTTTGAGCTTTTACTTTTTCTTTCCGAAGCATTCTTTTCCGTCGAATGGGATTTGCAAGCCTCCAATCCAAACTTATTTTTTTTTCTAATAAAACTCGGTAATATTAGTTTAAAATGATATCATTTCTGGGTTTTTTGTTTTGGAATCTAAGAAAAATATTTTTTTTGCGAATTTCAAAGTCGAGTAGTTCCTTTTTCAACTTCCCTCAAAAAAAAAGAACCAATTCTTTAGACAAATAAAAGTTGGCCCGGAAATTAGTAGTGTTTCTGAAATTCGAAACGTCTTCGCATTTGTTTTTGTTTTTGTTTGTTCGTTGTTGTTTTTTTTCTTTCTGATGCGCTGCATTCGGGGTGCTGTCGTCGTTGCTTTCTCTCGCTCTCCTCTGAAATCATAAGACGCCAAACGTTTTATCACGCGTGTTTTTTGTTCTTTCATACAAAGTAACAAAGACGTTTGTGTCGACGCGTGTATTGTTTGCGGTGGAATTCCGCTGGCTGACGAATCTTGCGAGTTTTCGCATCGAGACCGCCATATGGTCTTGTTGGGAAAAAAAAAACAGACGAGCCTCATCTGCGACTCCATCATTTCCCCCCTCCGCCATCAGAAGAAGTCCCATTTCCGTAAATTGTAGGCCAAATCTCGCAGCTTATCCCATTTCTTGGCCCACTGCTAGATGCTCATAATCCATAATCTAGTGTGGGAGCCTTGGGAAATGAATGAATACAGTAGGGCAAAAATTGCAATATATATTGTTTTTTTTGCGTTGAGTCGCAACAGCTGTCTTTCAAGAATTCCATTCCATTCAACACATGCACACAGAAGAATGAGAAATTTGTTCTTTTTTTATTACAGCTGATTGATAAGAGTTGACCAGTAGTAGTGTGTCTCGTGACTTTTTTTGCCGTTGAAAAAAAAATCGTAAAATGCCGAAATTTGATATGAGGACTCTATTAATAGTTGGTGCTGGTGTGTTATTCGATAGTTGTTTAATATATTTCCAAATAAGCAACAAAGTGCAATTCCTAATTGATTGCGTACGAGTTTCTCCTTCGTCAAATGTCAACGAGAGATGTATCTCAATAGAAAATAATCAAGGAATTCCCAGTAGAGCTTATCAGATAAGTTGGGGCTGTTTTTTTTTTCAATAAATACTACGAAAAGTCGAGGAACGTGCGAAGACGTTTTTTCCACCTGGTTTGACGCAAAAATTTTATTTCCGATTTCCCTCAAATCTATTGAATTTGAATGTTGCTTCAAAAATGATTACTTTTTGAAAAAAAAAAAACAAATTCCAATCAGCGTCAATTCTCAAAACTAATCAATTTTGTCATAATTTTTCAAGAAATGCATTTCAATATTTATATTTTCAATTGAAATGGAAATGATAATAATAATAATAATAATACAAATAAAAATAATAATACAAATAAGGCGCCACTATCTGTTTGCAATGTTTCTGTAGTTTGTTGTGCAACGAAAAAATATTTCTTGGCGCGAAAACGACGCCCCAAAATTGTTTATTGATCTCAATTCATCTATCTGCTCTCGGCCGATCGACAATCCCAGGAAGACGATCGTGAAATAAAAAGAAAAACGCTCATGTGCTCGAGTTGCTGCTGCTGCTCCTCCTCCTCCTCATCCTCATCCTCCGCTAATCGTGTCAGCTGTTACTTCTGCTCTGTCTTCTTCTCAAACGCGTCTTCAGAATCATACACTAACACTAACACGCGCGGGCGCACGCAAAAAAAAAATCAGGCCCGAGCTCGTCAGCGGTCGATGAGGAGAAAGATTTTTTCGTGTGCCGGAACAAATGGAATCGGTTTTGGCGGCCAACTCAACTCTCGTGCGGTTCTTTACTTGATTGAATTGAGTTCGAATTGCTCGGAACACGAGAAGCTGCTGAGTTGCAGAACACACGATTCATTTGTTCATTTGCCTCAGGGCCATTTTTGTGTCTTGTTTTTGTGCCGTCCGTATCTTTATTCGTTCCCCCTCTCCTCTTCATCTTGTTTGCCAAACAAAAATGATGGACCACCGTGTCGTGTCTGTTGCGTTGTTTATACATGAATATTTATAAAAGTCTTCCCTTATTTCGGTTTATAAACAACAACTCAATTTTAATTGCATTTTAATTACAGCTCGCTTTTCATTTTCAGATTTTAGCCGAAACATATCAGCGGTATGTTCAATATCGGAATTATCATCTTGTTAATCTTTTTTCTCCATTGATAAAAATAGTTTGGTACCGGATACTTGATAATCGCGTTTCCGCATCGAGTTCAATTACAATTCTTGCTCATTTTCCGAGATTAATCATTGTCGAAAGTTGCACTCTGACTCTCGGCGGTCCCACTTTGCTTCATTGCTCTCCGCACTCAGATAGACGCATACACCTCGGTCGGCTCACAGCTGATGTCGGGCGGGATTTTACGATTTCAGGCGACGACGGCGCGCAATTGTCCGCCGGACCCGGTGAAATATATGAATTTTGTTGGCAACATACGCTCGACAGCGTTGTGATTGAGCCGATTCGCTACCTTTTATCATGAAACAAAATAACACCAGAATTTATTGTTGCGAGGCACGAAGCGCTTTTATTATCTTATCAGCGCCTTGTGGGGGCTGCCTGATTGCCTGCTCGCAATGGACGTCTTTCTCATTTTTCGCAAAAAATCATATTTTCCAACAATCATCTTCTCGTTTATTTTTTTTTCTCCAAAACTCTTCCACTTAAATAATTACAATGTGAATTTTAGATAATAATTTTCTATCTAAAGCTTAATTATTCATTTCACATCAACAATTGTCGATTTCGATTGCCACAATGAGCGTTAATTTCAGAGTTTATACGGCGCTGACAGTGCGTCATCAGACTCTTCCGCACTGTCTTCATTACTCAACTCATTTGGCTCATCCGGGCCTACAACGGATTTGGCTTCAAGCTTCGCGCACCTCACAGGAAGCGGAGGAGGAGGAGGATCGCCATACAAAAATATGGATCGGTGAGTGTAACAATCAAATATATTAAAGTCGTTTATTAAATTTTGTTGGACAGTATCGAAAACGAAGTTTTTTTCCATTAGACTTTATCCTTTATGGATTAGCTAATCCTCTCGCAAGAGATCAAAAAAGTGCGAATTTCAGTCTAACCAATTCGTCATCCGTGGCTCGCCCCAACTCATTCTCATCTTTATTCGGCGATTACTCGAATCCGCTCGGTGCTCCAGGAGCTCCAGCTCCAATTGGTAAGTCAGCTGATGTTTCGCATTGTCTACATCTTCATCCGAAACCTATTAGCGTAGTGGTGGGATCTCATTTCGGAGGGGGGAGGCCCTCCCTCGTTTTCCGTGCCGACCCACTAAATATGCATGATACATTCACATTTTCATGAATGCATACATTTGTTCAAACATGTCCATTTTTGACTTGTTGAGTTGTTGCCTGCTCATCTGTGTGTTTTTCAAAAGATTTTTTTGTTAAAGAAAAACATCATTCTAATGAATTAGACGCATTCCTTTTATTTTCAAGTTGCCCGTTTGGTGAGAGGTACTTTAAGAACAACATCCTAGTGAATTATTAATGCGGAGCCCATATTGACACATTCTGGACTCGCAACAATTGTCTCTGGTCAAACTAGTGTCATCTCTCGTATATTGGCACACGACCACCCAAATTCGCTTTTTGAATTTCCCGCCAACTTCCGTCGCGCTCATTGACGTGTTGTTGTCGATGTTGGCAGTAGTGGAAGTTGGGCACGGGCTCCAAAACGCATATTTTTTTGGGCATTGATTAAAAAGAAATTAATTTCCGAATATTTGAAGGTAACATGACGATCGGAACATCGAATTTGGTGACTTCACAGCCGCATACGCCGGTCTCGACGCCGACGGCTGGACAGCAGACGCAGCAGCAACAATCGCAGAAAAACCCAAAGTTATACAAGGTCGGTTGGAGAAATCATCGAAACGTTGATTTGAATGTCCGATTTCCAGACAGAATTATGCCGTTCTTGGATGGATCACGGCCGTTGTAATTATGGAGAGCGTTGTCAGTATGCGCATGGCGAATCCGAGAAGCGTCCGGTGCCGCGCCATCCGAAATATAAAACCGAGGCTTGCCAATCGTTTCATCAAACAGGATATTGTCCCTATGGCCCACGATGTCACTTTATTCACAAGTAAAAATATTTCGGAGATATTCGAATTAAGCATTTGTGCGATTTTAGTGAGAATACTGATCGATCGGCATTTTCGCAGCCAACGACGCCCGCTGGAAACAATGGACTTTCGCCATATGCGTCGCAGTACCATAATACGAGCTTGAAACAACAACAGCAACAACAACAACAGCATCAGCAACATCAGCAGACGCATCAGAATAGTGCACTCGGAGTGCCGTCAAATATTCTGCAACGCGTTTATTCGCTTCCTGGCGGCTACGGAAGCGCCGGCGAGTCGCCAGCTGGTAGCTCAAACGACAGCGGAAGCGAATCGCCGAATGGTAGCTTCTCACCGGGACTCGATCTCGACGATCCGTCGCCGTTCTCAACGGGCTTCTTGCCGACAATACCGCACAAGCATAGTTCAAAGAGACCACAAACGAATCGTTTCTTATCATACGATCAGCCGGGATTGTAAGACATTCGTAGAACACTGATTCAATTGCTAATCTTGCCGCAATTTTCAGCAATGACGCACAGTTCAGCCATCTGCTGAACGACATCTGCTCGTGGAATCTTGATGATAACGCATTCACAACAAGCAGTAAGTTGAAAAAAAAACTATAAATATTCTTATCAAGACCCTCTAGTTTTTCATTTATTTTGATTACATTTGATTTTTGTACATATTAATAATGATAATCTATCGACATTTGATAGCACTATTTGTGACGTAAATTTCATACTCGAAAAGTTGAAAATCGAGGGAATTGGTTTGAAATTTTGCTGTTATGTGGCAACAAAAAACTTTTAAAAACTTGCGAAAACTATTTTTATTCGCATAATTCTAGGCTTAAACTCATCGAAATGGTCGACTGATGATGTCGTTCTTCCATCGGCAACGACATCTTCGGCAACAACTCCAGGCCGTCTGCCAGTTTTTGCGCAGCTCAGCAATCCACAATAAGGCATCACAACGAAGCCTTTGAACATTTCTACAAAGAGAGAACCGTCCAAGATCAGGGAAACACAAAAAAGGTTCTATTTGAATTGTTTTCTCGTTTTGTATATCAACAACTGAATAGTGTTTAGTCCAATTTAATCAAATTCTGTTTGCGCTAGTTGACATCGTTCATTTCTGTTCATTCATCACCAATTTAAAAGATACCAACACATAGTTAGCACCGGTTAGCCATTTTGTGAATACTATTTAATTATGCTATTCCACACCTAATGTGCCTTTTGAGTTTGTCGAAACAGCATAACTTATTCAATTGTACACACTTCCAACTGACTGTACTTACCGTAATCAAGCAAAAATGCATCAGAGACCCAGCGATAATTTATTATTTTATTATTTCTTGTTGTAAGCTATTCCCTCAAGAATACTTCTTCTTCTTCTCTCCACACCCCAAAACACATTCTTTCGAAACCCATCCCCAATTGAATCTTTCAGTGTATTTATGTCAACTAGCTAACTATGTACTTATATATATATACATATATCATATATCAGCAAACTATGTAATAATATTCTCCCGATGCCTTTTTTCATTTTTCTGTTTTTATTGCATTTTCTCGCTAGTATGTTTAGATTTTAATAACATTGAGACCTCTGCAAGCCCGGTTTTTTTTTTAAATTTCTGTTCTTATTTTGATTTCTAAATAAAGTTTGCAAAATTTGAAATGATGTCGTTCCATTTTATTATGAAACCGGCCATAAAAAGAAAAAAGGCGAGCAACCAGTAACCATCCAAAAAACGATTAAAGAAAAAAAAACATCACTAGCTCCGTAAATAAATAACAAAAGATAAAATAAATCACACACAGATACACAATATCGAAATGGGAGGAGTTAAACAATTAATTACCGTTAAACCATTGTTCGGACCTCGAAGAAACGCTTGAGATAGAAGATTTGTCCTACTGTCATTCCAACGAGCACGATAGCTTCGAAAACTGCCCACATCACAACACGCGAGTTGGTGTTTTCATTGACTAAAAGGAATAAATTTATTAGTCAAATTTTGCTGAAAGTCAGTGGAAAATTTGCTAGGCATTGTCTAAATTCGGCCAGACATTCAGAGAACTTTATTGAGAACTTCCTAAGATTCTATTCAAGCTCGTCTGGGCGATTTTGCCGAGAGAGTATGAAAAAATCATCATTCTAGAATCACCATTTGACTTAAATTGAATTTTGTTGATAGGATACCGAATTCTGCGCAATTAGATATATTTAATAGAAATCAATAAAAATAGGAAACAAGATTAAAAAGTCCTTAAAGAGCTTGAAATGTTATAAAATGTTTTTTTGGTTTAGAGAAATATTTAAATAAGGAAATTTCGAAATTTTTAAAATGAACTATATTCGGCGTCCGGCGACTGATGTAATGTATTGCAGTAGATTTACGATGGCTGTAGTGTCGCGCGGACTAATTAGCTAATTTGCATTAAATGACTGATTTCGATAATTTTTAATTTTTGTAGTTTTAGAATGGAAGTGGTTGGGTATTTTTTTACTGCTACATACAAAAGTTCGCAAAATTTCCTATCGTTTTCTGCAGAGATTTCATAATGTCCCAAAATTATTGGTCCAAAGTTGTTGGAAATGCAAAGAATTTACAAATTTTCCAAGAAAAAAAAACAATTCACGTGAAAATAATTAAGTAAGCATTCACACGTGGCAAAATCGTGACGAAAGGCGCACCCGTAAATCTACGCCCATACATTATTCGTATATGAACTAAACCCTAACAAATAATATGGTTTAATTGATTTAAAGCGAACATTTTGATGCAAAAACTCAAGACAGCTCAGTTTGAAATTTAATAAATCCGATCCAACTTACTCGATCTGTGAACACGTTCGCGCACTTCCATGTATTCTTGCTCGTGCTTAACAGACATCAACGCGCTGGAAAGCTCTCGGACCATCTCTTCAAGTTTCTGACTATCTGCTACAAAGCAATTTAGAATGATTCAAGAAAATTTAAGAAATACCTGCATCTTGGTTCTGAGCAGCTCCTGGAGCTTGGTTGTGTGGTTCAGTAATGTCAACGGTGAACATGACTGCCTTTGGAGTCATTGTACTCATTTGGTTTCCGAAGCAATAAGTGTAGACTCCATCCATATGTGCCGAGAATGTGAACTTTCCAGATGATTCCCGTTCTCCCTTGTAGATTTCCTTGTTGTCGGGGGCAGTAATCTTTAAAAATATTCCATTGCAGTAAGTTCTCTAGGTTCCCACTGTTAAAACTTAAAGGTAAGTGACACCCTGAAAATGGCTGATCCACATATACTCAAGGTGTTCGTTTTTTTCGATGATGACATTTTTCTTTACAATCTTTGCTATTGATTTTTGAATATTTTCTTAAACTCAACGCTTTTGGAACAAACCATTTTTTACTAGCAACTTATTTTTTGTTTAGAAAAGCTTCAGTTTTTCCATTCCATGTTTAAATTTATGAAAATTAATACCTTAACATCAATATCCAAAAATCCTCCTTCAGCAACTTCAAACATCAATCCCATTTTTGTTCCCGATGTTAGTCGATCGAAAAAACATTGTTCTTCGTTGGCATCGATGTGAATGAAAAAAGCGGATGATGAGGCAACCAATAAAGTCAAAATTATTGGAACAAAGCTCATTCTGATCCAAGTTTTTACCTGGAAAATTTAAAACGGAATGTATTATAGAACGATAAATAGCAAAAATTTGTAAAATAGCATTTTTTGATGTATGGCATGCGGAAAATATTTAAAATATATTTCAGTATGAAAATAAAATATTTTTGATAATGAGCTAATTTTTACTTTCCAAAATTACGTCTAATATCAATAGAAAAACCGTAAGTAATAAAAAATATTTCTGCAAACGTGTCGACAAGCGACCGCAACTTCTCGTCGGCGTGTATGAGTACGCAAACACCGTTGTGAACACCGTAGTGTAATGTGGTTTTGAAGACTAAAAAGAACGACAAAAAATATAAACAAGAATATTCAACCAGAAAAAGTATGTCTTCAGTACAGTCTTATCGATATCCTTAGCATATATGAATACATCCTTTTTGAGTTATAGTTCAAGGTATGCCGTTTTTGCGGCAAGTGGTATAGGTATATTAAAGGTTTACTTTTAAATTTTTAGTTAGTTGGAATTAACTAGTCCTAAAAAAATATATACAGCGTTATTAGAAAAAATTTTATTAGTAGGTAAACAATTAAAATCAAGTGAAATTATCACCAGACATTGGCGGCAAACATAATAATCAGGAAAATTATAAGAGGCGCAAGTGTGAACATGAATAACGATCCAATTAATAATCGTCGTCTTTGGTAATTAATCTGTTGTTGACATCCGTACGTAGGTTGTGTTACTACAAATATAGGAGGCTGCTGGAATCTGGGAGGTTGTGATTCCCTAGGTATATATGTTGGAAGATCATTCGGCTGCGTATTTTGATTAATTGAATATGACGGTGGAAAGTCGTAGTATGATGGAGGTGCTTCTGGAATTAACGGACGAGGAGCTGTCGGAGCAGATGAAGATGGTTGAATGGGGTCCATCTAAAAACAAAAAAATTTAGTGCAATGCATGTCGTTCGAACTGAACGAAATAAACTGATAGGAGGAGAAGATGGTACGCTTTAAAATATATATCAAGATAAGATTATGATGATGAATTTCAAGCTTTTATTGATGTCAAAAATGTTAAAGACTGCTGGAAGTATTATAAAACTTATCGAAAAGCAAACCTGGCCCAGTCTCAATAGTAAAAAGGCCATACATTTGTCATCGTAAAATGCAAATAAGGAAGACCGCCAAAAAAGGAAAAATTTGTCAGGGTTCGACGCACAAAAACAAATAACGCGGCGATAAATCGTATAAGTTATAATGTGGAACGAATCGAAATATTGATAGAAATCGGAAAAAGACTGGAGTTTTGTTCAGAAATCACTCATTTTCTTCGATGTTTACAAAGAGTTTTTGGTTTGATTATCAATAAATACGTTCTACATACGTCATTGTTGTGAACGTACGAAATTGAGGTGTTTCCGTGTGCTGTAATTTCCTGCTGAAACTTGATAAGCTCCTACTACGCCTATTTATCTAATGAAAAACATTCTTAACAACTTATAAAAAGTTAGTTTCACACTAGTTTTCACACTAATTCCCAAGTTTGCCAATCATTTTAAATAAATTCTTTAATATTCAATATAGTCATTTTAAGCTCAACAGTATTATTACTACAGTCTTGTTCAAGTATTTTAAAGTTTTCTCATCTTTCACTTATCTATTATTCATTTGAACAACCGATCTTCCGGTTTCACAAATTTCGACACATTGAAAAGAAAACTCCATTGGGAGTTCAACTCTGGTTTGTAGTCGGACGAAATCGCTCCTCAAACGCCGCCAAATACGATAAAAAATGAATTTTTGAAATCCAAATCGTATGCGATAAACTCGCAATAGTATTTGGTCGTGTTTGAGGAGCGATTTTGTCGTGTAATTTACAAGAAAAAATCATTTAAGAAACATTTTTTTTTGTAAAAATTAAATTAATCAACTTGCTACAAATATTTATTAAACATTTTTTTCCGGTCGAATCAATTCATGTGAAACATTTCTTTTCAGAAAATAAGCAAGATTGGAATAATGAAAGACACCGGGATTAAATTGCGAAAGGAACGAAAGAAAGAATAAAAGAGGGAAGGAATATGCGATTTCATAATAACAATAATAAGTTATTCGTTATCGATTGATTCGAACGTATATGGCAAACACCATGGGTGAGACGCAATTTGAGATGCCAGTGGACGTTTATCAGCATTTCGATTCATAAGACGACAAAGCAGGTCACGAGCCTCTGTTAAGAAAAATGACGTGCGCTTCGGAATTGCAACTAACTTAATGACACATCTCTCCATTCCGGCATATCAAAATTGACATTGGCTTGCATTATCAATTTGAACAGACGAGATTGATCTGGTGCTCGGAATGGAGCATAACCAGCGAGCATCACATAGAGAACAACACCAAGCGACCAAATATCCACTTTTGTTGTGTAGCCTGTATAGGATTGAGCGTTTCCAACAATGTCTTGGTGTTTTTTTTTACCAGTCTCTTTGAGCACTTCTGGAGCACAATATGTTGGTGTACCACATATACGATAAAGTGGTCCCAACACATGGCATGCAAGTCCGAAATCGCACAATTTCACACTGAACTTATCAACTAGCAAAAGGTTCTCTGGCTTCACATCACGATGAGCCACATTTCGCTCATGGAGATATTCAAGAGCAGAAGCAACCTAAACATTTTGAACAATTATGAAGATTGTTGATTTATTCTCGATTCAGAATGTGTTATTAGCTAGCAAATTCATAGAATCTGATGAATTGGCCCAATTAGTTGTGAATCTATCACAATCCTACCTGAAGTGTTATGATTGCTGCGTCAGGTTCCTCAATTCTTTTATTTTTTCGAATCATCTCATACAAATCTCCGAATTGCGCGTATTCAATAACCAAGAAATAATGAGTTTCAGTGCTGTACGCATCGATAATCGACACGATGTGATCATGCTGGATGAGAGAAAGCATTTCGACCTCATTATCAACGAAAAAACATTTTCCGCGCATTGCTCGTTTCTCGACTTGCTGAAAAGAAAAAACCGTTGTTCCACAACAATTGAATTGGACCTTGGAAATTGCCAAATTGAACACATTATTTTTATTTTTTAGGATGGCGATTGTTTGTTTGTTTAATCGTAATTAAAACGGCACCGACCGGCACCCATTTTAATTTCCCAACCTTCAGGGCACACTTTCGCCCATCCGATTTCCTTTTCGAGACATGCACCGACGAGAAATTGCCTTTGCCGATGACCGCTCCGATTTCATAGTCAATCTCAACGACTTTCTTCGATGAAACGTGTCGTATACATTTCGAAACCTGCAACACGACGAACAAGTTATAATGGTCCGTTCATTCATATGCACTCTCATTCTTTTTTTTCTCAGACCAAACACATTATGTTTCTTTCGTTTTTTTCACATGATTGTTGTATAGTGACCGGAAGTAAGGAGTTGGCTGCAACATAAAAGAAAAGGGCAACAACGAAACTAAAAAATGACGCACAACGGTATATACGAATACGTATATGTATATTCCGGATTTGGTAATTCGTAATGATTGGAATAAAATCGAGAGAGACAGAAAGACAAAATATTAAAGACTACAATTTTGGAATTATATTCTTATTGCAAAGAATTGAAGTTAAATAGAGCATGAGCAACAAAATACATTGATCTCAATGTGAAGTGTCTAGGAAACACCTGCGTCTTCGAATATTTTGTTTTTCACTAAAATATGATTATTTTTCAGATAATGTTTTATATAGTGCTTCTAACTGCTAGAATTCACAGTTCTCAATTATATCGAGCGAGATAAATATTTGTGAAGGAAATTCCTTCGCACAAATTCCTATCTTCCATATTCGGCATAGTTAAAATTTTGCATCGAAGAGTTTTGGTAATTTCCTTATTAATAACAAACCGAAAAGCATTCCACGAGCAATTCAAAGGTCAAACCAAGTTCATCGACAATTATTTTCAACTTTTATTTCAATCCTCAACTTTCAGGGTTTGAAAAATAACTAGGTATTTGAGAAAATCGTAAAGTTACCCCAAAAAATCCTTCGTTGACATGTCTGGAAGAAGTGTGAACCATTCTTGGCTGTTTTTCGACATCCCTCGATGCACAATTATTATTGCGGTCAAGAGACACTCCTATAACTATATATGTATAGTTTGGATAAATATATCTCTGAAAAACCTACCAGTTCGCGGGGCTCGATTGTATAATGTGGTGACAGAGCTCGAACGAGAGCGCATTTTCTGAAAAAAAAGGTTTGAATTCGTATAGATGTGAGAACCGAAATTTTTTTTTGGGATTTGAATGTTTTTTCCGTCAATATGACCGCGTAATTATGTATATGCGTCTATTTTTGGTGGAAAAGGACGAGAAAATAATTGGATATGTGCATCATATTGAAATAGTGCACAATGAGCACATGGGCATTTTTGGCAAAAACGACAGGAAAAGTAAAATAAGGTCCAAAGAGAACAATTGAGCAAGAGATAATGGTTGACCATGAGATTGGCAAGAAACGACGAGTTACCTGGGAAACGTCCATTCAGTCCTCCTCTTCACTTTTTTATATTTTCTGTTGGCAGTGGACAGCGGAAATGGATGCAGCGGGGCGTGGTCCGCAAAAAATGACCAAAAGTGGGAGCAGACTTTTGGCTGAATTGATTTCGTATATTTCTTGCACGGTGAGAACAAACGAATACCCGACGGGTCTCAATGATTAAAATATGACATTTTTTTATTAATGCTAGTCAAGTAGGGAAATTGAATTTTTAATGACAAAAACAACCTGCCTAAAAATATGTTGGCATAAAATGAAGTGTATAGAAATAATTTTAATTGGGTGGACCGCTAAATTTTCCACTTGAAGATATTTCTTAAATTTGATGAGTATAATCTTTGAAAAATTCTGAATCGACTGTGAAATCCTTACAAATGCCTACCCTTGTTAGACCTACGCCTTCCAGATGAGACCCTGATGGCATTGTTGCGATGAAGAAATTAATTGCCATCATTTACTGACGATAACATCGAAAAACTTTTCCGCAGAACTTTTAGCAGCTTTTTAGCAGACAGTCTTGATGATATTCAAATCATGAACTTGTATAGGCAATCAATCAAAATTATACTAACTTTTGCCTGTCTGGAGATCAAATAAACGATATTCCCGGGTGTTCAGGAAATAATTTTCCGGTGATTACCCATAAAAGCGGGAATTCGCTGCAGGATAGGTAAGATAGATTAAAAAGAAAGTGTTAATGGCACGTCTGAACGGACATTCTATCGAATTGGACCGGAAACTTTGTGCAATTCGGATCCAAATATTTATTTTGATTTGCTGGAGTGATCATTATCTCGTTATATTCTGAAAAGACAAACGAATTCTATCAATGGCTTCCTTTCTTATTTTCAGTAGCTATTTTTTAAGACCATGGACCTGCAGATGGCCGCTTTTTCAATGTTCAAAAATTCAGCCGTGCACAATTTGCGCTTGCTCTTGAAATGCGCCAATGCCCACTAGCCTGGCATATTAGTTGTGAAACCACAATTTTTAAATTCCGTGTCGATATAGCAACATTTTCCTAAAAATATACGTTTTACTTAAATTTTTCAGACCATGGGTTTAACACCAGTATTACTAGTCGTCTTTTTACTGGCCAATGTGGTATCAGCGAATATTTATAGCTGTGGAGGATTTGTACGTTCTTCGGGTTCATCACAGGTCGATTACTCTAGAATAACGGTATTATTGTCACGGAATTTTCTAATTTATATGTTGTTCATAGGTAAAATTATTAAATGCCGAAGGAAATTTAAAACATGAAGAAGAAGTGAATCCCTCCAATGGATATTTTATGATTCCAGTTTACAATAAAGGCCAGTATTCTCTAAAAGTTTCGTCTCCAGATGGATATTATTTTGGTAATAATTTTATTTTGCATCAAAAATATATTTTCTGAGAGATTTATAGAGCCAAGCGTTTTCAATTTTAAATTGGATGGCGTTAATGATGTTTGCTCGAAGAATGAAGATATCATTTTCAATTTAAGTGGATTTTCTATACGAGGAGTTGTTGACGGCGCTGGTGCCGGTTTGCGGTTAGTACTTCGCCAAAATGGAAATGAGATCGACAACGCCGTGACAAATGATGGTGGCAAATACGAGCTGAAGGCGCCCTCAGGAACCTATGAAGTTTCGACAGGAAAGGGATCAACAGAATGTATTTCTCGTGGAAAAGCCACTGTCGTCGTTTCTGGAGCACCGGTTGATGTCACCCCAAATCTCAAAGTTTCCGGTTATCAACTGAACATCCACACAAAAACTTCGACTGGCAAAAATTTCGGATACGTGCGGATTCACGTTTTCGCTGAGAAACCCATTGACCTTCCAAATGTTTTATGCAAAAAGATTGATACGTTCGAAAGCGTCCCACGATCTCATCCATATGCTTGTGATATGGGAACCACTGATTCGCAAGGAAAATTAAGCATTCCATGCGTGCCTGCAGGCCAATATTATGCGGAAGCAAGCTTCGAGAAGAAAAACGAATTTTCGGTGAAATTCACTCCGAACGCTCATAAGGTTACCATCTCGAAATCTGCCGAAAATCTTAAATTTGTTGCCGAATCGGTTTCAACTCAAGTTCAAGTTACCAACAATGCCAGAATTCTCTCTGGCGTTGATGTAGTCGTTGATGGAACAATTGTCGCCAAGACTGATAAAAATGGGTTCGCATTACTAACTGGTTTGAAGGTAAATCAAATTGACAAAAACTCGATAAAAATTTTTTCATTTTTATAGGATGAAACGACAGTTACAATCACGGCATCTGCAAAAAACACACAATTCTCGAAAGGAAGTGTTAATGTTAACCTGCCAAATATTAAGGTCTCGAATATTCAAGTTGAGAAGTAAGTAAAATTAGGTATATGCATATATCTTATAAAATGATTGTTTTAGATTTGAAATTTGCGGAAGCGTTGAAAAATCTGAGAATGGAATTATTGAAAAACTCCAGTTCATCAAGACAAAAGACAACAAAAAAGTTGATGTTGTGCCGAAAACTGATGGATCATTCTGCTATGCAGTTACTCCTGGGATATATACAATTAAGGTAATAACATATATATGTATGCATGTATTCGTGGACGGACGAACTGGAAATTTGAACCATAATATTAAACAAGAAAAAGGAATTATGCTCTTTCACATTACGACAGTTAGAAAATGCGAAACTAGTTTCAAGAGTTTTTTCTATACGAGGCGTTTCAATTGATAGAGTAATCGTATACTAAATACTTTCGTTCTTGGCAATTGCACAGTTCACTGCTGATATCGATTTCCACAAAAAGAGAAGCAAAACATTTAAAGTAGCTTTAAAACGAGAAACATAAAATATTTTTGCAGCCATCGGATACAACTTCTTCATTGACACCACAATCTCTCGATGTGAATGTTTCGGAAAAACCAGTAACTGGGCTTCAATTTACGCATTTCAAAACTGATGCCAATATTCGTGTGTCGTGTATTGGTAAGATAATTTGTTTGGAAGCAACAATAATAATTCTTACTATAGGAGCCTGTCCGCTGGCAAAGGTTTCTCTGTACCTTTCTGGAAACAATTTGATCCGTACAGTCGAAGGAACCGATGTCTTTGATATCAAAAATATTGGACCTGGAAACTACCAAGGTTTTTTATTCGAATCTATTCGAATAATTTTCCGGTGACTTATTTTGCAGTTAAACTTGATGATGGAGGTCGCGGATGTTGGGAGCATAAAGAATTACCGTTGGTAATTTCCCAATCGAAGAACGTTCCTTCCGTTCATTTTGTTCAAAGTGGATTCAATACGAAATTATCGATTTCTCATGATGCGAATATCGTAAGAATTGCAAATCACTCGAAGAAATAACTTGCTATTTTAGAAATGGGCTAGTGTTGACAATAAACAACTTCACGGCACGGCTAAAACTTCTGGTGGCGAGGTATTCATCTGTCTTCCAACTTCTGGGCGTTTCACGTTCACTTTGAGTTCGTGCTACAAGTTTGAAAACCAGCACTTTGATATCAATGTGCCATATGAGGGTGTTCATTCGGAACGCGCAATTGCTGCTAGATTGGGCGGCATTGTCGATTTAGAAGGAGACAAAACTTCAGCAACTTTGATGAAGATCAAGTAGTCGTTTTTGCTTATTGTAGTATTTCATGATCTCACTTTTAGGTCGAATGCTGGCGACAAAGAAGTTTCGGTATCATCAGAAGGCAAATTTGTGTTTGATGAGCCATTGACTTCAGTTGGAGAGAAAGTGAAATTCATTCCGTCATCAAACAAACGGCTCTTTGAACCAACATCAAAGACGATCACATTTAGCGGAAAATGTGATGAGAATGTGGTCCAGTTTAAGTCATTTCGTGGAATTTTCATTGATGGAACTATTCGTCCAGCTGTTCAAGGCGCTAAGGTTTTTTAAACAAATTATTTTCATTTTTTTGTTAAATATCGATTTAGATCGAAGCTGTTCTTAAATCCGACAAAAGCGTGGTTATCAGCGCCAATTCGGATAAAAATGGAAATTACAAGTAAAATTGGACTGAATTGTTAAATTAAATTGGAATATTAATTATAGAATTGGTCCAGTGAAGCGAGTTGAAGATTATGAGATTTCTGCGAAGCTTGATGGTTATCGTTTCAACCCGAAAGGAAGTTCTGGGAATTTCGAAAGTGTTAAACTCAGTCAACTAAACATTAAAGTGGTAGGTATTCGATCGTCGAATTATTAGTTATATGCATATTCCATTAAATATCTTTATGAAAATGAATATATTAATTTTCTAAGGTTGATGAGGCTACCGATGAGCCGCTCGAGGATGTTCTCTTGTCATTGGTTGGTGGAAAGGGACTCGATTATCGTTCGAACACAAATCTTGATTCAACTGCCCAGAAGAATTTTGTCGCATTAGCACCAGGAGAATATTTCGTTCGCGCAATTCTTCAAGAATACAAGTTTTCTCCAACAACAAGCACTATTGAAGTGAAAGAAGGTGTTCATGAAAACGTTGTGCTCAAAGGAAAGAGAGTTGCTTACAGGTCAGTTTCTATTTATTAGTCTGCGTCAGCGTTGTAAAAAAAAGGTCCCCGATCCGGGTCCCCATTTTGACAATCATGGTTTGCGTCAAACGACTAAACGAAATTTAAAAAATATTGGCCACTTGCCAAGTATCTCGAAGACGAGAAATGTGCGCGTGCCTGCAGGTACGCGTACTCTAGTTCATTTAATGAAACAAATTCATTTCCAAATTCGTAGAAATACATTGATATTCTGAAATTGAATTTCCCGCCACAGATAAGTCATTTGACGCCGATCATTTGATTCTTCACATTCTTTGAAAATTATTTATTGATATGATTCACTTGTCAAAAATTGCCCGCTTTGATGTTTGAAATTCATAAATTGAAAATTGTGATTACTTGCTTCAATTTTTGTTGCTTTCACGCTATATTAGAATGACCAATAAAATAATATTAGATAAGTTCAAAAAAATCACGTATGAATCAAAAATGAGCTGTCTACATCGACTATTTTGTTTCTTCCAGTTCAAAGCAGAATTAATACAAAAACCCAAAAATTTTCGAAATTGCAATTTTCATTTTCAGCGTGTTCGGAAAGATGCGTGAAATGTCTGGAACACCGGTACCAAATATTGTGATTGAAGCACTTTCTTCGGAATGCGATCAGCATCAATCTGAAGCTGTCACAGATAATTCGGGTTATTTCCGACTACGCGGACTCCATCCGAACTGCAATTACAAGGTTTATGCGAAATCAGATGCCGATGGCCTGACTGCTCCGCACAGTTTTCCGAGACAATTCACAATTGCTATGACCGCTTCTGATGTAAAGGGATTGGAGTTCATTGCAACTCCAATTGAAAAGACCACTGATATGGCTTTGGAGATTGATTTGAGTGCTGTAAAGGATATCCAATCAGTGAAGGTGATTGTGAACAGAGGACATGATCACATTCAAACTACTTCCGTTCAACTCCCACAGCACCTGTTCTACATGTCGCATTTGCCCAGAGACGGCGCCGAGTATAGCATTCGCGTTGAGCCGGAAAAACCGCATCATGCATTTGTCGCCAAGACTGGTATTTTAATTCATATTCGGAACGCATTAGAAAACTTTTGTGTTGCAGTATTCTTCACAGCTGACGTGCCAATTCGAGTAATTAGAGTTCCACTAACATCGCAGAAGAAATCCGGAGAGGTCGAAATTAGCGTCGGATCTTTGTTCGCGCCTGTTTTCTTTATTTGCATTGCACTTCTAGTATTTAATCAGGTATGTGTGTTTTCTTGAAAATGCTTTTAAACATCAAATTTCCAGTCAATGTTAAGACATCAAAAAGTATTAATCAAACACATTTCAACAATTTTTCTCGTTTCGGTTTTCGTTTAAAAGCTTTCAAACCCTGTTTCCAAGAATTGATGGCAAAAACTCATAAATCTATGAGAGCTAATGGATTTAACCCATTACAGTATACATGAATAAACGAGTCAATTTTAAAATTGAATACGTCATAAATTTGCTTGCGAAATGCTCAAAAACCGGAAATATTGATAAGCTTGTGTTGAAGAGCGTGGGATGTCAAAATGACATCAAGTTATCCTCCTGTGGGACCCTCGACCCCTTTCTTCTTATCGAGCAACATAACTTTTACATTTTTGTTGTATCCAATTAAAATGAGGAAATTGTGATGTCACGGACCAATTAATTATTCAAAAATTTCAAAAAGGAATGAGATTCATAAGTTTTGTCGTTTCAGGATCGAGTCTTCGAGGTAATTCATTCGTTCATAAATTCGTTAAGACAAAGCACAGAACATCAGAAGAAACGGAAATAATCATCATTCCATTCTCCCTTTTTTTTTACAAATTTGTGATCGCTACAATCTTTTTTTGTATTTCTTTCTTCAGAAATTTTTTGAATTGTGTAGGCATTATTATCGACATCTCCTCGACTGCGGAAAATTAGCTAAATGCTCAAAAAACTGGCTGAGGTCTTGTTGCTGAACTAAAAGTGTAGATTTACGGGACTAAATATAAGGATAGTTAACAGCGTATGAGACCTCTTCTTACTTTTTGGCATTTGGCCAATTTTCCGCAGTTGGGTGACTTCGACAATATTAATATAATATTATTTAATATATAATTTATATTCAGGAACCCCTTCTTAATTTTTTAATAAAAACAAAGTTTTAATATACGAAATCGACAATGCTTAATTATTAATGAGTAACCAATTTGGGATAGGGTTTCATGTCGTGGGCTGTACGCCTTTAAGTTGGAGTTGGAAAAACATGAACATTAAATGTCTCAAGGAAAAAACAAGGAATTTTTAACGATTCTGATTAAGCCGTACAAGGCTTTTGAAAATAAATGAACCAGGCCTCATTGAGGTTCACGAGTACCTTTGAATGGGTCTCGAAACTCGGTTGAGTTTAGTGAACCTCATGAGTGTTACTTTTTACTTTTTACTGTAATTAAATCTATATACAAGTATCATCACGGAAGAAACAATTGAAGAAAAACTGTAGAACTGTCACTCTCCTATGCTACGTCTAATAACGACGGATTAAGATAGGTTTTTTGAGGCATTGGATTGCCAGTTGACATATTAACAAAATACAATTTTAAATAATACTTAAATTATTCAAAAATAAGTTATCCGAATACGTATTTTCGTATGAGTCAGTCAGTTGAAGATATCTCCAATGAACTCATAAACAACAGTTTCGATATAATTTAGAATGACGATTGACGTCGGTCATCAGCTTCCAATTTTTTTTTCGTTTCACAAGATTATCTTTTGAATAAGTCCTCTAGCAGCAATTAATTGCAAAAAACGGATAAATCCGGAAATTGCTGCTATTTTCGCAACATTCTGCCATATTCTGAGATGACCTCTGAATGAGCACACATTAGTTTGTGTCTCCTCCGCATTTCCATTGACTCCGCCCACTTCTCAAAAGCCATCCAAGCCCTTGATTCGTCATAACGAAGCCACGAATCTGATATTCTACTATTTTCAGAGTCCCAAATTTTTCATTTAATTCATTTAACAACGGTTTTTTTTAATTTTAGTTTTATGTGATTGGTTCTTTTTTAACAGACAATTTTTTTTGAAAGAAGAGAATAAGAAGTTCCTGGTGTTTCTAGCTTTGTTCGCCACTTAGTGTCAATCATTGAATAAAAAAGCAGTTTCAATTTTTGCTTTGATTCATTTTTCTGCCACAAAATGAACCTGGTGTACAATTGCACTAAATTTGAAAAAAATTGTTGGTATTCTTTTTTTTCTGGAAATTCATCAAGCCTATGATTTTTTCAAGATTGTTGCTACAGACTTCTTTCATAACCACATTATCATTTTGAGATAATTAAGAAAAAAAAACGATTATGCATTTTTTGAACCTGAAATCTAAAACTGTTTCAGAGTTTCAGAGCAGCTGCTTTCCAAAATTACTATTTGTTCATTTTTTAAATCATTTTTGTTTTCCATCATCTTCTTATACATATTTTTTGAATCTTTAGGATATTTTTAAAATGCTGAACTGATCTAACACATTGCTCTGCGATTCGATTATATTACTATGATATAACTCGCTGAAAATTTTGGAACAAACATGGGAAAAAGAGACCCGTGGTTTAGCCGGATACGATAAATTGAGAGCGGCGTGTAAATGGAGTGTCGTACAAAAAGTTTTGGAACGAACCGCGGAAGTTTTTTTGAAAACTAGTGTGGTTCGTCGTTTTTGAATTTGTGAGCAATTTAAAATCCTCTTTTGTTGAAAATGGTGAAATTGGAAGCTTGAAAACAAATAAAATGTGAAATTCTGAAACATTTCTAGATTTCATAATTGTTTTGAGCTTTATAAACGAATTGTTTTCTTATTTTCCATGTGTCTAAAATCTGACCGGAAGTAACGAATCGGAAGGAAAGTGGAAAAAAAGTTGAGTTGGTCCCCCTCGATTCGCCATCATGTGGAAACGGGTGGGAGAAAAGGTCAAAAGTCGCCTATGAAGGCAACGATCACTTCAAACACTTTGAGGAAAACTATGCCGAGAGTTTGTCGGTACTGTACATTTAATCCTCTTTTGGTTACCATATAAGGTCAATATCTCGATAGCTTATCTCACGATTTAGCAGAAATACCAAGATTGCTACAAAATTGATGTCATTTTAAATGAAAAACAAACAAAAATGTTTTGCCTATAATTATAGTTTATCAGGTGATTTCTTAGTAAGACCTGCTTTTGCAAAAACGAATCGAAGCAGGTTCCGACAACATCTTCGCTATGATATAATTATCCGTTCTCAGACCGCGAACTGATAGAAATGAAAGTCGCTGTTTCAGTCAATATCGTGAACTTTCAGAATTAAGCTATGCTCAAGTCTTTATGCACAAAACATTTTTAAAAATGCAATATAAGGAAGCCATTTTAGAGTTTGAAAGATTAAAAAAATCGAATACTTTCGTACATTTTCCTATTAAGCTTAGTAATCGGCAGTCTTGTATAGTAAATTAAAAAAAATCCTTATTTTCAAATAGCATTTTGCATCGTTATTTTCCTATTGCCTGTGGGCGGAGTTTAGCATTTCGAAAAAAAATTTGTGCAAAATACAAAAAAATTATTAACATTTAGCATGTGAATTTTCTAGATCTATTAAATTCAAATTATAATACAAAAAAAATGGAACGTCTTTAAAAATTTCGATTTCGAAATTGACATTCCGCATTTTTTTGTTGTTTTTTTCCCATTCAAATTCACTCACTTGAACCGCTTCGTATAAATCGCGGGATTCGCAATTTCAATTGAGTTTTTGACTTACAAGAGGTATACATTTATTTTTAGAAAATATTGCGTTCTAAGCTTTCGATAAATCGAGAACGCAGATTTATGAAATATGTCGAGAAACCTGTGACTAAAATTAATGAGTTTCGCAATTATTTTCTACTTTGATTCCTCACGCATTTTTCCATTTTCCGAATCGACATGCAGGGTTTTCACTTAGAAAACATCGCTTTAATTCGGTATAACTCTTAAGTTCATTCCATTTTTGTTCATTTTTTCAAATTCCTCAATTTTTGTTACGATCTCGAAATGTTGTTATTCTGAAAATGGTCTCCTTTCGAAATGGGTGTCACCATTTTTCGATACCCTCTCAAACATCAAATCTTCATTGTGGGACTATGTGACAATAAAGAATGAATATTTGATGTTGCCAAATTTAGTCATATGCCGTTGAATAAAACATGAACATTTGCGTAGGCGTGGCCATCAGGATTTACTCATTAGAAAGAGATTCGCCTACAAAATTTGTCAGTTTTCTGCACATTCCGACGCTGGTTTTGTACTTGAGTTGGTTGGATATAAAAATCGGATATTTCCTAGAATCTCAGAGAGGCGAATTATTTTTGGTTCAGTCGAAAAACGGTTATCCGGTCAAAATGTTCGAAGTCTTTTCCAACCGAAAAAAAAACCCAACATTAATTTCAAGTTGCATTCGTTTATAAATAAATATTTGCCCACAAAAAATTTAGCTCGAGGCGACCAATTACTTTCCAGAAAAATAGAGTCCCGCCTCTGTAAAATCGGTGGGCGAATGAATAGACGTACCTTATTTTCCATCGAGGTTCCTTTTTTTCCACCTCGCTTTTATTCCATTTATGACTCGCACGATTCCTTCAATTCAATTTTTCTTGAATTCACACAATTCTGAAATTGCCCGTCTGGGAAAGTGATGTGAGTTCGGTATTGACAAAGGACAACTTAGTTTATTTCAGCCATAATTGCTTTTCATTTTTTTATTCATTTTTTGGGCTTCACACATTTTTCTTAAATATTCCATGACGATAAAGAATCGAATATTTATATTCGCTTTGCAATAGACTCTATCGTCTCGAAATACTGACTATATTACGATTTTTCGAAGCATCCATGCTAAATGAATTTTCTAGTTTGGTCTATGAAATTGAAGCCGTACAGGAGCGAATTAATTAATTACATAGAGCAACGATTTATATCGTAACCGTTTCTCAATTCGCATAGCTTTTAAGCTTCCACTCGATCGTTGTCATTTATAGAATTAATATGTCCAAAGTGATCGGTTCATTTCATCGCTTTCAACTCAAATCCTTTTCTAATGAAAATGTAAAAGATCAATTAAAATATTTGCAAATTTTATAGGTAAATCAGTAACATGCAATATTTCGGCTCAGAATTCGTCATCTCAATTCTTCTGCTGCTCATTGTGAGGTTTGTACTTCCAATTCATTTCCATCTAAAACTACAGTATTCTGGGGTTCTTGAAAACAAAAAAGAAGAGACTCAATTTTATGGTCTTCTCAACTCAATAGATCTCATTTTCTAGATGATAGTAATTTTGTTTTCACTAATATCTTCAAAATCGTCGCCAAATGGCGAACGTGGTCATAACAACAATACACAGAAACCACGCCCACCCATTTTCGGAAATGCGGTCCCATCGAAAATTCTTCTTCTTATTATTATTATTCATACATTCAGTTGTTGAATTCGTACAGGCATTTCATTTAGAGAATAATGCACAATATTCTTATGCTCTGTATAGTCTTGATATCATTAATATTAAGGTAGTGGAAAAATTCGAAAATTCCAAAAAGTATGGAAATACTTGAAATCATTTCAGTGTGTGCTCATTGCCGTTCGAGAAGAAGGCCGACATTGACATGTTCACATCGGCTGTCAATCGTGCAAATCGCTTGAGATATGGTAAAAGATCATCATCGCCGATTGAATACGAAGAAAGGTTGGTAGTTTTTGGAAAATTGAAAAGTATTACGAGAAATGATCTAAGATTATCCAATTCACAATTCGAGCATTTCATTGAACTAACCGACTTTGAGATTTTCGTAAAAATTATCTAGTTGATGACATGTTTTTTCAAGCATATTTCGGGAAATCGAATATTCTCAAATGTTTCATCATTAGTGAGGAGCGGATTCATCCGAATTTTGAATTCAGCGTTTTCACATTCCCAATCGCGAAGAAAGCGACGATCGACGCGTTCGCTTCGGCTGTCAATGGCGCGAATCGCCTTCGATACGGCAAAAGATCCTCTTCCGGCAATCCTGGCCAAAGGTACGAGCAAACCATTCTATTTTGGGATAGACTAAGTAGTTTTCGTAGAATTGTGGCTAGTTTGATCATTTCCTGAAAAAAGATTCGCTTCCTGCTTCCTGTCCGATTGTTCTATTTATTAACCTTTTTGATGAAATTGCAATTCCGAGGGATTTGCAAGATATGTCTAACTTGTCTTTGGTATTGTTTATTATCAGAATTTCAGCCGCGATAAGCATCGTGGGAGAATGATGTATTGCAAGGGAAACATTTCAAATTAGGCGCGTGTGATTCAAATTTGCACAAACTTGGTTTGAGAGAAAACAATTCATAAAGGAACTAAATGCGCAGTAAATAACAATTAGCGATTTTCCGAAAAATAGTCACAATGGAAACAAGTCGATTTGTTTATATGTTTTTGAACACAACAAATGAGTATTTACATCACGAAAATGCCAGCTCTTCTTACAGTAACCAAGTAAGATTTAAACCGAATCACGTCATAAGGCTCAATTCGGATACATGAATATGTTTTCACGCGTGAACTAAAGTCCAATGAAGAAGTGATTGAGTGTGTGTGTGTGTATTTCCACTTCCTTAAATTGTTGTTCAATTGACGTCACCATTTATTATTCTAATAATTTTTCCGCGATTCGTACATCAATGCTGAACCTCGAATCCCATTCACGTAAGTTATTCATTCGTGAAATTTGGATGTATGATTGTTTGATTATAGGAGCAAACGTGGAATCAACACCGAATCCCTTGTTGCATCTCTCAACGGTGCTGAAAGATTACGGTATGTCGGAAGAATGATTTTCCTCGATGAAATCGTGTTTCAGATTCGGACGTAAGTAGAATTGAGCATGGACGACCCAGTCTTAAATTGAATAAAGAATTGTTCTGTACTATTCTCGTTATTGTTTTTTTCACTTTTCTCCAATCCATTCAATTCCATTCATTAACCTTCTTCACACTGATACGTTTTCTTTCAATTCCGCGCAGCAAATGAATCAAGAAGTGACTCGTTGAAAGGCGTTTGCGAATTTGGTAGTCGACAAAGAAACACGAAATAAAACTACGAGACAAAACGCATGAATAATTGAGTGTTTAGATCATTGGGGTTTCGACGAATGTTTCAATTTTTTTTTTTGAACAAGAAAAGAATTATTAATTGTTAGACATCATTATATTTAGGAGAAAGGGGGATATTAGAAGAATTTCGAAATCCAAATAAGATTAATGTTAGCCCACTAAAAATATCATCATATTGATTCTTGGAGTTCGAACTGGTGAACCCCGAAAATTTTTTCTGGACGACCCGATCGGCATAGGCCTAAAGAATCCGATATTACCAGAGTTATCTGAAATTAAAGTGAATGGCGCTTTAAATGTTTCAACTACTCAGCGATTCAATCGTGACTAACAGGACCCACTTTTTGGTTTGGCATAAATTGCGGAATATTCGGGAACAAAAGTTAATTACGGATTAGGATTTTTACGCTAAATTGAGGGCGATGTGTAATTGGAGTGTCGTATTGATAATATCGCAAGAAAAAAATGAGCGCCACGAATAATTATGGGCCACCGCACTTTTTTCGTTTTTTTCGTGACAGTAATTCAAATTTGAATTTTATCAGTTCGAGAATGTTTGAAATCACCTTCACCGATGTTCCCCTATTTTTCAAGTCGATGATTGCAACGCGATAGATTTAATCAGCTGTCATTCCAGTCATGCGAAACCAATCTCCATAAAACGTTCAGAAAATGATTAAAAGATTACAAAAAATAAAATAACCAATAAAAATGTTCAACCTTTTTAGCGAAACTTAAACATACAAACTTATGCTTACCCTAAAAATTCTGATAGCGCCAGCGATGAAAAATACTATGCTCAAATGGTGAATTAAGCTATTACTCGGTTAACGCAAGATACTTGGAGTGTGAATTTTGCAGAAAAGCCCTTTGATTTTCATATGCAATTTGCTCACTGATCGCATAATGTCGTGTGCGTGTGTTATTCCAAAATTACTTGAACAGTTTTTTTTCGGTTTAGTAATATTTTTATCGCTTCTAGGGTATTCCATCATTAACCGCGCATTCATTCAGATGATTACATTCCCAATAGGGATGCTAATTTGATGTTTTTTTTTAATCATTCACTATGTATTCCATTGTTCGCGACAATCCAATTTTTTCGTTGTTTTTATTTTCGAACAACATTACGTCAATTTCTGTCTGTTATTAGCATACCAATATATAATACGTGAGCTCGACAAAAATTGTTCGCTTTTGCTTACATGACTCAAATGAGTGAATGATTTGTGAGCTCATAAATTGTCGTTTTAAAATTTATATAATGCGTAGGGAAACATAATATATACAAACCAATAAAAATAAGGCGAATACGACAACAAAAAATGAAACAAAGAAAAGTCAAATTAAAAACACAAAAGTTTTGAATTTCTCAGTTATTGGGATTGTGAAAATATGTTAATGACAATTATATAGGCGGCGTCCGGCGACGACTAATGCATTGGTGTAGATTTACGGGATTCCTCATGGTCTCGCCACGTGTGAATGCTTATTTTGTTATGTTTATGTTATTTCTTCTTGGTCAATTTGTAAATTGTTTGCATTTATCGAAACCAGCCGAAATAAGATTTTTTAATATAAACGTACGTTCACGCGAAGGGTAAAAACTCTGGTGGCCGATTTGTGTTGGGAAATGCGTTGCATTGTTGAGAAATGACAAATGTATGTCGTGGGATCCTGCGTTTGGTACGCAATGCGATGAGCCAGTTATCGTAATCCACCAGGCGATTTACATATTCTGCTAAATAAAAAAATCGATTTCTACAGATTTTAAATAAAAAATTTCGAAAGAAAATACGAAATTTGAACGAAAAAAATGAAAATACGAAATTTAAAAATTTCACGTAAACCGCTGCGAGGATTACGGTAACTGCTTTATCGCATTGCGTACAAAACGCAGGATCCCACGACATCTGGATGCATTTGTGATTTCTCAACAATACGCGTCTAGTGTTTTGTGACAAAGAGTCTTGCGTGTGTCTGCGTACTCTGCATTTTAGCCTACGCGCAATTATTCTGTTGCACCTAAATTTACAATTCCCACGGATTTTATAAAATTGAATTTCCAGATGGTTTCATCGCCTAGGATATTTCTTAGTAGTCATCAGATTTCGAAGTCGTTATCGAAATTGACCGCGAAAATTTCCTGGTGTTCCTTACGACAAAAAAATGTGGTTTTTCAAAGTCAAAATCTCATTTCATAATTTTCACAAATTTGCAGGTGTTATTGGGAATTGTCGCGTCGGTTCTCGTAGACGTAGTTCACACATGTAGCCATTATTGAATCACATGATGTCTGTTCCGAAGAATCGCTTCATCAATTACCAATATGTTTTTCCTGATTTCTTTGCACGATTATTCACCGTTTTTCAAGAGACGTGCTGAAAAGTGCATTTTCGACAATTAATTTGAAAATAAGAGAATGTGTGCTTCATCAGCCAAAGAATTCATCATCCGTGTACATGAAACGAAAAACTGAAAACGATTTCAGCTGTCATCGCTGTTTATCTCAAATGTGTCAAACATTCATAAAAAGAGCATTCCCTTCATTTTGTGGGGGAATAACTGGTTATTTTGCATATTAGAGGTTATTCCGTTAATTTTCAATTTCAACAATACTAAGTATTCAAGGAAATGATATTCTCATTGAGAAAAATTAAACAGTCCATATGAAATTTTAAAAATAAGCATTCACGTGTGGCGAGACCATTTCGAACTCGCAAATCTACTCAGCAGTCGCCGGACGCCGACAAAACATATTTCGACTTGAATTCCACATCTATTAGTCTCATTTTTTTAAATCCAATGCTATAATTTTCAGTTGCAAATTTCTGGTTCTTTCTTTTGAGACACACAGACCAAGCGGCTTTTACCGATTCGCTTCTGAATTGTCATGACAACGTCAGTATTCGGTTGCAATTCGATTCTGAGAAATCAGAAGTTTTTTTTTTAAATGTTATCGACTATATTGTATTATTGCGGAATCTCGATATTGAATATGGCTAATCAAGATTCTTCTTCTCCGCAAATTCTTTAAATTATGATGATTGTCATTGGCGAAATGTCGAGTGAAAGAATAACATTCAATTTAGGATTGATCGCAAAAAACCTGAACTCAATTTTAGTTTCATTCTCGGCTTCCAATTTTTCTTGATGAGTATATCATTTCCTAGAATACTTAATAAATTAAAAATTAACGTATCCTGAAAATTTCTTTTTTTTTTCAATTGATCACAATAAACTGGACAATGTTTCTTTTTTAATATTCGATAAAAAATTGAGCAATTAAAACGAACGCCTATTAAAGAAAATTATTATAATGGCACTCAAGATTTTCCATTGCAAAAGTTTGCTCTCAGATTATTTTATTTATAATTCATTTAATATCAATAGATTGCTTTTATTTTAAATTATTTTACAGTAGTCAATTTCATTTTTATTTTATTTCTCTTTGTTTTAATGATTTTAAAAAATATATTCAATTAAATTAATTCGATGAAACGAATGATATACATATGTGATTAAACAGCTTGACAACAACTATTTTTTGCAATGCGTTTAAAGAGAGGTCTTGGTGCGCCTTTAACCTATTCTTGTGTTTATCCCGTTAATCTACACATTTACTTTTGCCCTTATGTAAGGCCACTGTCAGTTTATTTTGGCGTTTATTCAATTTTCCGCAGTCGCGCGACGCTGAAAATAAAAAAATAATTTAATTGTGGATAAATTGATTTTGATCATTTGGACATGTGTGGATTCTTTGATCTGTTAAGAATGAATTGATAAATGCGAAATTTAAATCCACTCTCTGTTGAAGTCCTGCTGTACTAATGATCCTATTCGTAAAATGGATTTTTTTTTCAAAAAAAAAAAAAAACAAAAATTACACTAAATTTGCTTTATTTTTACATCCGTGCCTTTAACAAATATGTACTTTTTAAATATATTTTTAAATCACATAAATAGGTCCATAACAAGAAGTTCGTTTTTCACCTACATTGGCTCATAACATATACCAAAAAATTCTGTAACGACTGTAAAAATTCATCACAAAGTACGTGAATTGACTGAAAGAAATTCGACGAAGAAACTCTAATGTATGATATAAAAACTGTTATACTTCCGATTTTTTTCTAGATATTGGTAATTTTTATGAAATTATACATAGTTTAAACATTTGATATTAACTACTTAGAAAATAAGATGAGCAAATAGTTGTACTGAGGAAAAACAAGTAAAATTATAAATATATTTGAATTACGTCGGCAGGAAATTAGAGATGAAAACATGTTCGACGCGTGCTAAGAAAAATCAAATTTGAATATTTATTTCTCCCAATAAAAATTTTGCAAAGAAGTTTTTTAAGCCTAAGAAGATTTATTAATTAGAATAACGAAAAACGGTCGTTGTAATATCAAATCACCTGCTTCTACATTTCGTCATAAGCACATTTTATCGATATTTTATGTGGACCACCTTACATTCAAACCAAGTATATTTTGATTTTATCCCTTTCATAAAAATGGGTGGGAAATTTGAAATAATTATAATTGAAATAAAATGTTGTGAAATGAGTCACTGCATACTCAGCGATAATCATTCGATGTCACGCACAACATATAATCAATTCGACAGCTTCTCACCCTTCTTACTGTAATTCCTAGGCGACACTAATCCGTTGTGTTTTACCTTAATTAATTTTTACTTAAATTGATCAATATATTTGCCTTTTTCTTACTGTACTTTTCCGGCTCATTGAAATTTTATCTTCGCGCACTGATTTATGCATGCCCACGCAGAACACATTCTGTGCTCTGTCAAGGTAGACACGTTTTTCGAAGAATTTTGCGCAAAAGTTTCAATTAAAGGGAGATGAAAGCAGAAAAGCGTATATTTATGTTATGTAGCTGTGCTCGCTCTAATTACCATCATCACCAATTCTATTTATTCAGTTTATTATTTCTAAGTCCTTAGAGTATAATGATTGCTATTGACGGCGTCAAAGTACTGAAGTGAAGCGGCGTCTAGCCACTACTCACGTAATCAGTGTAGGAAAAATTTATACATTGACGGTGGAATTAGAAATTCAAGAATTCTGAAAAAAAGCATTAACTGTAATGCGTGTTTTTAATTTGAATGAACTCTTTTTAATTTGAATGAAAAAATATAGACATTGAATTATTGAAGATGAGCTGCTCAAGTGTGGAATCTAAAAAATGTTATCATCGCTATCTAAATGCAACAATAATAATTATCAAAACTATAATATTTCATAGTAATTATTATTATCCCAGTTACATTATAATTTTTAACCTATTCCAGAAAATGCAAAAAAAATCATTTCTAATTTTATTTCATTATAAACACATTTTTGGTATACATAGTAATGCAGAATAAAATGTACATGTCACTAGAGATTCGGTTATTCCAATAATTCTATATTGTTTTTTATGTTGCATTAGTAATTCATAGTTCAACCGATACAAACTAATAGTTTGCCTGCTAACAAAAGTCAATTATATAGTAAAAAGGCTCATAACTAACTAACAACATTCATGTGAATGTAGCTAGTGATCACAAGCTCAATTTGAGAGGAGCAATTCATTAGGAAACCTAAACAAACTATTGCTCCTCGTATAAATCAGTTAGAGCAAAAAGACAACTAAAAACATGGGCTGATTAATTATTAGGTTGTTTCCCTCAGTATTTCTTTACATTTTTTTCAGCTAGATACACCCACCGTTTTCTAACTTATTCACATGATATTTCCCTTATTTCCAACACTGAACTCGATCGAGTTCATGCTTCTTTTGAGTGCATTTCCATGTGATGTCGATGTGTCATCTATCACTTATTCGTTTTAAATTATTTCCAGCCCAACGATTTTACCTATGTTACTAAAGTTCTTTGCACATAGCGAAATTAATTATGATTTTCCGAGTAAATAAAGTGATATCATACCGGTCGAAATCAACAGTAAAATTCTTAAATTATTCGCTTTGCACGCACAAGGTTTTTTTTTTTTTGCAAAAAGTAGATTTTCCGGTTATTTCGTTATGATCTTTTTATTTTTTCGATTTTGAACTGCATTTTTCTAATAATTCGCATTGAATTTACAGAAATATGACTTCAGCCGAATGCGCTTTTTACAAACCCGTCATCAGAGCGCGATCTTGTCTCAGTCATCCTCATCAATGCATTATTATGCTAAGTTCAACATAAAATAAGAATTAAGTTTCTATGTGAAGCAAATGTCACGTTGTACTTTAGTTTATTCACGAGTCGGACGGCTTCCGTAAGACAATAGAGTGCGAATAATATGATATAAAACAAAAGATATCGAGTTTATCATGTTGTTTTGTTTGTTGTGTTGCCATTTCTGCAACACATTCTCATTTCCCATAGCTTGCCACCAAAACGTTTCATTCATTTCCTCCGATTTTCATAGCCTCGTTGTTCACACAATTTTCGCGATCATTCCGTGTGAAAAATATATCACCATACAAAGTGCTATGTGACGACAACGAAGGCTCAACTCCTCGAAATTCCAAAAACCAATAATTGCAGTTGATGAGGTAAACGCGCGGTGTGAGCAGATGAAATTGCGCCGCCAACATTCCGGCGGCAATTTCGTCGAATTCGGTGGGTTCTCCACCCCGGTATATTGGATCGAGTGAGAACCTCAAACGAAAATTGGATTTGTTATACTTAATTCTTTTCTAATTTGATTCCAAAGAACCAAACAGCTATTTTGTTGGCTATTCTAACCAACCTTGCGTCACACCCATAAAAAACCTTAATCCTATTGCAACAATATGTAAGCAACTGCTATAACACTGACTGATTGTATTGTGCGCAATTTTAGGATTGCTCGATGTATTGTATCATCAACTGATTCCGATTTTTTTCAATGCTATGTGTTCGTTCATTGAAGGACAAATAATTTACATATTGAAGGAAATTTGAGAATGTGTAAAAAAAAAATTGAAAAAAAAACCCTATCCTATTCCACTGCTTTTTTGTGTTTCGTTGTGCTGTTTTTGGCACCACGCACATACAAACGAAAACGCAAAAATCAATTGGATTTTATAGGTTTCAATTATTCGACGCCCCCGATTCCTGAATCCTCCAATTTTGACGTCAATATTTGCCCATCGTCTGTGCTAATCTCGACGCTTAAATTTTTGCTCTTCGTCATCAAAGCTTAGAACTATTGTTCTATATAACCAAATAATTAGAAGCTCGAATTCAGCGAAAACCGAAATTTGTGTGAATTCTTCTTCACGATTTCTGATAACTATTTCATTTTTGTTCTTAAATTATTCTACATCTGTTCAATTCTCTCAGACAAGTCTCATGACGAACCCGGCCTTTTTCCCGTTTTTATCCCAATTATTTTGAAGTCCATTTTAGCGAGTTTCTAGTTTAGTTTCGACTTTTATTGAATATTGAATTATTTACGAACAATATCATGTGTGCTTGATATAAAAATGTTTGAAAATAGAACATTCAGGCAAATCTGCCTAATATGTAATTTCTTTTCTTTTGATAACTCGACCAGATTTTGTTTATGAATTCTTAAAAGCCACCTAATCAACTAACGTTGGCATAACAACGAGAATTTCGCAAATTTTATTATTTCTTTTTTCTTAAATCAACAATATTCAGTTCTGAACTCGAATATCGATTGACTGCTGTGTTGTCTCTTCTTGTTCCAGCCCGCCAAGCTGACAACAAATTTCGGATACAATTCGCGGCTCCTCCTCATTGTTTTGCTCATTGCTTCAGCCTCTTAACGTTTTCTCTTTTCAGCTTGTTTTCCCTCTTCTTTCTGATTATCAAGTCATTGGCCATCGAATTCGGCAAAGTCTCTTCAAAATGGGAATGTGCCAATCGACCGAAGACAAGGAGATGGCGATGAAGTCAAAAGCCATTGATAAGGAGATGATCCAGGGACATCTCGCTCAACAGAAGGTCGTCAAACTTCTACTTCTAGGTATATTGTTTTTCTTAGTTCTTCTTTTTGCTACCAGCAATTCCCGAAATAAATAAAAAAATTGGCAAACCTTCTTTAAATATAGAGAGAGAGAATATTAAAAATTTTGCGTTGGCGTCCATAATTGTCCAAAAAGACCAAACATTGAGAATTGCATTTACTTCCAATGAGAATTTCTTAAATTATAGGGTTCGAAAATCTCAAGAAAGTCGTTTTGTTTTGAGCTCTTCTATCATGTGTGAATCATTAAAAATAGTACTCCGGAAATTTGGAGACTTCTGAATTGTCCAGATATTACGATAATACCTCTCAAATAATAATCGACTCAATGTGCCCACCCTCTCTTAATACCTTTTTTTAGTTTCATTAAAAAGTATATTCTTAAAAAAGTGCATACATACCCCTAGTGTCAAAATTAAAATCCTTAAGCATGTAATTTACCTAAATAAAAATTTGATTTGCGAATTTTAAACCATCGAATTTAATTTTGGAAAATCACTATCAAATCCACCGCAATTAATCGTGTCAAATGTTTGAATTTATTCACGTCATTTTTCATTCTTTGAGACATCGATTAAAATTGAGAAAAAAAATCATTCAGGTGCCGGAGAATGCGGAAAATCGACGGTACTCAAACAAATGCGAATACTTCACGATCACGGATTTTCGAACGACGAAGCTGAAGCGCAGAAGAGTGTCGTTTATAACAACACGATTCAGGGAATGGCTGTGATACTTCGAGCGATGAGCAATTTGGGAATCCCGTTTCAGAATCCAGAGCGAGAGGTTCGCTATCATATTCATATATTACGTAGAAGAATATCGAACAATTTATTGTGAAACAAGTACAAAAAACAATACAATTTTTCGATAGAAAATGATTTTTCTAATATTTAATACAACTCTTGAATTTGCAGAGCGACGCACGAGTCGTGCTAGACGTTGTGAAAGCTGGAAAAGAGTCCGAGCCGTTTTCGCCAGAACTTGCTCATGCTCTAAAGGTGTTGTGGGAAGACAAAGGAGTTAGCACCGATGCAGTTTTGCGAGGAAATGAGTTTCAGTTGCCGGAGAGTGCTCCACAGTATGTTGCAATCCTTCCTAATAAATATTTCATAAAAATTGACACCATCTTTTTAGCTTTTTATCCTCAGTTGAGCGGATAGCTGCAAGCGATTACAAGCCAACAGAGCAGGATATTCTGCTGTCAAGAATCAGAACCACTGGAATCGTCGAAGTCAAATTTCAAATGAAAAATGTCGATTTTCGAGTGTTCGATGTCGGAGGCCAACGATCAGAAAGAAAGAAGGTAATTCGACTCAAATCAGTCGATGAAAACACATTTTGTATTGTAGTGGATTCATTGCTTCGAAGATGTGAATGCTATAATATTCATCGCCGCGGTCTCGGAATACGATCAAGTTCTTTTCGAAGATGAGACGACGGTATAGATAAATGTAGAAAATAGGAAATAATAGGAATAAATTCAGAATCGAATGGTCGAATCAATGAGATTATTCGAATCGATTTGCAATTCCCGCTGGTTCATCAATACTTCGATGATTCTCTTCTTGAACAAGAAAGATTTGTTCAAAGAGAAAATTCTAAGAACATCGATCAATGTTGCATTTCCGGAGTATAAAGGTAAATAAATTGAAACCAAAAGTTAGTTATTCGACATTTTTCAGGCGAACAAAACTATGATGAATGCATGAAATACATTGAGGAGAAATTCGATGGTCTCAACGCGAATCCTGAGAAGACAATCTATATGCATCAGACATGTGCGACTGACACGAATCAAGTTCAAATGATCCTTGATTCGGTCATCGACATGATTATTCAAGCAAATTTGCAAGGATGCGGTCTTTATTAATTCTTGCGCGATGCAAACCTCATAATTCATGTTTTTGTTTAATTTCTTGAGGACTTTATTGTCTTGATTCGGGTTCCATCAATTTCCAATTTAAATATATATATGTATATGTATTCTATACGCATAGTTAATAAGAAGATCTCGCCATTTCGATATCACCCTCGTATTATACTCAAATGCGGTTTTTTTCGTGTTAATGATTACAACTTCTCTCATCGCTTTTGAAGACATCCAATTGAATATTTCCAACATCGAACCATTTTGTGGCTTTTCCGTGATGAATGAATGATTTTGGAACAGTGATCGTGATTTTCTTCTGGCATGGCTGAACAACAAATTGATGAATTGATTTGAAATACAAATTTCTAACCTTGATTCCGTCAAGACAATCGTGATAAATATACAGAACCTAAAATTTCAAATTTTTATCAAGAAATTTGAAAATTCTAAATAAATATTTTTGACAATTTACTGCAAAAAAGCCTCAAAAAATTGATAATCGAGCTTGCTAACATACTGGATCAATGCTTGTCAATTCTCGTGTTGTTCCATCTAACATGAATTCTCCATCCCTATCCGTGTATTTCTCATCTAGAAGATCATCGGCATCTCCGGGATCTTCAAAGCAACAACGGAATATGTCAGATAGAACTTTTTCGAATACTTGTATCGATATCGTAGATTTTGACCTTCGCATTTCGATACGCTTTCTTCTCACAAGTCAGTTTTCCTCTGACGGCAACACCTTGCAATCGGAAAGTGCAAACAAATGAGCAAAAGATGGATAAATGGATAAGCATTCGGAATTGCATTCTTCAAATTTAGATCATAATATTCCAATAGGGTATTTTCCAATATAATATATGTAGTTATCAGGTTGTTACCATTTAATAGATAAAGTTGATTGAAATTTCGGTTATTTAAGTACATTTATTATGAATAGAAAAAATAATTCAAAATTTGCAGATATTTTTCGTTTGTTCACCAAGGATCGTTTCGATCATCGGGTTCTTCGAAGTTAGTAATATTAAATCGCGATCTTAAATTAAACAATTAAATGAGTGATTAGAAAAATCTCGAACCGCTTTTTCCTCTTATCCACATATTGAAGTCGTTCCTCGTTATACTTTAGAATTGTTTCCAGATTGAATTCTCCGAGATCGAATATTTTCTGATCATCATCGGCAGTTGTAATATAATGTTGCGGAACTTGGAATTTCAACTTCCTTTGACCAGCCTTGAACAAGAAATTAATTGATTGAAAATGTGTGGATTCCGTGCGAATACCTTGAATCCGTCATCACAATCATGGAAAATACCAACAATTGGATGAAATTTTGGTTGATCGACGATTGAACTCACAATAAAATAACCGTCTTTATCAACATATGTATCGTTCAATGGGTTATCTTAAAATACTACATATTTGAATAATTCAGACATTACTAGTTTTCTAACTTTCATTTTCCTTCCACAACCGAATACGGACAGTGGCCGCCGGAAATTGGGCGCATCGCAATTTTCCTAAAAAAAAAAACAATACTCTAAAATATTCCTTTTTTGAGTTCGTACCTTTCACCCCAATTTTGAAACGAGTCGAAGCGACAACAACAAAAATATTGCACAATAATGTTATTAGAATTAGTGCGTTCATGGTGATATGAATGACAGCTTGTCTCATTCTTATCAACCGTCCGACTGTTTATGTGTATCAAAAAATAATCGATCAATACAAGAAAGATAACGAATATTCAAAGTATTCATAAGAAAACAAAAGGATTTATTGATGCAAAATAATATAAAATTTACGCAAGTTCTTTCAAAACTTCTTCCATACTGCCAGTATTCATCGTAAGAATAAGGCTAGAGCCGCCATCGGCTGTTAGTGTTTGACCAATCATGTATCCAGACGAACTGCGATCTGCTAGGAAGGCAACAATCGTTGCAATATCATTTGGCATTCCAGCAGCACCGGTCGGAATATAATCCGTCTTTCCGTTGTAGTATTCGAACATCTGAATAATAGAGCATGAATCGTCTTCATATAACAGGATACTTACTTTTGCTGCCAATTCTTTTGGCAATCCCATGGCCTCTCCGATACCAGTAAAAACGGCCCCAGGATTGACCGAATTGACTCGAACTCCGTGAGCAATCAATTCGACGGCAGCGCATCTTGTGAATTGGTCAAGAGCTGATTTCGACATGGCATAGTAGGCCTGGTCTTTGAAAGCGTGCGGTCCAGCCGCAATGCTTGAAATATTCACAACTTCTCCTTTTGAGGCAATCAAATGTGGACGACACTTTTGCGTCAATTCGATTACACTAAATAAGGATTTCGATGATTTCAAGATACCAAACTCGAATATTTAAATTAAATGAGAAAACCGTTTGAATTGCCGCCAAAATAGCCGTGCGGACATCCGATTTTTTGTTTTTTTGGGCAAACAAATTATCTGACGACCGCCACCTGTTTTGACAGCGGCCGCGAATTATTCGGCCATGACACATTGCACGTCCGCCATTATTTCGCAAAATTTTAAATGAATTTTAACAGTAGCTCCCGAAAATCTGAGAACACGGTTTCGCAAATGTCACAGAAATATCTCAAAAAAACATTTATCTCGTTGAAATTTTTTTCAGTTGGTTTTTGCAAAGGCGGAATGTTTGTGAAATAAACAGTTTCAAAGTCACATCAAGAATTTTGTTTAAGCAATGATCAGCGATTACCTGTGGAGATTGAGGTCCATAGTCCTGCGGCAAGTATCAACAGATGCTTCCAAATTCATTTTGCCATTCTCATCCGAAAGAGCACAACCTGCATTGTTGACCTGATGAAGAGACTTGGTTGAAAGCAATGAGACTATTTAAAACTTACAAGAATATCGATTTTTCCAAATTTGTCGACGGTGGTTTTGACAATTTCGTCAAGTGTTGCAGAATTCGTAACGTCGCCTTGAACAATGTTGATGTGACTCTCAGGAACCCCAGCAGTTGTGATCAAGTCCGCTGTTTCCTGAATTGAAGGAAATAAGTTGAACTGATATCGAATTCTCTTACTTTCAATCGATCGGCATTTCTGCCCGTTATTGTGACTTTTGCTCCTTTATTGGCGAAAAGAACAGCGCAAGCGCGGCCGATTCCATTCGACGATCCGGTGACAATTGCGACTTTTCCTTCAAATGTTTTCGACATTTTTAGACCGGGGAAGTACGAATTGCTGTTTTTGCCTGAAAGGAAGAGTAAACTAGATTAAGTATAAATCATACGGTAATAAAATTTGGCTCATCAATCGACACATACACAAAACTAGTCACAAAAGATTATTGGCTATGATTTAAAACTTGTGTTTGATGTGCTTCAATATTGTGATCATCATCATAGTTCAACAATTTAAATACGGATTCCGGGCAATTTTTGTTTGTAGATCACACAATGGATACAATTTTTTGTGTATTGGACACAATCTTCTTCTATCTTCTCTCTCCGGCTATTTTTATATACTATTTGAACACCGGTCCACGACTCACCTCAAACAAAATTTTGTGAGTAGTCATTCAGATTTGGGTTTTGACTTGGGCTCATGATCAGTGTGTGTGAGAATTTCCCAAGAATTTCCAAAGCAATCAATAGCCAAAATTCTCGAGACTCCCTAGCTTCGTTACATATTAGGGACATGCGCCTTCGCAATGGTTTCGCACGGACTGACTGGTTGTTTTGCATTTTAGAGGTTATTGCGTTAACTTTTTTTCAGTAATATTAAGTATTCAAGGAAATGGTATTCTCATTAAAAGTAATTAAACAGTTCACAACAAAATAAACGTTCACACGTGACGAGACCATTTCAAAAGGCACACGCCGTAAATCTACCGAAGCACATCAGTCGCCGACTATATGTTCATGTTTCATCTTTCCACTCTTTGCACTCTCTTCCCATATTGTCGAAATAATTTTTTCGGTAATTCATCAAATTTGAAAAATCTGCAGTTTCGGAAATTTTCCGGTTACAAATTGTACCGTTTTTAAGTCGAAATATGGCTCTTTTTATTGATAATGGCCTCAGTGACTTGAATAAAACATTAAAAAAAACATTTCTTAAGAACATTCGACAATTGGGCAATTCGAAAAAAAAAATCAGCACTTTCAGCAATCAGCAATCCCCACAGATCCGGTATTTAATTCACAGTCCGGAAATGGAGTAATTCGTCCGTTAACTCTACTCGACTTGATTTCATACTATTTGTTGTTTTTTTTCTCTAAAAAACGCGAGACTCCGAAGACTTTTTCGGGAGTCTGGAAGAGTTTCTCGGGTAACGATTCTATCGTTATCTCTCAATTTTACAGTTCTTCTGAAATTTTTTTTTCAACACGCGTGCATAAGATGTTTAAATGAAAACAATGTTTTTTTTTAATAAAAGATTTTTCATTATGTGAACAAGCGCATAACAATGAGACAATCGGAATAGAGCTTCTAGCGAAGGTGACGTCAATTTACCCGCGTCACACTAATTTTTACCGAATTCACGAAACGCTGATAATGGACCATTTCAGACATTCCACATCTATATGTATATGGAAAACCTGAAAAACCAGTTGGTTGCTGTATTCAAAACATAACTCATATCAACACAAAATAAACAACAACAATGACATGTATTGAAATAAATAACAAAAAGGCATTACCAAAGGAATTTGGCGAAAAGTATCAAATATGTATTAATACTTTTGGTTCAAGCCAAATTCGGTGATGCAAATATGATATATCCAAACAAAAATAAAATAAATATTGTTCAGCGTACGGTATATCTGTGCAATTAGTCGTAGAGTGTTTACGGACTACGTGTTTTCCCCGAACATTTTTTTTTATTTTCGGCCTATTTTTCTTTTTAAAATTCTATTTTGCAGTTTTTAACCGCACGAAAACGTAAATTTAATAAGTGATAATTTTTATATAAAAATCTCGCTGTTTTCCAACAAATGTTGGAACAAGAATATTCTTCGTAGTTTTAACCTATTTTTATAATTCGCGGGAAATTACGAACTCAAAAAAGGAATATTTTAGAGTGTTGGTTTTTTTTTTAGGAAAATTGCGATGTGCCCAATTTCCGGCGGCCACTGTCCGTATTCGGTTGTGGAAGGAAAATGAAAGTTAGAAAACTAGTAATGTCTAAATTATTCAAATGAGTTATTTTTTTTTGAGCGATTTCGAAGAATTTACTGAACAAGTATTAGATTGCTTTACAATATTCTACGTTTATAGTACTAGTTTTCTAACTTTGATTTTTCTTCCACAACCGAAGACGACCGTGGCCGCTGCAATCATACAAATTAAGAAATTGCGATTAAAAGGTTTTATTTTTGTAAAATAATATAAAATTTACGCAAGTTCTTTCAAAACTTCTTCCATACTGCCGGTATTCAGCGAAAGAATAAGGCTAGAGCCGCCATCGGCTGTTAGTGTTTGACCAATCATGTATCCAGACGAACTGCGATCTGCTAGGAAGGCAACAATCGTTGCAATATCATTTGGCATTCCAGCAGCACCGGTCGGAATATAATCCGTCTTTCCGTTGTAGTATTCGAACATCTGAATAATAGAGCATGAATCGTCTTCATATAACAGGATTCTTACTTTTGTTGCCAATTCTTTTGGCAATCCCATGGCCTCTCCGATACCAGTAAAAACGGCCCCAGGATTGACCGAATTGACTCGAACTCCATGAGCAATCAATTCGACGGCAGCGCATCTTGTGAATTGGTCAAGAGCTGATTTCGACATGGCATAGTAGGCCTGGTCTTTGAAAGCGTGCGGTCCAGCCGCAATGCTTGAAATATTCACAACTTCTCCTTTTGAGGCAATCAAATGTGGACGACACTTTTGTGTCAATTCGATTACACTAAATAAGAAATTCGATGATTAAAATTGTCAGCGATTACCTGTGGAGATTGAGGTCCATAGTCCTGCGGCAAGTATCAACAGATGCTTCCAAATTCATTTTGCCATTCTCATCCGAAAGAACACAGCCAGCATTGTTGACCTGATGAAGAGACTTGGTTGAAAGCAATGAGCCTATTTAAAACTTACAAGAATATCGATTTTTCCAAATTTGTCGACGGTGGTTTTGACAATTTCGTCAAGTGTTGCAGAATTCGTAACGTCGCCTTGAACAATGTTGATGTGACTCTCAGGAACCCCAGCAGTTGTGATCAAGTCCGCTGTTTCCTGAATTGAAGAAAATAAGTAGAACTGATATCGAATTCTCTTACCTTCAATCTATCGGCATTTCTGCCCGTAATTGTGACTTTTGCTCCTTTTTTGGCGAAAAGAACAGCGCAAGCGCGGCCGATTCCATTCGACGATCCAGTTACAATTGCGACTTTTCCTTCAAATGTTTTCGACATTTTTAGACTATTCAAAAGTCCAAAAATGCTTCTGAGTATTTATATGAATGAAAGGACACAAAAACTAAAGCATAAACCATAACGTGATAAAACTTTGGCTTATCAGTCGACAAACATAAAACTAAACGGAAAAGATTATTGGCTATAATATGACACTTGTGCTTTGTCACATGCTAAATTATGTGCTAAAAAAATTTAAGTATGACTAAGAATAAGCAAGTTTGAATTTTTAAAACTTGAATCATATGTACATATGTATACATAAAATTGAATAGGAAAATTAAATAGCAAAACGCTAAGCTAATTTATCAAATATTGGAAGAATGCCGGTCTATTTTTTAAAGCAAATGTCATTTGCCATACTCAGAAGCGTTCTGCCGAGTATTACAAGAGAGATATACAGGGTGGCTGAAAATTACCCGGACTAAAATTTCGAGCCTTCGTGAGGCGCACTGGCGCTTTTTCAGCGCAATGTTTTTTTATTTTTTTAATTAGCAACGTTTTTTTTACTATCTCTCAAATTTTCATGATAATTGGTTCGGTTTTAGCAAAATGGCGAAGCAAAATGCAAATCGACCCGCAATTATCGCATTGCACAAGTCCGGAATAGGCACGTATGCAATTTGGAAGCATCTGGGAATTCCGAAAAGCACCGTCTACGATGCGATTTTTTGTTTCAAGGATCTTCGCACAACCCAGGACCGTGCAGGCAGAGGAAGAAAAACTACGGTGACGACTTCTTCGAACGTTAAGATCGTCCGAGACAGAATCAGACGAAGTGCTCATCAGAGCATAAAAAAATGGCTTCCGCCCTGAATATGTCACGAGCTTCAATGACAACCATTATCAAAAAGAAGATTAAGTTGACTTCTTATTGTGTCAGAAAAGCGGACATCCTTTCTCAAATCAACAAGCTCAAACGGCACCAAAAGGCAGAACTCCTTTTGGCGCGCGCGCGGGTTGGGGAACATCTGTCGATGGTCTTTTCGGACGGGAAGCTGTTCATCGTGGAGGCCGAATTCAATTCGCAGAACCATCGAGTGCTTGCCCGAACATCCGAGGAAGCTTCAGAACTCGGCCGGACGATTCATCGTTCGTCGCACCCCGTCAGCGTCATGATCTTCGGTGCCATCTGCTCCAATGGGAAATGTCCTCTGATTTTCGTGAAAAATGGTGTCAAAATCGACAAGGACTACTATGTCAATGAGATCCTGAAGAAGAACTTGCTTCGTTGGACCCAAAAACACTTTGCTGGACAACGATGGGTGTTCCAGAAGGACGGGACGCCAGCTCATACTGCAAAGTTTACGCAGGAGTGGTGCGCCAACAATTTCCCTTCCTTCATCAAGTCAACAGAATGGACCGCCTCGTCTCCTGACCTTAATCTGTTGGACTATTCCGAATGGGGGTCATACAGAGTAAGGTCTGTGCTAGGCCCCACCCGAATTTGGACTCTCTAAAGAAAGCGCTGGTCGAGGAATGGGACAAATTGTCGGTGGAATACCTGCGCGCCACGGTCGACGCATATCCGAAGCGTCTTCGCGCCGTCATCAGAAACCGCGGAGATCGAATCGGACACCGATAATCTATTTATGTTTGTTATTGTAAAAATAAACTAAATATGAAATTTGAGTGTGTTTGAACAATTATTCACTGAAATACATTTGTTTTCATACAGTGCGTTTCACATTTATAAAGCCACCCCTGTTTTTGGGTGTAACTTTGTCAATTGTAAACATTTTTAAATTCTGTTTTCAAAATTGAATTCAGGACTAAAAAATACGTATAACTACCAATTTTCATTATGATATCTGAAAAATTGGCCGAGTGGCATTGAAAGCACTGACAATTTGTCACTTGCAACCGTTTCACATTTATAAAGCCACCCCCGTGAAAGGTCTGAAAATGTGGAGAACTGAAGAAGAATGAGCAGTGTAGTTATAAATAGAGTACTGTAAGATATTTTTCTTTTTTTCCGCGTATTTTAACCAACATTTGGACATGTCCCGGGGATTTTTGCTCACCGATGCCGAAAAGGCTACCATCGATTCCTTAAAATTCGCTGGATGGTCGAACCGAAGGATTTCTTCGCACCTGAAGCGGTCGAAAACTTTATTAATTTTGGCAACAAGATCGACAAAAACCAGCGCCCAAAAAATCCCGGAACGAAGGCGAAACTGAATTCCCGAGACCGAAGATCGATCATCCGAGTAGCATCCAACACGATGAAGTCATGCAACGACATCAAAAACGAGCGGAATATTGATGTTAGTAAAACGACGACATGGAGAACACTTAATGATGATCAGAACATCATCCGGGCAGTTACGCGTCCAGCTCCGAGCCTCCAGGACCAGCACAAGTTGCGTTGTCTCGAATTGCTCGAGACAACATGGCTATTGATTGGACAAAGGTAACTTTTTAACCAAATTTTTCTTAAAAAACAATACGATTATCATTAGATCATTTTCTCGGATGAGAAAAAGTTCAACCTAGATGATCCCGATGGAAATAAGTGTTATTGGCACGATTTACGGAAGGAAAACCCAATTTTTTCAAAGCGGGACATTGGTGGCGAGAATCTCATGGTCTGGAGAGCATTCTCTTCTTCGGAATTTCTCAAGCTGACGGTTGTCAACTTTCGGATAAACTCGCTTGACTATCAGCAAGCGTTAGAATACCATCTATTACCATTTCGATGACGATTTCGGCTAAGAAAGTTCGTATTCCAACAGGCAATGCCTCAACTCATGCGAGTCGATCGACTTTGGATTGACTCAGCAAAGAAATATCGACGTTTTGAGGTGGCCAGCGTGCTCACCAAACTTAAATTCGATGAAGAATGGTTAGGGAGAGCTGGTTAACAGCTTTTATCGTCATGGCAAGCAATATCGACCCATTGATAAATTGAAAACGGCGATTACCGACGAGTGGGATCTATTGGACCAGAAACTCAACACCAAGACCACCCAAAATATGGAAAACCTGGTAAAAAATAAATAATAATCTGGTTTTATAAAAAAAAAATAATAATAATCTGGTTTTTACTGCGTTCACGGGGGTGGCTTTATAAATGTGAAACTGTTGCAAGTGACCAATTTTCAGTGTTTTCAATGCCACTCGGCCAATTTTTCAGATATCATAATGAAAATTGGTACACAGGTGTTTTTTAGCCAAGAATTCAATTTTGAAAACAGAATTTAAAAATGTTTACAATTGACAAAGTTACACCCAAAAACAAGGGTGGCTTTATAAATGTGAAACGCACTGTATAGTCCGGGTAATTTTCAGCCACCCTGTATGTACCTAATTGTCCATAATCAAATATCTAGCCGGACTCATTGCTCATATCTGCTAATTCAACCGGATATTCAATTCAAACCCTCGATTTGATTGAAAAAAAATAACAACAACCGCGACAAATTCTTGTAATATTTCAATTAAATTTTAAAACGTTAATTTTTTCATAAACAACAAAGTAATTAAAAATATTTGAAATGCAAACCCAAAACAACTAGAAACTTTTAGAAATCTCAGTTTTCTTCTTTTTGTAATATGATGATCAAACATCGTTAACGGATAGATCCAAATAGCATTTTTTGATCGAATTTGTGTCATTTTCAAAATCGAATAAACAGAAATAGGAAAATTTCTGATAAAAAAGATCAGAGATATATCAATAAAATCGTGTAAATATTGAAAATTGAACGTGACTAACTCTTATTTTTAAATTCAAAATCTCACGATATTCTAATTCTTCGGATATATGGAAGCGGATAAGAAATCGTATATAATTTTTAAATTAATTGTTTCTAAATATTTGAATTTCAGTAAATCTGAAGGACCTCGTAGTCGAATTGATAAAACACGTAACAATTGGTTTCTGTTGAAATATTTTTTAGCAATTCGGGTTTTGTAGAAAAACGTGCAAACGCTTCGCAGAAAAATGGAAAAAGGAGCAAGTCGATGAAAATTGAGACACCGACGAAAGACGCGTTGAAAGTTATTCGACTGTTGGGAAATCGAAGTGTCTATCATGTGAACATCGACGAATTCATCAAAGTGTCGCTCTTGGTGAAACAGGTGCACACAATTCAAAGACCAGATTCATTCGAATGGTTTAGCAACAAAATGCGGGAAATCTAATGACGTCAGTCGATTTGCATCGATTCAGTGACCAATCGATTTTGGCATTTGTGAACTATATTCAATCCAAAGAGATCAAGGTAATCAATTATTTGTAACTAATTTATTATTATTTCTTCTCTTTTTTATCGACAGAACTCCTTGACATATTATGCTATCGCTGAATTGATTACCCTAGCCAATACATTTCACATGACAGACTTCAAAAAAGATTTGGAAGAAGTTTGAAACTGTTTGATATATTCCACGATGAATTTTCTTCAAGAATCTGATGCCAGCTGCTAGAATTTCACCGGCCGATCTTCTTCAAACTCTCATCATTTGCGATGTGTCATCGGTGTCGATTGAAACCGAGAAGGCGCTGCAACAGATTGGAGTCGAGCAAATCGAGAAGCTCGCCGAATTGCCTGACTTCCACAAATTACCGTATGGCCAACTATATCAAATACTAACGAATTGTGAGATATCCGTTCCGCATGAGATGTTCATCGCTGATGTCGCACTTTTGTGGCTGAATAGTCAAACCCATATCAGTCAATTCGTTCCGGGACTCTTTTCATGTGTAGGAAACAATCAAGAATGAAAGAATACATTATAATTATTTAGATTCGAGCAAAATATTTGACTCCGATTGACAAAACATTAATTGTTGAACGGATTAATATGCTTTGCATGTCCAGCAAGGTCTAACGATGCGTATAATTACAAAACAACTTATGAGGAGAATTTCAGATTGTTCGATTTGTTCGAAATTACCTCGAATCTCCTGGAGGTCAGCGTGTTTGTATGGAACCGAATCATTTGAAAAAGAATTTGCCAAGGTGAGTCGGTCAAACACCATTGATTAGACGAGTATTTCAGATGCGGTCCGATGACGACAATGATCAGCGCAAGCACGTACAGCTCACTTCCATTGAGCAAACCAAACTTTTCCATAAAAATCAAGAAACCATTGAAGAGTGAGAAAAACAAGGAGCAATCGAAGAAATCGAAAAAGAAGAAGGTGGTTAATCAGACATCGAATGCACATGTGATGGACCTAATCGAAATGGAATCGGCGGCGTTGAAGTCGGCAAAACCGAGGAGAAAGAAAAAAGTGAAGAAAACGAGAAGATGTGCGTGCATTGAATTTATCAAGAATTCGTGTGCATCGTAAGGGAATACAGTGCGTTTCACATTTATAAAGCCACCCCTGTTTTTGGGTGTAACTTTGTCAATTGTAAACATTTTTAAATTCTGTTTTCAAAATTGAATTCAGGACTAAAAAATACGTATATCTACCAATTTTCATTATGATATCTGAAAAATTGGCTGAGTGGCATTAAAAACACTGAAAATTGGTCACTTGCAACCGTTTCACATTTATAAAGCCACCCCCGTGAACGCAGTAAAAACTCTATTATAAAGCCAGATTATTATTTAGGTGCGGTTTCTTTCAAAGAAATAAGGTCGTAAATACGATTTGGCATCGATTGGACCAGGTTTTCCATATTTTGGGTGGTCTTGGTGTTGAGTTTCTGGTCCAATAGATCCCACTCGTCGGTAATCGCCGTTTTCAATTTATCAATGGGTCGATATTGCTTGCCATGACGATAAAAGCTGTTAACCAGCTCTCCCTAACCATTCTTCATCGAATTTAAGTTTGGTGAGCACGCTGGCCACCTCAAAACGTCGATATTTGCTTTGCTGAGCCAATCCAAAATTGATCAACTCGCATGAGTTGAGGCATTGCCTGTTGGAATACGAACTTTCTTAGGTGAAATCGTCATCGAAATGGTAACAGATAGTCCGTTAACACTCGCTGATAGTCCAGCGAGTTCATTCGACCATTTACAAATGCCAGCTTGAGAAATTCCGAAGAAGAGAATGCTCTCCAGACCATGATATTCTCGCCATCAATGTCCCGCTTTGAAAAAATTGGGTTGTCCTTCCGTAAATCGTGCCAATAACATTTATTTCCATCGGGACCATCTAGGTTGAACTTTTTCTCATCCGAGAAAATGATCTAATGATAATCGTATTGTTTTTTAAGAAAAATTTGGTTAAAAAGTTTCCTTTGTCCAATCAATTGCCATGTTGTCTCGAGCAATTCAAGACGACGCAACTTATGATGGTCCTGGAGGCTCGGAGCTGGACGCGTAACTGCCCGGATGATGTTGGGATCATCATTAAGTGTCCTCCAAGTCGTCGTTTTACTAACATCAAGATTCCGCTCGTTTTTGATGTCGTTGCATGACTTCATCGTGTTGGATGCTACTCGAATGATCGATCTTCGGTCTCGGGAATTCAGTTTCGCCTTCGATCCGGGATTTTTTGGGTGCTGGTTTTTGTCGATCTTGTTGACAAAATTAATAATGCAAGTTTTCGACCGCTTCAGGTGCGAAGAAATCCTTCGGTTAGACCATCCAGCGAATTTTAAGGAATCTATGGTAGCCTTTTCGGCATCGGTGAGCAAAAATCTACGGGACATGTCCAAATGTTGGTTAAAATACGCGGAAAAAAAGAAAAATTTCTTACAGTACTCTATTTATAACTACACTGCTCATTCTTCTTCAGGTCTCCACATTTTCAGACCATTCACTGGGGTGGCTTTATAAATGTGAAACGGTTGCAAGTGACCAATTTTCAGTGTTTTCAATGCCACTCGGCCAATTTTTCAGATATCATAATGAAAATTGGTGGATATACGTATTTTTTAGTCCTGAATTCAATTTTGAAAACAGAATTTAAAAATGTTTACAATTGACAATGTTACACCCAAAAACAGGGGTGGCTTTATAAATGTGAAACGCACTGTATAAAATATTTCGAAATTAAAAATAATAATAATTTAGGAGAAAAGCTACCGATCCAAAAAGTGAGGCTGGATTATTGAAAGTGAAACCAATCGATGCTCCATCAAAATCAATGTTCGTTCTTTTATTAACACTGTTAAATGATTCATTTCAATTTCAGGACCTCAACGCCAAATTCAAAAACAAATTCGATTGCTTCGAAAAGTCGTTCGAAATCATCATCGAAAATGTCAACTAAGAGCAGTGAAAAATCGGCGGAAAAACGGAGAAACGCCAAAAGAGACAAAATTAAATTGGCGATAAAGAAAAGTCGAAGTAATTCATCGAAAAGTGGTATGGAAACCTGTGATCGATGTTTGTAACGAATAATTAATTGTAAAATAGATTTAACAAAAAGTCAGAAAGTCAAAAATAGCAGCAAAAAAATTGAGAAGAAGAAGAAGACAACAAGGGCTTAATTGAAGCAGAATAAACATTTTTTCTGGTTCTTTTTGTCTAAAAAATTTAGACTGGTAATTGGGGGAGGAGGGGGGGGGGGAAGTGGAAGAAATTTCCTATGAATAGAAACCTGTTCATTTTATTTTAAAGACGCAAATGGTGAAAATTGGAATTTCTAAAAAAAATATAGCATATCCCAAATATTGAATCCACATCCTGTATGAGCTATATAGGAATTATTCATTGGATGGTCAATACCTTTTGTATTGCAGTATCAATTTTGATATTTATTTTTACTCACAATCTGATTTTTGCATTATCAATTCTTCACCTGTCTTCGCTTTCTCCTCATATTCACAAAAAAATGAAGAATTTCTGTTTTGAATAAATCTAGAAAATCTTCATTAATTTGTGAACAATGTGATTATATTAATGAGTACTTTTCAGATATTTGTGAGAATCCGTGAAAAATTTTAGATTTATAGAAATATTTGCGAAAAATTGAATATCCAATAATGTCACATTCAGTTAATTTAATATTCAGTGTTTGATTAACATTTGAAGCCGATTTATTTTAGAACAACCAAAAGAGCAGAAATCAAGTTCACCTATTAATAAAAACACATTTCACTTAATTTGCGCGAATTCCGAAAGATCAGTGACTCAGTGATTTCAAAATAGCTCTAAAAAATTAACATACTATAGTCGTCGTCCGGCGACGTACGCGGGTAGATTTACGGGAATGCTTCTTTCTCTTGGTCTCGCTCGGACAAACTCGTTATTTTGCATTTTATGAATCGGTTCGATAATCTTTAAATTGAATGACGGAAATTCAAGGAAATTCTAAACTCATCAAGTCAAAATTATCCGTTCACGTGTAAACTGCAAAATAAGCGTTTACACGTGGCGAGACCATTTCAAGGCGCATGCGCGTAAATCTACCCGCGTAAATCTATATGTATGTTCATGCGGAATCATTTTCTTTACACTCTCTACAGCAATTTGTCTATACGTAGTTTTCCTTTGACAACAATTTGATACACATTCAAACATGAAACAGTTTTTTTCAGTGTTATTAAAATCAACAAATTTCTTGAAATTTCCCTTTTCTGAAATGTTACATTTTCTTGTCAACGATTTTTGTTTAGCACTCACATCAGGGATGAATTCGCCGTGGTATTGGTTCTAATTAGCATCTACCAGTAGGCAAATTCGCCTCCGCAATTTCAACCAAAAACCGTCGGTTGAGAGAATGTTCATTCTCGTCACCGTTTTATATACAATGCGTAGGCGATAAATCGTTTCTAAATTTATTTTTTCGTTTTTTTTTCAAGCCTTCATGCATAAAATTGTCTTTCACGCGTTTATCTCGTCATACTTTTACATTTTTTCCCGATGTGATCACCAATTGATAATACGCAATATTCGAGTTTATTCAACATATGTACGTCACATTTTTGGGAGTTAGTTTTCAGATGGAAGAATATCGAAAACTTAATTATTCGCAATGTGCTCAAAACGAGAATGTGCTCGCTTCGTGGAAATTCGTTTCATATCCGCCGCATGCATTATCTGTTATAATTATCCCATTACAAATATACGGAGGTTTTTTGATAATTACGAAAACTCCTGTCAAAATGAAAAACGCTTTAAAACCGTTTCTGCTTCTCCATTTTTGGTAGCATCTTAATTTAGAAGACCACAATGTCCAAATATTTATTTAGGACTAGCATTACCGATATAGCCCTTTCGATTTTAATTACCCCCTATCTATTTTTCCCGTGTGCCTGTGGATTTCCAGTTGGAATCTTAGCTGCTTTAGGTGTTCCTACAATATATCAAATATTTATTGGGCAGGCTTCAATAACAAGTAAATCAATTTGGAATCCTCTGACATCGCAAACATCAATTTTTAGGTTTAGCCTGCTCAATATCATTTTTGTTCGAAAATCGATATTCAGCTCTGGTTGACACAAAATTCAAAATAGTCAAATCATCGACAAGATTCATTTATTTCTCATTTTGCTATTTATACGGAATATTTATGATGATGCCAGCATATTTCGAAAACCCAAATATGGAACGAGGGAAACTCGAATTCTTAAAAGTGAGAAGAGTTTAGTAGGGAAGAATAAATGTGTCGGTAATTGCTGGTTAAGATGGTCCCTTGCCCACCGCCTGAATTTTTCTACCCGGAAAACTTTCTATTCACTGAAAACATTACTCGTGTTGCGATTTACGTTATTATTTTCACAAATTTCATCTTCATCCAAAACACATTCTATTTTATGCGAACAGTTTGGTCACTCAGATTTCGAGGTGTTTCCAAGTATTCGCAACGAACTCGACAACTTCAGAAGCGCATATTCCACCGCATGACGATTAGCGCGACACTTATCGCTCTGTTTTTGTTCGGACCCATTTGTGCTCTCGTGGTTGTATCAACAATTGCGAATCATTCGTATAGTCAAGGTAGAGTTGCGAAAAAAAACAAGAGATACATCGAGCATTTTCCTTCAATCTCAAAAATCAATTTTCCCAAATTGTTCTTATTAAAAATCATTCAGACACAATCATAATTAAGAAAGAAGAGAGAACTAGAAATTTTCAGTTCTGAACAATATATGTGTGAATATAATCGCTTCGCACGGTTTCTACACGACAATCGCAATGATAGCAGTCAATGAGCTGTACAGGAATCATACACTGAAACTGTTGGGATTGCTTAAAACGGCGTCTCGCGGTGATTCGAGTAAAATATGTAAGGCGGATTTTGAATATTTTTTATGTATCTTATTCAGTCTCTTTGCCATCTCAAACTCATGCCCATATACACGCAAAAGAATTTATTTGGAATATTAAATCAGTCGACTAATTCACTGTTCAAAAACACTCATTGAATAAATGAATATATAGAGATGCATTCGCGGGCATATTTCGTTTATTGAATTCTCTTCAAAACTCACCAACTCCACACAAGCCAAGCAGAAAAAGAACAGAAAGCCGATGTGTCGCTTCTATTCGCGAAACAGCTCATCCGAGTCTCGTCTCGCCGCTTCATATGCTCTTTTCCGTTTTCTTTGAGATATTCAAATTTGTCCAACCTCTTCGACTCTTTTTGTGCTCCCTTTGTTGTTCGTTATTTTTCACCGGATTCTCCTATTCCAGTCGTTTTTGTTTTTTTTTCTTCCTCAAATACTCTGTCTTACCTATGAGCCGTGCATGATTTGGAAGAGTTGAAATCGACGACCACACGATGTGGGAACCATTTTTTCTAATCTGTCTCACACTAACGACATCAACGCAATCATATAAAATTGGTAAAATGCGTAATAAAATGTTGTGTTTCTGTTGAAATGTGCAGTTTGAAGGGGCGATTTTTCGAGAAAAAGAAGATGCTCACATTGAAGCATCACTTTGGTATACGGTGGAATGGCTCACACAGAGAGGATTATACGGCGAAATCGATCTCGTCATTGAATATATTGATGTTCTCGATCATTATGCTGCGATAAAGAAAGGTATTTTTAATTTTGAAAAATTATTTTTAAGTTTTTCGAAAAAATAAAAATTCTTAACAAATAAATAATATTTTGAAAGCTATACGACAATCCTACACATTTTGGTTTTTTTTTCAATTTTTTTTTCTTCCTTAAATGAATTTCACAACTGTTTGGAAGCTTGTTGAAAAAAAAATCATAGATTCAAATAAAAAATGTTTTGCAGCTTGCAAACTTTTTGAACGAGATCACGTGATTGCCATTGTTGGTGGGTCGTCTGCAGCATTGAATTCTCAAATTGAAAGGATTACTGATGAGGTCCAATATTCTAAAATGGCATTCTTAGACTTAGTAAAACAATTTCAGCTTGAAATTCCTCTTTTAACTGTAATCGATGACATGAAAACCGATATCGGACGCTCGAAAATCGACTTTTTCCCACGTGCTCAGCTGTTTGAAGCTGTTGTTGATTTGTTCGCCCATTGGAAATGGAATCGGATAGTGTTGGTGTACGCAGAAGACGAAAGTAATACAAAAACGTAATTCTCAGACAAAATTTGTATTGTAGGAATTCGGCGACTTGAACAACTACTGGAAAGCGAAATGTACTCGAATATTCGGTTTTATTTGATAAAAGTCCGAGACGGAAACTATATGCAAGCAGCTCGAGAAGTCAAAGAACTTGAGCAATGCCGTCTTCTTCACCGAAAGGATTGCTCCGAATTCAGCAGATTGCTCATCGACATGAATCCGGAGCACACCAACAAATTCCTTCTGTCTGCACTTCAAATGGGATTAATCGAACTGAAACATTGGTTCCTTCTGACCAATATGGAACTGAGCACAATGGATATGGAGCTTTTCCGTTATAATCATGCACGATTTATATCACCCTACCCAGTGGATCCGACATTTTTGACTGAAAATCGAGACGCTTTCAATTTCACACATTTCAAGGAGCATGTAGCTGAAAAATGGGATTTGAAAACAAATAAAAGCAAAAATTTGAGAATGGTAAGTAATATTTTATAATTTTAATGATGAGCAATGTACATACATACGTATGTGTATCAGATGGAAGCGATTTTCACATTTGATGCCGTCTATACATTTGCGAACACATTCAAAGATCTATCGAGTTATATGCAGGTGGAATTTGCGAGTGAATGTCTCGTCGAATTATTCGTTTAGATGAATGATACACCTCAAACTTTTTGCCGGAAACCAACAAGAACAGCAAGACGATATCAGCACGGAGCAACATTAATATCCAACATAATTAATAACGTAATTTTTAGTTTATTAATTTCGAATTTCAATTATCTTTAAGAACCTTCATGGAATCTCAGGAGATCTTCGTCGACTCAATCCAAATCCATTGAAAAGTAATTTTTCAATGAAAATCCATCTTCTAGGATACAGTGGAAAGCTAGACGAAGTATACATTTCATTTTTTTTTCAATTTTATGTATTCGTAGAACGGTGTACTATTTCTGGTGGCCTTGATGAAAGGGAAGCACCTAGGATGCTTCTTTTTTGCTATGATTATAACTATTGAATTTAGATTGGCTTCTGGGAGCCTGCAACGAATGTTCACGTCAACATGTCCGGCGATTCAAAAGCGCAATTGCAGCGGAATGTCCAAGTGTCAGACGAATTGAAGCCGCATTTCCGAGTGACCACAATTCTGGAGCGGCCATACGTGATGCTCAAAAAGAATCATTACGAACTCGATGCCAACTCGAAATTCGAAGGGTTTTGCATCGATTTGCTCGCTGAGCTTTCGAAAGATCTTGGCTTCACATACACTATTCACGCAGTCAAAGACGGAAAATATGGAAATGACAAATACGGAAATGGATCTTGGGATGGAATGATTGGAGAAATATTGAGAGGAGAAGCAGAAATGGCTGTTGCGCCTCTTACCGTCAACTTCAAAAGAACGGAAGCGGTTGATTTCACGAAGCCGTTCTTATCACTCGGAATCAGTATTCTGTATAAGGTTCCCGATGACCAACAACCTGATTTATTTTCATTTCTTAATCCATTATCATGGCAAATTTGGACAGCAATTTCCACATCTATCAGTAAGTAGTTATTAAAGAATTCATAGAATACACATAAATCTAAGTCGCTGTCACGATTGGAATGTACTGCGTCGCCAATGTCACTCCGTACGAATGGAATCTCAACTTCTCGTGTTGTACAGCACACGAACCTCATCCGGCGGCTGCGTTCGCCACCGGAAAAGACGAACCAATAACGATGTCGAACAACTACAGCTTCTGGAACACAGTGTGGTATGTTTTGAGCACAATGCTCAAAGGTGGATGCGACTTCGGACCAAGAGCGGTCTCGACGCGACTATTAGGAGGCACGTGGTGGGTGTTCTATCTCGTCATAATCTCGGCGTATACTGCAAATCTGGCCGCTGTTTTGACGGTTTCGAGACCGTATATTCCGATTAAAAATTTGGATGATTTGGCGAATCAGAGTGTTATTTCATATGGAACGATTAAAGGCGGAAGTACAATGCAGTTCTTTCAGGTTCGGACCATTTTTGTTTTAAACTTGTCAGTGCTTCATTCAAAATTCTTCAGGAATCTCGCATTGCCTCGCATGTGAAAATGTGGGAAAACATGAAAGATCGCGATGTTTTTGTGACAAGCAATGGTAAAGGAGTCGAGCGAGCCCTCAAATCCAATTATGCTTATCTCATGGAGTCGACTTCTTTGGAATATGAAGTTCAGCAAAATTGCAATTTGACACAGATTGGTGGAGTTTTGGGCTCGAAAGGCTATGGAATTGCATTGGCAAAAAGTGAGAATGTCATTTCATTTTTGTTTAAATTGGAAATCTCTAATTTGAATAGAATCTGAATGGACAGATCGAATTTCGCGACAAATTCTTCTTTACGCCAAACGAGGAATTATTGAGATGAAAAAGACAAAATGGTGGAGAAGCAAGTATGTTTAATGATTAATTTAACGATTTTCATGGTATTCGATATATTAAGAGGTGCAACATGTGCGAGTACAGCTTCTTCTGTGAAGCATGACCGATTTGCACTCAATATGCACAATGTGGCTGGTCTTTTTATAACGCTAGGTTTGATGATTTCTCAGTTGAAGTTCAGAATCTAAATTTCAGGCGTCGGTATCTTTCTAGCGGTTATTGTTGTGATTTTCGAACTCATCGTTCGTTGTCATCATATCTCCAAAAAGGAGGGCGTATGTTTCTGTGGAAGCCAACAATTTACACCAAACATTTTTTAGAAGCCGTTTTTCGAAGAGCTTTTGTATGAACTTCGATTTGCTCTCAATCTGAACAGCCTGTCAGATCATAGATCGCGACAGAAGATTTCCGCGTGTGCCGTTTCCAGCAGCAACAACAACAATAATGTGAATGGAAAATTGGTGGCTGAGAATGGAGAACATGAGATTAATCGGGCTGTTTCGAAAACGACATTGTAAATAATAAATTTTTAATTTTCCTAATTCCAAGAGTATTTAAAATAATACAAAATTGTAACAAACTGGGGAATCTACATAACAGCAGATTAATTCATTTTCGTAGAATAATGTGCAAAGAATAAGAATTCAAAAATCGCTTGAATTGTTTTTTTTTCTTGTCAATCAAAAAAAGTCGAATTTTTTTCCGCAACGTCTCATTTCTGTTTTATTAAACTAAAGTAAAAATGTATCCAAGTGATTATTATGGTCATCCATTCGCTGTTTATTACGGTTATCCGGGACCGTACTCGTGGTATCATCCCTATTACAGAGTTGGTGCAATTCCGATGGTAATTTTAATAATTTTACGAATATTGCTAACATTTTCAGTGGGGAGTTTACTGCTTTATTTGCATTTTTCTAATATTCGCTTTTGTTGCCTGTGTTCTGTGCATAACGCGACATGAACCAGGTTCTTTCAGCAATTGTTATTCAGCAATTAAAAATCAATAATTAAGAACCTATTGTGATTGAGGATCCCTACAGACCACCAGTGTATATGGAACCTGCATTTGGCCCGCCGCCAATCATTGGACCCGCTGTCATCGGTCCTCCCATAATAGAGCCGGTCGAAGTCGTATGCGAGCACCAGCCTTCCTCACAAACACTAACGCCGGATTCTCACACAGTGTAACACGAGAATTGTTTAATTAAAATAAATAATAATTTGTTGCACACGCCATAATTGATCATTTCAACTTTCACTCGTTAAAATGACCGACGAACTGGAATGGGTAATTCACGAAAATAATAATCAGCGCTAAAATGTTGTATTTCAGAAAATCGAGGTATTATCTCATTTGTTTTTGTTTATCAATAATTAATCATCAAAAATGTATTTAGTGTATAACATTTGCAATTGTGTTCGGTATAACTGGATTATTAGTCTGTATAATAGCATGCCTAAAAAATGGTTGTAAAAATCGACTCGGATTTAAATATTTCCAATAATCACAGGCCGTATATTCCGTCGAAGACCTGATATTGTTAATTTGGAAGAACAACGACAAAATCCGCAAAAACAAGAAGTGCCAGTGTCGAAAACGTCAAATCACGGTTCACAGCAATCGCACAGCCGCAATTCGTCTCAAGGTTCGATGTCAGCGGAGAAGCCATGCGCAGCACCCTAGATGAAACATATATTCGCACCATTTTTATTTGTTGAGCTTTATAACATTTTTCTTTTTTATTTAAATTTTTATTTAAATTTTCATCGATTTGGCATCGGTTGATCGCACATCCAATAATGTAATGGAATTGAGACTCCTGCAGCGAAATTCACTCCAATACTGTCACCCACTGAAGCAGCAGTCAAACAATATTCTCTAACGTCGGGGGCAACCTTGAATTTCTTTTTTGAGTTTTCTCAAATTGTTTGTAACCTTATGATGGATCTTATGGAACGTGTTCACATATGACGATCCTCCAAAGAGTCCTTCTATTAAGATGAGAGCAAAAATGATTCCAATATGCGGTACGAACCAGTATAATGCGTCGAAGAAGAAGAAAAGCATGTTTGAAAGCTGAAAAAATGCGTTATTCAAAAAGAAACAATCAAAAAATCATACCTGTAAAATAGGTAAAATATAGAGTAACCAAATAGGTAGTTCGAGGAATTTGATAGAAGATCTTGAAATAAACACCCCAGCTTGATAGATCACTTGATACCAGCGATATTGACTACGAACTGATAAATCGAAGCTATGCGAACAATCGAATACAATCATTTGGGTCTAAAATCAATTTTTCGGTTTCATTTTATTATTAAAAAAAACCGAAAGCATTACCATTCCTTGGTTTATCATATATTCTCCAACATATACTAAAGCCAATGGTATCATTAAGTGAAGCATTGGCACTATTAACCGTAGTCGTTCACTGATTGAGAGATCTCGTTGTGGGACCCGATGTTTACTCTATAAGGATCATTCAAATTCTCAATAAAAATCAAGTTTTTTTTTGTAAAATTATCTAAATATTTTTCGAGTATTGACGATAAACTAACTAACCACTATGAAATCATCGTATCCGACAGGTACTAGCCATGTTTTGGGATGCAATCCCGGCGAATAGATTGACTCAGGTTTCGATAAAATAATGAAATATGTGATAGCAAATACCACGGGAATGAATAACTGTATCAAAAGAGCAGTTTTTGCCGACAAATTTGCCATATGTGGTTCAGTCAAAAAAGCGAATGCAAATGATCCGAGTAGTCCAGCCATTCCTGTGCCGGATGACCAGCCGGCGATCGCAATTCGCTGATAATGAGCCGATAATCCCAAAAATGTAATTTCTCCGAGGCCGCCGCTCAAACTAACAAGCACCACACCAAACAAGGACATTGGAATCGAAACCGAGAAGGCTACAACGAAATATGCAGCGAATTGGAGTAGGCAGACGATTCCGACGCGAATTCTGAAATTGAAAAAAAAAAAACATAAACAAAAATAGAAATGACGGATACCCGAATGGAAAACGATTGATGAAAAATGGAAATGTGAGCTTCACTATCAAACTTGGCAAATTGTCGCAAACAAGAACTTCAGCAGTTGGAGGTTTACAATGTCTTCCGGTTATTTTGTTCTAGAATATTTGAATTAATTATTAGAGCAATTTGAAAGACAAAATAATTTTTTGAGATTTATATAGTTTTTCAAAACAATTAAATGTGAGAAATTTCGTATCAATTAGTTTCGCATCAAATCGATTTGATTATTTTTTAATTTAAGAAGGCTCTTAACCTTTTATGAATGTCTGATTGGCTTACCTCGCATGCATCCACTGGTGTAATTATGCTGCCGTTCACATTTTTATGCTTTTGTTGACCAAGAATGTCCTCGGCCGCACTCAACATAATCACATAGCCATAATTATTACAGAGCCCGATAATACTAAATATTTGAATTTTGAATTATTCGTTAGTTTTGGGAGTAAAGTAACTTACAAGAATGCGAATGCTGTCCGAACAGTCGCCCAGTTCATACCTGAAACTATACTGTCAATTCAACTTCTTAAGGGTCCCGCTACGGTCCGCAAAATTGCCAACAAGGAACGTTATCAGCACGTGTGCAAGCGCCTATTAAATATTTTTAATGGTCATTTTATAAGTTGCCAAACATTTTTTTATTCAGGGACGATAAAGAAATGTGTCCGTTTCAAGAGAATTTTTGGAATTTTCAAGATATCAAAATTTTCTTTTCAGAAAAAATAATGAGACGTGTTCCTCATTTTGTTTCATTTTTATTATTTTAGGAAACTAATTTTTGTGCAATTTTCATAGGAATTTTAGAGTTTTCAATGATATATTGCAGATTTTTGAGCTTTTTTTGCGAAATCTGCTTAGTAGCATCGGCAAATTTTTTGGAAATTTGGAAAAATTCAAAATAAAAAATCGACTCATTCATTGGATTTCATTGAAAATGAAACCCATTACACTTCGATGAATTTTCCATCATTTTATCAGCATTTTTATGAGCCTGTCAAAATTGCACCGACAAATGTACCTAATTCCATGACGCCCTCAGATTCTGAAAATATTCGTGTTGCGATTGCTTCGAGCTGATCACATTTCCATTTAAACTGTGAATGTGGACATCGTTGGCTACTTTTGCTGAGGGACGACGATAGCCGAAGAATTGGCGAATCTGAACAATTCAATTAATTAGTGTTGGGAGTAAATCAAATTATTCTAGATTAAGCTCAACACTTCACGGCATTTTCCATTTATCCCCTTGAAAATACGTGACTTGGTTGAAATTTGAAGTATAATTTCGCAGATAGGTTCTATTTTCGCCCAACAAAAAACATTTTGCAAGCAATAATAATAGAAATAACAAAAAATACTCACACTTGAACTGATTCTCTTATGTGTCATCATTATAATCCATGGCCAAATAAGGCAATATGAGTTAATGAACTGCAACATCAAAAACAGAGTCATACTGATAATGAAAAACTAACGAGATTGAGCATAAAATAATATTCCTCTTCATAATTGTTACCAATAATTTGGAATATTTTCAGCCAAACGTAGAGAAAAATAAACGATTTGTAGATAGAATTGAAAATCGAAGACGGGAGCAAACATTTGCTCCAATCATATGTTTGCGATAATTGAAACCTTCGGCCGAGAGTCGTTATACCGATGGTTTTCATATATATTTTTTTGGAAGAAACGTGTAGATGGAGAACAATCTGAAATCACATTGTGTTCTTGAATTGAATTTTTGACAATGGCTAGAAATTAAATATCTTGTTGAAATTAATGAGACACAAATTTGTGAGATTTGCGTTTACAAAAATTTCTGATGAGCTCGTTATGAGCAGTGTATCTACCCGGGACGAAGTCTCAGGCAAATCAAATCAAAGATTTTGAGAATCAAATATTCAATGATAAACTCTAAAATATTTTGAGATATTCTAAAGTTTATTGATACTTTCTAAAACTTATTGCGAATCGCTAAACTTAAAAATATTTTGTAGAATCTTATAAGATTTTCTAAAACTTATTGAGAAAATTTTGAATTATCTCAATAAATTTTAAAATCTTATAATAATTTCTAAAGTTGATTGAGATAATTCTAAAATATTATAGAGACACGTTAGTTTCTCAATGAATCTCAAAATATTTTATTTGATTTGCCTGAGGTTTCCCGGGAAATTCCCGGGGAAAAATTACCCGGGACCCGGGACTCATTGAAACTTAATTTCCCGAGATCTCGGGTAGTTGCGCGGCGAAACCGAGACGAGACCCGGGATTGGAGTCCTGGGAAACGATAATCCCGTGATCCGGGGAAAACCTGTCCCGGGTAGATACACTATGTAGTTATGAGTAGGAAAAAAAAGACAATTGAAAAATCGAATGAATACCAATCCATTTGAAATTTCTACGCCACTTGTGAAGCAAAATACGACGCCGAGTAGTATATCATTGTAAGCTAAACGTATTTTCAATTTATGTCTGATGAGAAAACTTACACATGCGTAAAGCATAGACGTAGAAATTAGATACAAGACATATAAAAATGAAAATAGAAATGAAACATTTTTTGAAATTTTTCGACTCGTAAAATGAATACCAATGAATTCCGACAAATCGCTCTTAACATAATCAATAATAAATCATTTAAGTATTTTGATCTACCTGTTGAAGCTAAAAATTCCCCAAAAATACACATAAATTCACCGTATGAATGAATATAGAGCCAAATTATTCTACGAGCTGAAAAGTATTTGAGAAATGAGGGCAGAATTGAAATTTTTCTTACGTAGCTTATTAACGGCATAATCTTCGATTATTCTTCCCATATTGATAGCCTCAAAAAATGCTAAACCCGATGTTAATGTTATGATAAACATTGAGACACATACTGTGCAAAATATAAATCTGAAAATGAAATGTTTTGGCAATGATTTAAATGACTGAAAAAACACCTTGTATAATTACTAAAATGATGAGTCCTTATAACGAATTTGTAAAATAATATATGCGAGAACCATGAAAGAAATATAATAAGAAATTGAATAATCAGAACAATTATCCATGGATTGAACATTACTAACTAAAAGTTGAAAATTATTTCGACAAACATGAGACGTAATGAAATTATGGAAGGAAATGAAGGAGATTTCGTCACAAGCCGGAATTATTTCGAGAAAACACTGTTAGGCTAGTCGTAAATTTAAAATCTGAGAGAAAGGGCGTGTTTTGTCTACGCAATAGTATAATTATTTGAGAAAAATTATCGCATATTTTCGACTTCAAAATTTAATATCAAAGTTTGAAATTATTTTTGATTGCAATTATCTTAATTGCTTGACGTTCTCATGTTTTGCAGATACATACATCACACTTCATATAACTCTTAATGTAGCTGCGATGAAACACATAATTCAATTTAATGGAAAAGTAACAACACAAAAAAATATGTTAAAAATGTTCGAATAAGATATTCATATTGTGTAATTAGAAAAAATATCATTATTTAATAAAAATAAAAAGTTGACGACAGTGACATTTGGAGAAAAAAATTTTAAAGGGAAATTGTTTTGTGCCTGTTCAAAAATTGGGCCTGTATATGCTTAACTATTACTTTTTTCAATCGACATCTAGTCGGTGTACGGCGACTGCTGTACGCGGGTAGATTTACACGCATACGCCTTGAAAAGTTCTCGCAATATGTGACCGCTTATTTTTCTTTTTTATGTGAACGGTTTATTTTGTCTTGATGAGTTTAGAATTTCCTTGAATTTCCAACGTCATTCGATTTATCAATTATCAATTCGACCAATAAAATGCAAAATAACGAGTTAGTCCTAGCGAGACAAAGAGAAAGACGCATTCCCGTAAATCTACCCACATACAGCAGTCGCCGGAGACCGACTATATATATATGCTTCTAAAAATTGTCGTCATTTTTATATTTGAAAAAAAAAAGAAATAAGAAGTGTGTGGAAAAATAGTGCAAAATTTGAGACTGAATCTGCTCGACTTAATTGGCATGATTGTGTCCCCCATGGAGAAGAATAACGCAGATCATAATTCTTGAAGCCAAACCAAAATTCAGAAAACCATTTGTTCAGGAACCAGTTTTATAAAATATATCCTACCTATGTGAATCTAATATACTAATATCGAGGGTCGACGCATTTGAGAAATTTGAACTGAGTGGGCTGTCATTCGATTGTTCTCGTAAACTCAAAATCTGTCATTTGACACTTTTTTTAATATCTAAAAAACTTTGATTGAATGTTATACTCTTTTCCATTATGAAGGTGGAAAAAGCTCTCCGATCAGTTTTTCCATTGTAAACCAAAGGCGACAATTCAAATGTAAAAACAATGACACCGCAAATTCATTGGTCCGTGACAATATAAAGAAATGAATATTTCATTGAGAAATTTTAAATTAAAACCCATTCTGTCAGGAAGTCTATTAGAAATGTCCAAGCAAACAAAACGAAATGAAAAATGACCGGTATTATCAAAGTCAACTAGATTCAAATCTGTAAACGTGAAATAATTGAAATCAACCAAAATAATTAGTTTTGAAATAAAATAAGAAACTCGTGAGTGCGATTTTCATTTTCGTAGTTTCATTAGAAATTAAGGAAAACAGAAAATAATATCCGAAAATTCAATTTAGAGTGTTTTTAAAAACTCGTGCTCCCTTAATATCTTAATAAAACACAAAACATTTTTACAACATCTAGAATATTTTTCTTTTCTAATCATGAAAATTTAAAGGTAAATTAAGTAAGTAGATTTTTAATCATCGATTTTAATTGATTTTGCAATAATTATAAAGTTAATTACTTACATATATCATTACATATATTTTATTACGCATATCATTACGAAATTTGAATGGAATGAATTTATTTGAAAAGATTATATTTCAATTTTATAAGCTAAATGGATGACTCACAATTATTCTTTGAAAGACTTTTAATCGAGAATCACGTCTTCTTTTTTTGCTCGAGAGCTGGAAATATATGTACATAAATGTGTTTTTTTTTAATAATAATAGATATAATAGAAAAATGTTTTGACGACTTTCTCGATTTTCACAGGTTTTCCCCATGGTTATTTCATCTGCACATTCCTGGATTTCCAGTTGCCAATTAAATTCAGCAGGTTCGATTATGAAATGGCTGCATATTCGTGTTCGAATGAGTAATGCGATGCATTTGTGTTTAAAATTTCGATGCACCTAACCAAACTGTCACAACGAATTAACCCCACTTTCCGAATATTGAATGGTGTCAAATCATCCATATACGGTGCTGTATACGGCTTTAGCATCCATTAGGCGTGACTTCTGCGCATTCGCACCTCCAACCCGCCAATTATTTCATCTCCAGCCGGTGAACAGCAGTCGGTGGGCTCATTTTTTGGCGATTCCGGCTAGTATTTCAATAAGACCGCGCAATCCCTCGAAAGCAGGCCCCGCCTAAATTATGTGGTGTATAGTTATTCGAGTG